AGCAGCACTGTCGAGAGGGAGAGAAATAAAAAAGAATGAAGTAGTGTATGCGTCAAATTAGGGGTGATCAAAGAGTTGTGTAGGACGGCTTAACTCTGATAGTATCTAGAATCACTAGGCGGGTTCCCAAGTAGCTCAGCATAATAGCTTCCTTGTGTGCAGTGGGCAATTTTAGTCATGTTGTGGGTGGTTAGGGAGACTGCATGTCTCTGGTTAGAGATGGATAATTCCCCGAGATTGTTGTTATGACGGGTATTCCTGTTGAGAACTTGTCCCTAGAGCTTGCAAGGTTCACTCTATAAGGCTTCCTGGTGTCATATGTAGGTGTATTTTTAGTCGGGTGTAGCTTCACGTCGGGATGAGCGGGTACTATCAGTCCACTATCTGTGTACGAGTGCATGTTGGGGTTTAAGGGTGTCGGAGTACTTGTGAGTTTTTACAAAGAGTTTGGTTTTATTTCGTATCGTAGTGACCGAGCGGCTGTAGCTCATGTAAGGTTTGTTTTTAGGCTTGTTGGGGTCTTTATGGGAGCCGCCAGGGCAATTCTAAAGCATTATTGATATATAGGTGAGTTGGGATTTGGAGATAGTTAAGTGTTTAGGCTTAGGATGAGTGGATGTGGCTGATTCGTGTGCAGGCTTGTTTTAGGGACTAGTGGAAACACGAGACGTGCCTCGTTTTGAGAAGGGGTAGGGAATGCTATTTTAGGGTTTGTGCAGTAGTCAACGTTGTGACTGTTGATTGGTCTGTAGTTCATTGAAGATTTGACGCTGGATATTAGTCATGTCATGAATGATTCTAATCTCTTTAAATGTTGGAATACCCGTCAGTAATGACTGACTATTAAGGAGGTGAATGGCTTCTGTGATGCTACCAAACCGAAAGAGAGAAGAAAAGAAGCTTTAGACTGTGTTTTACTCAATCTTCTTGTTGCACACCAAGATCGCGACAATTCACGCTCTTGTAGTAGAGTGTTTTTAACAGATTTTAAATTCTCACTACCAGGTATATCATGCACTCAGATACTATACATACACTGTAATCTGTTCAGCACTTCTGATTATATATGGTCAATAATAATAATAATAATAATAATAATAATAATAATAATAATAAGTCAATAATTGCACTCATGAATCAATTGGAGCTAGACTACCATGGAGAACCTGAAAGCATTAGACAGCTGTTTCATCCCAGCATGGTGGTCTAGTTACAACTGACTTATAAATCCAATTACAAAACTACTACAATCTCCACAAAGCCCGTTCTGATTACTTTTTCAGTGTATTTTTTATGATTTTGAGATCATAATTACCTGGAACAGTGATTAGGTATTTGTACGGTAATAAGTGCTGAATAGTTTGGCTGATGCCTGCTTGTGCATTTGGGCTACCTGTTCCTGCCATCTAAATATTTCAACAAGTTATCTATTTTTGTTTGCTTTAACGTATCGTTATGTCTATTAATCGCATAACCTATTCTGCTGCGTTTCTGAAAAGTGCACAACCTTTCGTTGTCAAAGTTACAAAAAACTCAATAAGAGACAGTGTGATTGCTGGCAATATACAGCGAAAAGAATGCAAATTATTCAAATGTTTATTTACTGGACTGTTAACATCTAACTGGCGATCACTCAATATTTATCGCCAGGATCGACCAAGAAGAAAGAAACGGAAACTCGTTGAAATACTTTGCGCTGAGAATCCTATATTGTACCAAAAATATAATATTGAATAAAGCTGATAATAATAATTATTATTATCATTATTATATTTTACTGCTATTAGAAGCATCATTGGAGTTTATATCGAAATGGTTAGGATCGATATGGTTGCATACAGACTTATTGCAAGTATCTATCGTGTAGTAGATTTGTGCAGAATTAGTTGAGGAATAGAGTATGTGTCTGGGTGAGTAGTCAAGATCTACATCATTGGGTTGGTTATTGCAGGCAGTTTTGTATGCATTCTGTTGGCCGTTACACGAGATGCCTGATTGTGGATTTGCTGTGTGTTTGAGGTCAGTGGCACTTTAAAAACAGCTCACAACATGTGACGCTTTCGAGTGGACTGCAAAAAGTCAAAAAGATGTTCATTCAAACGGTACATGTCGGTTCTTATTTATATCTGTAAGCGAGATGTAAGGTAGTTGTCGATTCCTAACTACGGTTTGGATAGATGACTAGCCGTCCAGGCACGTTAGACACGCGCCCTTGCCCGTCAAAATCAAAACAAGTAATCGGGTAAATAGCGGTTCTATAATTCAACATAAATGTAAATGTAAATCGTTACCTAAACAAATATTACCACCCGGCTATTCAACCATTAATTGTTCAATCAATCAAATCTAAACTACATAAAACAAAGTTGATAAAAGATGTGGGAAAACTACCAGTCACAACAAATAAACGCTATTCCATCCTGACTGGATAGATCACACACAAAAAGAGGAGCAAATCAATATGGCTGCCGCCAAGAACAAGTGTCAAGTAAAACAACATGAATACAGTTCGGGAGGAAGCACAAATACTTGGTGAAGGTGTAATAAAAATAAAAACTATAATAATATACAAACATTAACAATTCAAATGTAATAAAAAACCTAACAATGTACAACCAAGGGGATCAATAGGAACAAAGTGCAAGTATATACATGGAAAGATTTTCACAAACACACAAAACATTCAAAACGGATCTTACAGTAGTGACATGTCATACCAAAGTACATCGTACACGTCTAGTGTAGTTGAGGAAGGTCAGTACGATGCGGACTTATAGGCAAGTATATAAAGCTTTACGTTGTTCACTTTAGTGACGGATTCAGATCTTTTCAGGTGCTTTAGGCATCAGGCGAGATTATATATAAATATTTGTAAGGTTTGCATGAAGTGAACAGCTACTATTATAACTTAATTTATCAGATGTAGAAGGTTCTATCGTAGTATCGGATCTATTATTAGTTAAGAGCTTATAAACGAACGTTAATGAACAAAAAGAGGTGTACAAAGTGGAAATTAACGGACTAAGTGTATGACGTTGAGTCCCAAGATAAGATAACAAATTAATAGAAACTATCAGGATTAAAGTATTTTCGGTCAATAAATATTGTTAAATTAGGAGGAAGAACTAATAGAAAAGCAATATAAAACCAAGTGGAAAAAGTCGCAATCTTAAAAGTCTGTGCGTTGGATATTAATATTTCCATCGTCGTTTGTTTTGTGAAATAGCAGCGTTAAGAAGTGAACATTTACGACATTATTCAAACTGTGTGTGTATTTATCGCTTCATTTAGTGAAAACTGATAACTTTGGATGCAATCATCCGATTTGATTTGAATGGAAACGAAAAGTTAAGTGAATGTCATTTAGATATCTGATTGGTTTGATGAAATTTTGGTAATACTTCTATGACAGAAAAGTTTTGTCATGGACCACAAATAGTTTCAAACCACAGAAGTCCAAACTACCCACCAGCACACGAACATAGTTTCATGCGGCTTTCCATAAAATAGTAATTAGATACTGGTTAAAAAAATGTACTTATACGAGTAATGGAATCTTAAATATCTGTCTCTGGTGGAGTTGAGTACACATTTATATATCGACTTTAAGTTTTGCGTTTAAAACACTTAAATATGTAGACATTTACAGGTATTTTTATCAAGTTATAAATACGCTAGCTGAACAAGTACTATGATAATGTAGGCTCTAGAAGTTCTGTGCTTCTCATTCCACAATCGCTGGTACAGGAACACCTTCTGGGTGATGCAGAGTGCAGATGTAAAATGTACGAAACGGCGAGTGCATCAAATACATGCCATCCACAAGTTTAACGAGACTTGCACATGTTGCAGAGCTGAAAGTCTGCTGTATATGTCACATAAAATTAGAATACAATGTATGCAACTTCACAAGCGCATTACCTTATTCCTATTTACTTATTCTTATTCATTTGTAATGTTTGTCTACAATTTGATACCGCACTTGACATTACATTGATTTAAGACTATGTGTAGCGTCAGCAGGATGTCCACACACTCTACTAACTCGAAATATTGCGGGCGGTGTCCCGAGATATATGTTTAGGCTAACAGGTGAATTAAGATTGATATCATAAATAGATTTATGTTAGACTACCATTGAAAACTTGTGAGCACCGTCTCGTTCCGGTGTGGGACTCTTCTGCACTGCTCATCCACGATCCCACACCAGTGGAACTCGAACCCGGTACCTTCGGTCTCGCTCGCGAAAGCTTAACTTCTAGACTGCTGAGCCGATATCCGACGGCGGTAATGTTTAACTTTAAACAATCCGTGATATTGTGCGATTGTCCACAGTTGTCTTCAGTGAATAAATGCCTCACAAAAGACACGGTTGGATTCCAATAGTCACGGCTTCCGACTAGAACTCCAGAAAATGCCTCTTGAAGTCAATCACTAGTGACAGCATTAAAATTATGAGTATAGGGTTTCGGAATAATATAATGAATGGGTCTATGAAGTGTAGGTGCAATTAATTGGACACAAAATTGACGTCGTCTGTCATCGCATAAATCAGCATGATGTGAAATCATTAGGTCTAGACTGAATACGGAAGATCGATATTCTGAGTAAATCATGATGAAAATATGTTCTCACAAGTCTCCTGCTGAGTATCCTGAGATAAAACGTCTCCTATTCGACATATTTTCACATCACATTTGAATTTTATTCCTTCAGTATAATATCCTTTCACAAGATTTTTAAATCTTTTACAATATGTGATAAACATTAGCGGAAGACGAAGCCAGTTCAAAACTCGCCAAGCTCACCTCAACCTTGAACCAGATTTTAAAAAATACAGTAAAACTGGTGATCCCAGTATTTAGAAAATGTTTAAAAGTTGCATTAAAGCTGAAACTTACGCCTAAAAAACAAAAATACATTTATGTTGTTAGAAAAGATTTTAGTGGTTTTCGGACATCGATAGACTATACAAATATTTTAACAGCTGAAAATCGCGCTGCAGAAACAAAATGCCCGCTGTTATATAAACTGTTCAAGGTCGGGGGGGGGATTAAAGGTAGTTCACACCGTGTGCAAAAGTCCGTTATATGTATGGGATTTAAATTGTACTTTTTGTCATCAGAAAATGTTTTATAGCTAAAAACAGTCCCAACATGGCGTAAAGAGTAGTCGTCCGTAAAATGTAATACTACCTTGATCTTACATTAATTATTAGCTTCGTCATTAAGATGGAGTTTAAAATTGGTACGAGACGTCTTATATTTGCAATAGTTGAGAATGCTAGCATCTTTTCTTGGCATCACTTCTGCCATTCTGCTCATTCCTTGAAACTGATATATGTATTGTGGTTGATTTTTCGGTTATCGGTAATACTAACACCATTCTCACCGAACATGTTATAAATAAAGTGGAATAATTATAATACCTGGATGTTAGGATTTATTTATTGAAACTTAATTATTGGTACAAGAAGGCACCAAATGTATATGCGTCACATAAATCATTTGAGTTGTGCAAGGGCTGGAATACTGCCCGGGAGCGCAGAGTGATAGAGTTAGTGTTGTGGAAAACCAAGCCCTGCGTAAAGTAAAATTATAAAATGACACAAAATCTATAATTTGCAAAATACATTCTTCTGAATGTACCGCGTTATTCAACTTTAGAATACAAACCTTTCATTCTCTCGCTTTGTGTTCTTTTATGGTTCGTTAGTAATCACTGTTTACTGCGCTGTTTCAGGCCTTTAACAAATCCACAATGAACAATCACAACACTTGTTGCATTTGATGTTGAAGGACCCAGTACTTATGCATTTCAAAAATATGATAAACTGCCACTATTACTAGATAAACTGGTTGCCGATAACTCACTACGGAAGCCCCTGATCCTAGAAACTACTTCGAAGCACATTTCAAAAATTATAAATGGCCTCCTTTTTCCGAAAAACTTCACCAGTACATTTCGGCTATACTTTATTATGTTTAAACGACCAAACAGTACGGCAGGGAATGGTTAGTGAGTTCATGGTCAGTAAACTATCATCTCGTACTTGAAAGCTACTGGATGGATCTTTGTTGAAAACTTGTCTTCATGCTCAAACTGTATTCAGATTAGGTATTCTAATTAGATAGAATCTGAGGTAACGTGGTAATAGTCTTTCCACAAACTGTGGGTTCATCATCTCACCGTGGTATGCTTTCTGTTCGGATAACAGCTTGACCAGGTAGTTGATATAAATTATATAAGTAGTCAATAGGATTCCCAAAAGTATGCTAACCGCTTAACAGTAATTGTGCAGTGAACTCTTATGGATCGTCAGATGAGAAGAAAAACAATCGTTTAATGTATCCTAGTTGACACTGGGTTACTGAACGTCAGTCTACTAACCACTGCTCATCATGCTGTTTCATCCTTCAGACAGTGGAATATAGTTAAAATGATCTAACGTAGATATTTTCTGCAGCAAGAATATTCATAACTTACTTGCCATTTGATACAAAGCGGCCTCAAGGATTGATAGATTACTCAGCGAAACAGAGTTCTTTAGTCATTCTACATGGTAGTATTGAGCGTCCATATTTTCTTTGATCCATTGTTATTGGTATCTCCGAAGGTAAATATAACGTTCAGCCTTTGGCAGGTTAACGTTTACTCTGAAGGTAGATTGTTTGCTAGGGGGGCTGAATGAGCAGCGTTTGTGAGAATCTAGAACAGACAGTAAATTAAATACATAGGATGTACTGACACTTATTAATGACATGGTCTTAGGAATAGAGTTTATGCTTTGACTTGATGTAGGGAATAAGTTTTTTGTTTAGCTTGTGTATACCTGTTGTGTCTTGCCAAAATGCTGGTTTGGCGTTTTATTATGACTGGACGCAACGGTTTACTTTACCTTGTATTGTGGATAGGGACTGGTATTGCTCGCTATAAGGAAGAAGGCAAAATGTTAATGAAGATTTATTTATGCATAGACAATAGATCCGCTACAGCTTCAACCACTGATTAAAAATTACACTAAATTATTTACGATTTGCTTATCTGGTAAGTTAATTTGAATATATTGAACTAAGCGGTGTTAGTATAAATTAGTCAATAAATAAATCCATGTATACAATCTATAATGTTAGTTGATTTAACTGCACTAAACAGTACAGTAAATTACCGAGCTCCACATTTAATTTTTCCTGACAATATTTTAATTCTAAATTATGATCCTAATCTCAAATGTTTAATGTTTTCGTCGTTAAAACTGATTATCTGTGTTTGTTAGTAAACACTTGGTGGTGTGTGACGTTCTCTTTCAGTTCGTCTATGCTTTCAATGTTCTCCTTTGTTCTCTACTCTCGGTTCTTTTCTGCTATCGGTTGCATCTTCTTTGTTTTCTATCTCGTCTTGATATGAGTAGGGGAAGTGTGATATGTTTTATCGATACATGACTACCAGGTTTTCCTACATTGTTTCTGTCTGTACCCTTTTATATTTATTAAATTTCTCAGTATTCTATGGTGATTCTCAAAAATACTTCATGTTTTAGATTTAGATGACCAATACTTGGAGTATTCTTTGTTTATCCAAATTTTCCAAACAATTAAATGATGTTTTTAAAAAATCTTTATCGATAACTAATCATATAAGTTTGATTAATATTTACTATGTTTTGTCACCTGGAGGAGTTCTTTCCACTCCTGTTTCTACTGTTTATCAGAAATTGGTTAAAAAGATGCAAGATATAGTTGTACCAGATACTGCTTTATTGTATCATCTTCCAAGGAAACAGTTTTTGGCTGAATTATGGATTACCTCTGGGAAGCTGTTGGTGGTTCTTGAATCTTCATTATTTATTGAAGATGTACCTCATTCGGTGGACTTTCAAAAGGACCTCACGATCGTAAGTGTAAATTTGCTTTCAAAGTACTATATTTCTTCATCTCCGAAAATGTTTTCTCGTGTGTGTGTAAATATCTTACTCACTAAGATCTAGTTTTTTTTATTAATAATCAACCATAATTATCGTTACAAAACTGTTACTTTAGAATGAAGTGTAGTTATAATTATGTATGTATGATAAATTGCCACAGAAGATATATCAGTCAACTATTTTGTCTCGATCTTCAACACCTCATCAACACATCCATTATGTCAAATATAATGTTGCTGGCTACATAGCTTATATCTGGTTACTCTAATTCTTCCGACAATAGTTTCATAACCTTTCAAATGTCCCATCTTCGTCCCACGTCCTACGTTGTCTGATTAACTTATCATCCCTAAGTATATCTACTGAGACTCCTGGAATATTTACTACTAACAAAATTTATATTAAGTCATATTTCAAATCTCACTGTATTGTGGCCGATAAAGTTTCTACGTCGCTTAGCAATTACATGAAGGTTCATCTGTTTACTTTATGAACTAGACATTGTGTAACGTTTAGTGCTTACGTATGAGGGCTTGTCTCATGTGGTGTGAAAACTGAAATTAATGGACTGGTTGTAAGTTAAATGTACGAACCAGAGGAGGTAGGACTATCAAAGAGTACACTTCAAATACAAGAACACAACCGAAACAGATTTTCAAGTTATATTCGAAACCCCACCAGGAGTCGAACTGGAAACCCTCGGATTTCACTGTAGGCTCTTGATTCTTAGACTACCCCTTTAAAATCCAATAATTAGAGTTCTGAATTTTAATCAGTTTGAGATATAACGTTATAGTCATTCATTGCGATTGGTGATGACCATCTCACCCAATAGGCCTAGACTCCACCAGTTGTAATACTGGTTTCGATGGTGTAGACACATTCAAGCGATAATATTTTAGCGGATTTCATTCAAATCAATACTTAAAATCACTAGGACCGGAATAAAAGAGATAGAGTAGATAACTTTTGTCTACGTATTTCTCTAAAATGGTTACCTATTTTAATTTAGTCTCTGCTGTCCCATCTCTGCTTTTCTGAGTAGTCTTTAGTATGATACAACAATGTGACTTGAAATGTTATTTGAAATATGCTAAAAACCATTGGTGACTGGTATATTTTCTTTTATGCCTTTAATTAACAATAAGATTTACTTTTGATTAAAAGTAGGTCTTGAGTGTACTTGTTGTTGCTACCTCCCGACCGTTGTTGCTACCTTGACGTGGTGGTCGGGCTTGCCTATCGTGATGAAGCAACCGAGCTATACTGGCTGGAACAACCGTTCCTCAAGGTCCTACCATGTCAGACAGGTCGGTTGAAGAGCGGTAAGACTAAAAGCAACAAACCTAAGGTCCGAAGGCGAAGTCGTACTGCTGACTGTACAGAGGTGTGACAGCAGTAAGGTGTTTCCTTCAGACAACCAGCATGACAGCGATGCTGCCTTCCCACAAGGAGGGGTGGGGTTAGAAAAGGTCGACCCTAAAAATGTCACACCTCACTTTACCTCATGGATATCCGTCTCCGGCGGTAAGGCTCTTTGAAGAACAGAGCTAACACGTCAAAAACCTTCCACGAAAAGGCCGTGCGCGACCGGCCTCAAGCAGTTGTCCCCTGGGCACTGCGGTCACGCTCTCAGGTCGCTAAGACCGCCTCTAATCCAATTTTCTTTTCAGGTACCTCCAGAAGGACCCTTCCACGATGTGGGCAACCGGGAAGTGATAACCGCCCTCATACCTCTAACAGCACCCAAGACCACTGTATTCATAATCAACCTTCCTCTTCAATTCCTATTATTCCTCCTACATCGACTTTCAACCCTAAACTTCCTTCTTCGGCTTCTTCCTCAAGTGTCACCATAGCCAACGATTCTAGTGCTCAAAACTATGTCCCAGGTCTACTGAAACTTCGCTCCAAACTACACATTGGAGCTTTCAACGTACGCACTCTATGTCAAATCGGTCAGCAGGCTTCCTTGGCTAAAACCCTAGAGTCTCTTTCCATTGATGTATGCTGTGTCTCCGAAACACACATACAGGATTCCAGTGTGGTCATTCACTTGACCTCACCTCGGCAAAACGGAGAGCCAACGAGATACACCCTACGTGTATCTGGTGACCCGATGGCCAGTTCTCGTGGAGTGGCAGGTGTAGGCATAGCACTAAGCATGAGGGCGGAACAAGCACTGCTAGAGTGGATCCCCGTCAACAACCGTCTATGTGCTGTTCGGCTAAACGGCTCCGTAAGAACTCGGAAGGATAGGGACACACGTCGTTGCCTTTTTGTCGTTTCTGCCTACGCTCCCACTGACCGCAGCTCAGATGATGTGAAAGATGAATTTTACAGAAAGCTTTCTGAACTTCTTCAGAAAGCTAAACGTTCAGACATAGTACTCGTAGCAGGTGACTTTAATGTCCAGATAGATAGTTTAAACCAAACAGAAAGGCATTTAGGTGGGTATTTTAGTATTCCGGCACAACGAACAGATAATGGTGATCGTCTGCTGCAACTATGCTCAGACAATCGTTTATTTTTAGCAAACACAAATTTTAAGCATAAGGAGAGACATCGTCTAACATGGCGACCCCCTACACCAAACCAACGATGGACTCAAATAGACCATATTGCCATCAGTCATCGTTGGAGAGGGTCGGTAGAAGATTGTCGCACATTCTAGAGTGCCTGCTTGGACTCCGACCATGCCCTAATACGGGCACGCATCTGCTTGCGCCTCACTGGACGCAAAAAAGCTCATCTGCTCCCAGTCCAGGCGTTTAGAACGATGGGCGGGACAGTTCAGCTGGCCTTCAGCTACTCTACAACTACCTTCCATTCCCAGACAGCGTGAATAAAACATTGAAGTAGGTCCCCCAACTCTTGCCGAAGTTCAAAAGGTTATAGATAATCTCATACGAGGAAGGGCAGCTGGTCCAGATGGACTGGCTCCAGAAGTCTTTAAGGATGGTGGTCCAATTTTAGCGATTAGGTTGACTAATATTTTAGCTAAGATCTGGGAGTTAGACGTTATTCCATCTGACTGGTCACAATCACTTATCGTCCCAATATATAAGAAAGGGTCAAAATCATCCTGTGACAACCACAGAGGGATTAGTTTAACTAATATAATATCTAAAATACTAGCCTCAATAATAATCAGACGCCTAACTAAGACTCGTGAACTGCAAACACGAGAAAACCAAGCTGGCTTCTGACCTGGTCGTGGCTGCATCGACCACATATTCACCATTCGTCAGGTTCTAGAACACAGGCATACTTATCGGCGTCCGACGATGGTGGTCTTTCTTGACTTAAAAGCAGCATTTGACTCTGTAGACCGCGAGATTCTGTGGCAGTGTCTGTCATTGAAAGGCGTACCCCAGAAGTACATAAACCTTGTAAAGGCTCTTTACTCGAACACTACTAGTCGAGTGAGAGCTTATGGCGAACTGTCATCTACTTTTGCAACCTCCAGTGGTGTCCGTCAAGGATGTCCACTTTCCCCATTTTTGTTTAACTTCATCATAGATCTACTGATGGGAATAACTTTCTCGTCGACTGAGTTCTCGGGTATTGATCTCCATCCAGGAGGTCCACTTATCGACTTAGAATACGCAGATGACATAGTCCTGTTTGGTGAAGACGCTGACAAAATGCAGAGTCTTCTGGTAGCACTGAGCAACAATGCCAGGATGCTTGGAATGCGCTTCTCTCCCTCTAAATGCAAGTTGTTGCTTCAGGACTGGTCTGCGTTAACACCTGAACTAAGGATAGGGAGTGAAGCAGTCGAACGCGTTGACAACTTCACTTATCTTGGAAGTCTGATCAGCCCTAATGGGTTGGTATCGGACGAAATCTCAGCACGGATTCGAAAAGCTCGTTTGGCTTTTGCCAACTTACGTCACCTGTGGCGAAGGCGAGATATCCGTCTATCAATAAAAGGACGAGTATACTGCTCGGCAGTCCGTTATGTTTTAATTTACGGCAGCGAACCATGGCCATTAAGAGTAGAAGACACTCTTAAGCTCCTAGTATTTGACCACAGATGCCTTAGAAATATTGCTGGCGTCTGCTGGGATAACCGGGTAAGTAATAGTGAGGTTAGACGCAGGGTATTAGGAAATGATGGTAAATCAGTTGATGAGGTTATGAATCTTCATCGACTGAGATAGTTGGGCCACGTGTTACGTATGCCTGAACACCGATTACCACGACGTGCAATGCTATCCGGTATTGGAAATGGTTGGAAGAAAGTTAGTGGCGGCCAAACCAAAACGTGGCATCAGTGTTTGAAGTCACTAACTTCTAGTCTGAGCCATGTTGGTAGATGCAAACTACTTGGTTGGGGTCCGCGTGACTATCGTAACCAATGGTTGGAGACTATTGGTGACATGGCTCAGAATCGATCACAATGGCGTCGGTGTATACACTCCCTGTCTTCCCTTAAACTAAGAGATTAAAATCGCTCCATATCTTTCTTTCTACGAACCAATTCTTTCTTATACTATATCTCTATACCACCTTTTACCTAACCACTGTTATGAATCCGGTGTTCATCTTGTTGTGCTGATGCGGTATGGCAACCTGGACCGATGCACACATGTGCCTGGTCCTACGTTGTAGCTGACTGACTGACTGCTTGTAAACTGCAGCATTTATTACTGTCTTTTCAGTCGTTATACATCACTGATAACCAGGAATAGAGGTTGCATAAACATCGACCATAATTCCTTAGATTGAACGATCAAATCTCTTAGTGAAACGATATATATCTAACATTAACTTCTGACACTGTAATCTGATGATCTATTCCGGATTCTGTGATATCCCCCAAGAATAACGTAAAACTAATTCTCTGTAATTTTCTAGATGCAAATAATGTGTTTTCCCAAGCTTGTCTCACGTTGTATCGTACACCAATCCTATGTTCTAAGAAAGTAAGTGTTAACAAATAGCCTTATCATGTCTGAATATCGAATCGAATTATGAATATAGTCAGCTATTTTTTTCAGTTTCTTATGATAGTCTTATTGTAAGTTAGTCCATATCCTACTTTAAAGTGTAAAGATCATCCAGCCAACCTCACCATAGAGCCCGACATGTATGTGCATGGGTTTAAGTTGTCACACAATATCAGCATACCGAGATAACAGCAGTAATTGTATAAGTGGTCATAGGACAGATTACACATTGTCCATATAGTTCGAGAGGTAAATATCAATTAGTTAAGTAATAAAGTATAAGAAAGTAAAGGTGTTCTAGACGTTTCATTCTATTATGACATGCATCTTACTTTTATGAAGAATGAATGTTAGTCACCACTGAGTTAAATGATCATCAGTACACCACGCACGGTATCGGATGCTAGTCTCAGCTATCTTTCATCTCACAGCTTTAAGTAACTAAATTATACCTATACTTTTTGTACACAGTCCCACAAGTATACATTCATGCAGCCCACTAACCAAATGAAAGTTAATCTATTCGTCTACAATTCACTTTTTATGAGTCATAGTAATAATACTTAGCTCCCAAGTCCAAAATAAGTGTACTAGGGTTAGAACTTCTGGTTCATTCGTTGAAATTTAAGTGCATCAACTTCAAGTCTATCGCTCCATAAATAACCGAAGACAGAAGACGCCAATAAATAGTCAGTGTTGATGAAATTTCAAAAGTTATTTGGTAAACAATCTAGCTTTTATATATAATCTATGTGCTTCAAAGACTTAAGTGTTTCATGTTACTTATTAAATTAACTTGTTCTCACACTTATCTGTATTTAATGTAAATATATGCCGACTGCACCTTTGAATGATTTAAATTTAAATCTCAAAGAAAACAAGTTTCTTTGAGTTTACATATATCCCTGACTGATAATAACTAATGAACATAAAACACAAATTTAATATCTTCATGCTTATTACCTATAACGATCTAAGATCAACTGTGAAAGTACTACATTCTCCGCAAATTACTCATACTAATTACAATCATGTGCTCACTAGTGACTAGCTTAAAGATGTGATTTCTAGGTTTCGAGTGAGAAGCCGTGGCCAGTGGAGTTCAATCTATGTAGGCTGTGAGACAGTTATCCACCGTAGGTAATGGATGAAGAGTTGCTCAAGATTATGGATTGATTGAAGTTAGACATTAACACCTCTAGGTCTCGACCTAGCGTACGAGACTGAAAGCCCTGGATTCGATTCCCGCTTTCGGGATTGTGGATGGAGACTAGTAAGGAGTCCCATACTAGAACATCCAGTGTTGGCAGGCCTTCAATGGCGATCTAGCTAAGATTAGTTCGTGATTTTAACTGTAAGAGGATACTTTTACTTGTTATTTCTCATGGTCTCAATTCAGCAGAATACTTGCAGTATTTTTGTCTGTCTCTTGGTAGGTAACTGAATACATAGCCAATGGTGGGCGTGTTCTATTGATTTTAAATACGACGGATGTGAATAATTTCCCCTCATCTAGTCTTGCTCATTATGCTTTACTTTCAAACGAATCTCCTAGTTTGTTTGAAAACAATTATTCATACTGGAAATGGATGTATAAAGATTCGATTTTAACTGGTGGATATTATCGCTTGGAAATTGATAATGATAAGGAGGTTGAAGTTCAAAAGGATCAACCATTAATTGCTATTCTCAGTGTAAGTTAATTAAAATCTGATTTTACAATTTCTTTTATTCGTTTTTGAGTTACTGAACTTCTTAAAAATATCTGATCGAATTAAGGTACTGTGGTAAAATTCTGATATAACAAACAAGTTCACACGTTATCAAAAGATCACATGATAGGTGAGAAATATTGGTATGGATAAGCTGTTGTAAGGTAATTATTTGTTTCCCCAAAATCATCCCACATGTCTTTGCTTTGATCATTTAGGTAACTTACGTGTACTCATAAGTTGTAAACCATTATTGTAACTTTTCTGCTCAACCTTGATCTCACCTTGCATAACAATTTAGTCAAGTGTTATGCGCGTAAATCAGAGAATAACAAGATGGAATTTGATTTTTTAAGGCTAACACTCAAAGCTAAAAATGAACTTACATTTTTATGATATATCTTTTTTCCTAAGATTGATTGTTTGAAAATCGAAGCAACACATTTGGAAAATGCGTTCAACCTTCTTGGGATACCGTGTATACCTTGTGTTGATCTGGAAGACAATACACATGATAAACTACTGTCTAATTCCCTATCCTCAGTTCATTTATCCGATTCAAAGACTTTGCATTGTTTTACACCGGACTCTGAGAAAAAGGTTGGATTTAAATAATTTTGTTAAATTGCTTTTTGTTTATACTACAGTGAATTGTATTCTTTTTTCTCTGTATAATTTAGTATACATACTATGTGAATGCATGCGTAATTGTATATTTTTGGTAGGAGCTAGATTATAACGTTGGTAGATATATCTTCATCCTATCGCTTGTTATAATTCTGAGGAAAACGCAAACATATCTCGTTATCACTCGATGCACAACTCATCATATTACTCAGTTATTATAACTATTTTGTTCATTTAAAGTGGATAGATTATGACTAGCAGTGAAAACCTGAACGCGCGTTTGTTCTACTTGGAACTCACCAGTTGGATGTACACCTGCAGTTAAGTGATGCTCACAATGAAACAAATTTCTGTTCACTTTAAATAATCTCTTTTAACATATACATTATATCGCTATTGAATAACTACATTCATTTGATATTACGGAGCTAATTAATTTGGTTTTTCCCCATTATACTCTCAATGTTGTCTTGGTCGCAATGATTTGTTTACCTTCCGATTTCAGAAGATCGTTAATTTTCTCATTAAGGAATGTTCAACGAAATGCAAAAAAGAGATTTCCTATTGTTCTACTCTATCTGATCTTCCATTGGGTTTCAACTGGATAGATTATTTTTCAAATCTTCATACTGAACATTTAGGTAAATTGATTGTTTGGTCAAACTCAATGGAATCTAGTTGGGATTTCTGTCAACAGTAAGTCTATTGTTCCTGGTTTCACTGGTTGCTTAAGTTCAATACGTAATGTAAACTATGAAACCCAACGATATTTACAAATACATCATAGTAATCATAATTATAGGCTCACTGGTGGTTAGTTTTGAGAGATGATTATCGGAATTCTTGCGAAAAAGCCGTTCAGTGTTTGCTGGTTTTCAGTTGTTTACTAATTAAGATCAGTCTGTGATGTAAAGTGTGAAATTTCTTATTGTTCATTCATTGTCGATGGTAAGTTTTACTATTTTTTAAATAGATAACTGCTTTTATCGTTTCTTTTATATTATATACTGTAAAACTCTGTAAAATATGTGGATTCACAAAGTGTACGTGTGCTTCACCTAAATAATAGTAAATTTTTATTGATGGTTCTTTAAATGATGTCAAACACAGTTTAGTGGCTTCTTGTAGGAGTTTCAATATGATGCTAAATGCAAAAAAATTATATGATCGGTTAAATTGAGTTTTTCATTTCGGTAATAATGTCTGAATTCTCATGGAAGAAACTTAAATACCTAAGTCTCATGAGTGATAAGACATTTCGAAATTCAACTAATGAATGTTTATGTTGTGATTTGGTGACCGACAGAATAAGCTGCTAATAGAATCTCTTAGAAGGTCCCTAAAACATTGATGATAGTTCTTTGAAAAATGTATATATTTTATGCAATAAAGACATCAGTAAGCTTTACTTTGTCTGGTATCCTGACATAAATCAAATGGGAACATCGTAGATAAAGTAATGGATTTTAGAGTAAAATACATGGTTTTCAGTCACTGAGTTACAGATTCAAACCACATTGTCCTACTACATGCACCAGTAAAAAAGTCTTTGATCCATTTGTGATCGTTGTTTCTATTCTTGGTTAGTTATAGATTGTCTGGTAAGTAACTAAGCTTTACCGTCTTGGTCAAATATTCTTAACAAAAAATTGGCATATTTCTGTCGTATTGTCGAATTAACCAATGCTGTCTTCTGGAGTTCATTCGCTTGACCTTCGGCTGTCAGTTCCATGAACAAGTTATCAGTTCAATCACTTTCATCATTTCTGTATTTTATCAAATTCGTTCTATCTTTTTCAGTTTTTAAATCTGATTAGTATTATTAGTTCCCACTGAAACGTATGTTCTAAGAAGCGTACATAAATCTATACTTGATCAATGAAAAGCACCCCAAATTCCTGTAATTTTTTCATATGTATTGATTGTTTGAATCCTCTCATTGATGTTTAGTACTCCAATCGATCAGTCATTTTTGGCATATATGCAACATGTGCGGATTGCCTCGATATTGCTATTAAGTCTCAAACATACTAAGCAGAGACGGATCGTGGCTAGTAGTGGAATCCAAGACCCACATTTTGTTTTACTACGGAATCACCAGCTAGATTTATCTAGTAGTCATTGTTATATCTTGGAGCGTTAGGCTGCCTGGAGAGAATCCTGACAAATGAGTACTTCCTCAGGTTAAAAAATCCTCCCGTACTATTTCATTTATAAATGAAGATAGTTTTATATTGATGTGCAGTATACGGGGAGCAAATAATCTCACAGAATGTCTTCAACATTCATCGATGGGTGTTAAACGAATCAAAATCGGTTTAACTCTTATCACTAACAAGTAGTTTTGAAACATTTGCAGTGCATTTCATCAAGCTTGGAGGGAAGCGCAAATGCAACATAATGCAGACGGTCAATGAGAGTGCTATCTCTTCTCACTTCGGGGTCAGAAGGAGTAAATCGAACAAATTTCTTACCCTCAAAAATTCTATTTTCATAGACTGGACGACACTGTACTACGTTTAGGTTATGAAAAGTATTTAATACTTCATTTTCCACACTTTTCTACACTATCCCACAACAAATCATATGATAGATTCAAAAATATCGAAAATTATCTCTTATATAAGCAAAGATAAATAGTGGCTAGCAGTGGAATCCAGGACGCGCGTTTCGTCCTATTTGGCACTCGTCAACTTGATGTACTTGCGTCTCCGAGTTGATGTCCATTCTGGGACTCGAACCCAGTACCATTCCCATCAAACGCCATCGCGTTATAACAGACTACTCAATTGCAGTCTCAAACCTCTATGGGAAGATAAAAGCAAAACCATACCAAGTGAATTTATCTCTCATATATTCACTTTTTTTGTAGTGTAATAAATGGTTTAACCAAGCGATTATAGCTTAGTTTGTGTGCTCAGTGTCGAGTCACACTTTTCGCAGAAAGCAGTGGTATTACTTGATTGTTTGAAGTGAAGTAGGCAGATAATTTGAACCTACCATCAAACTTTCGAAACTTAAAGTATTTTAGTCACCAAGTCATCTCTAGCATTACGGTTTTACTTCATGCTCATCTAAATACTCTAATAAGACATTTTCATCACCATAGTTAAGTATTCTCATTCTGTCGTTACGTATTTTTTGCTATTCCATTAAATTGTCTCTATTTACTAAGACTGTGTTTGGAAGTATTTCTCTACATATATTTTGTATTCTAGATTCTTTGAACGAATCCATCCAAATTCTGGTCTGCTGGTATGTTCTAATATTCAATCTAAAGGGAGAGGTAAACAACGTATCATCGTGCAGTTATTTATAATTTATTTGCTATTTTACGGAAATCAAATAATTAAAACTGGATACTGTAAGTACATACAATACTATCTCAGCGTGAGGTTGTGAGGATCGCTGATTGATACTGAGATCATGAACTGATAATTAGTGACTAGGGTTTGTGAATGCTCACTCCTGAGTAGTTTAACGCTGCGACGAGACAACTTTCTAGTGCTTCCAGTTTTAGACGGTTGTCTAACGGTTGGTTAGCGATTTCGATACCATTTCAGTCAGTCATAGTTAAAGTAAGATTTTGCGTATATATGCATCGGTTCCATTTTTTCCACAACGTATCATTCCAGTATAATTAAATTATAGAAGCAGATGCTAGAGTAGTATTTATAGTAACAGTATCAGTGATAGTAGTAGAAAAGATTAAGCATAATTAATATGACTCGAGAAGAGAGGATAAATTTGCATAGTAAGAAGCACAAGATAACTTTGAAACTCAAGATCTGAGGTAAAACATAGAGTGAGTGCAGACTACGTTGCCTTTGTCGGTTTCGAGCCATATCATTTTTAAGCTTTCAACCATTTAGTCAGAAGAATCATGTGGACCCTTCATTCGTCAAAAGTATGTATAACTTATCCAGTGACTAACTTACAGGTTGTATATCAATTAAATAGACCAAGAAAATACCCGTTTTTGGCAATAAGTCAATAAAAATTACCATAAGAATCAAAGATATTAAAATGTTTAAAAAGGAGTTGACTGAATTAAAATAAATGTGACAGAAAGGCTGCTGTATCAATGTTGACATATTTATATTTTATCATAAAAAAATCTAGTTATGTAAAAAACTATTTTTCAGTATCAGGGTTGTGGAGATTGTTAAATTTTGTTGAAATCAGGAACCAATCTATGCTCAACAACAACTGGGACCAGTAGACAACTATTTCGTCCTAGTATGAGACTCTTCATTAGTGCTCACTCACGATCCCCCCACCATAGATCGAACCCAGGACGATTGATCTCGCGCGAGGAATTCGGTAGTTTCTCTAATAGTATCAGCCTATAGAATGCCTCATTCTTGAATTTGTCACTACAATAACATCATTCTAACTTCTATTAAGTGTTGTGCGCATATTCAAAAATACATTTTATTAAGGTAGCGTGATTATCATGAACACATCAGTTTGTCTGATTAATATGAGACTCAGACGTATGTTAGGCTTTCATGATAATACATTCACAAAAATTCTATAGTCTTCACAAATCCTACACTGGTATTACTTATGTGCTCACTAGTGACTAACTTCAAGATGCTACTCCTGAAGTTCCAGTGAGAAGCCTTGACCAGTGTAGTTCAAATACTTCGAATGTGCAACTGTTACCCACTGCAGATGATGGGTGAGGGTTGCTTAATATCACGAATTCATCGGAGTCATATAGTGGACAGCTTGGATACACTTAAACGATTTAGGCTTCCCAGATGACCTAGCTCTTCTATCCTGTACATAGCAACAAATACAGGTGAAAACAGCTAGTGTAGTAACAGCCTCTGCAGCAGTAGGCCTCAACATACATAAGGGAAAAAACAAGGTCCTGAAATACAACACAATGAGCACCAACCCAATCACACTTAACGGAAAGGCTCTAAAAGAGGTGCAATATTTTACGTACCTGAGTAGCATCATCGATATACTTGGAGGATCTGATGCAGATGAGAAAGCATGGATCGCAAAAGCAAGGTAGGATTCCTACAATTGAAAGAACTGTCACCCAACATCAAGTTCAGAATCTCCATTATGAATGTCAAGACAGTTCTACCGTACGGAGCTGAAACTTGAAGAACTACCACCAGGTATTCATAAATAGTTGTCTACGCAAGATAATTAATGTCCGTTGACCGGACACTATCAGTAACAATCTACTATGGGGGAGAACAAACCAGTTTGCAGCTGGAATGTACTCTAGAAGTGGATAGGACATACATTGCGGAAATAATCGAACCGTATCACAAAGCAAGCTTTAACTTGGAATCCTGTAGGCAAAAGGAAAAGAGGAAGATCAAGGAACTTACGGAGCCGGGAATCGGAGGCAGATATCAAAAGAATAAATAGTACTTGGTTGGTTAGTTTGCGAATCTTGGTGGGAAGCCTGTGCTGCTCCACGAGGTATAACAGGTGTAAGTTAGTGATACTTGTACATTACTGGGTGCCATTTGCGTTTGCGCTCAAGACCTAAGGTCCTGTGTCAGATTCGTATATGCTTACTGATGAGGATTCCCCTAAACTTAAATAAAATAGCTGTGCAGTGGTTCTAGTTTTTGAATGGTGGTCTAACTAAGATCAATTCATGACTTGAACTGGGGATATTCTTCAATCTCCACAACCCTTTCCATACTGGTAAAAATTATTAAGGTTTTAAAAGTTCATTTCAATCAGTGAATTTTAGCATGTATACTCGGTTTATAAAAACTGATATAATCAAGCTTATTCTGACCCTGTAGCTGTTTATTTATCCATACTATAGTACTAATATAAATTTACTAATGTTCCTACTTATGTAATATCTTAAATCCATTGTTTATTTCATTACTAGAAGGGGTTTGAATGATCATATTATTGATATTGCTAACTAAATTTTGATTAGTTTTTGTTGGCGTATGTGCGTCCTGAAAGGATTGTCACTATACAGTCATTTTTTTTACAATGTTATAAAAAGTAGATGGATTGTACTTAGCAGTGGGATCCAGGAAGCACTTTTCGTCCTATTTATTATAGGTTTCGAATCTCTTTGTTAGAAACAACTCGAGAAGAGTATAGATTTATTCAGTTGACAAGTCTGAAAAAGGACTAAATATGCATCCGGAATTCCATTGCTAGCTGAACGCTTTAACCATTAAATCACTGTTTCAGAGAGCACTGAGCAACGTTTTCGTCCTAATATTGAACTCAGCAATTTACATTCTCGACCCGTCTGGGGATCTAATTCAGGACTTTCAGGTTTTGTGTTTGACAATTAATCGTTAGAACCTCGTAGACAGTATTGGGTTGAGACTTACTGATCTAAAAGAATCGTGTTCGCTGTAAGATCTAAAGGTCCTAAGTCTTAGATTGAGTCATAAGTACTCACCATTATGAAGTCACAAATCAGGATAATAATGTTGTCTTGCGCTGCCTGGTTTCCAATGGCTTTCTTATATCAGTTTGTTTTAAAGATCATTTTTAAACCATAACTGTCTTATGATTAATACTATTCTGTATATTTTCCCATATTATTAGGTCGAGGAGAGAATAATTGGATTAGTCCTGTTGGACAAGCTGCATTTACATTCCATTTAACATTATCCACTCCCAATAGTCAAATGTTTATGAACTGTGTGACTTGTATACAACATATTGTAGCGTTGAGTATAGTTTTGGCTTGTAGACAATTAATTGCTGAACATTTAGAGATCATTTCAGGTGATACTAATTTTTGTGATATCAGTGAAGAATTCCTTGTTGTAAGTTCTTTTCTATGGTTTGAAAGTTTTTCAGCAGTTATTTATTTATCTATCAGAAGGGGAGTTGTGTAAGTTGTTGATGGTTTTAATACACTGGGTTTAAATAAAATAAAAAGTTAGTCAATGATCAAATATTTGCTGATTGTCACCCATTGGGCTACTGATTCAAAACCCTCATTTCTTGTTTTAGGTTTCATTTTTAATTCTCAAAGTCCACCAACCTTTATTTTCTCACTAAATTGCATTTCCAAATTTCTTATAAGAACAAACTAATCATTATCTACGGTATTATATTTCACCCAAATTTATTCTCCTTGAAGTTCATCGGGCACCGACCACAGTCTTGACTGATTTACATGGCTCCTTAATGACTTCTACTAATTTACTTTCACTCATGTTTGGTGATATTGTAGTGAACAAGAACACGGGTGGGGACAAAGGGATGTATTTAGCACAACAGTTCCAGAATATCTCAACAAAATCCGAATACCATATAGTAAATCGTCAATTTGCAAAATATTCATGCATCAAATCAAACTGGACTGTTTCTGTTGCAAACACCAATCTATTGTCTCCCATTCCATTGTTCATGCGTTTTCTTACAAATTCCATTGTGTTCTCTCTCTACCTTTCTTGATCTTCGCCATCTTCTGCTGCCAGACATTACGTTCTTTTAACGCACGTTATATACTACTTATATCAATATAAGTAGCTCACACCACAATATAACAAAAATTTGTCCAGGCACTTGACAGTGAACGATACGTTTGAATTCTATGAAATATGACTTGATACTTTATTACTCGATAATGAGTTAGATAATTAGCTTGAATACTAGACTGGAGGGCACTAGATTATGTAAACTCAGTTACTTAAAGTCTGACCTAAAAATGAGATGAGGCGATAGCTTATTGATGCAAATTATAAGCAGTTAACATAGGGTAGAATCAGAGTTACTTATAAAATGTTCTCTTTAATTTATTTTTATATCTATTTTTGCTCACTGACCAATAATATATTACTTTATTCGACTTAACATTTACTGATGTATACTTTGGTTCCACTGAAATATTAAATTGTTTCATCACAAATCGGCATCAGCGAAACAGCAACCATTGAAATCTAGAGAGCACTGCACAACTTTTTCATTGCAGTTTGAGATCCACGACCCCACGCAGAATAAAATAAAAGGACTTTAGGTCTTGCAACACAGGATACAGTTCAGCAGCCGAGTAGCTTTGATAATGCGCTGTTTTCGTTCAATATCAATGATGTATCAGTCTTAATTTAGTTGGCTCCACTACCCACTGCTTCCAACCTGAAAATGCAGTCATTTCTCTTTATACTGATGATAGGTCTTTTTAATAGCTAGCTTTCATTGTATTCAATTTGATACACTTCTTTTCGACAGGATCTTCAATATCATGGACCCAAAATCCTTATTAAATGGCCAAATGATATTTATGTTGTCGAAAATATTAATTGGTGTAATAATCAAGATGTCAATTCGACGCTGTTGCAACAAAATATTATTGGAAAATTGGCTGGTGTATTAGTTCGTTGTCGTTTAGTTGATTCAAATCACGTGGAATTATTGATTGGTAGAGTGTATTTCGTTTTATTCTTTATTCAAGCTTGTAAAGGATTTAGATGCTTTCAATAGTTATCAAAAAAATGATATGGTAATACAAACTATGACTGCATCCTCAGGTTTAAATGAACTAAAGAATTATTTGGTGATTAGACCACTTTACGTGTCAATAGGTATGCTTCATCTACTCACTAAAATTCCGTTATAATGCGCTCACACTCATTAAAGATTTTTGGCTGCATTCGTAAAGTTGCAGCTTTGATCTCTCCTTCTACCTACTATGGTTCAGGTAACCAAATATTATCAATAACCCCTTTAGATAGACAGTTAATTAGTGAGAAAGTTGTAAAACCATAGTGTTTATTTAATAACATTTCTTTTGTTGAAAAGATCCGTAGTTTTGTGGCCACACTCATTGTTTAAAAGTTTGATAACTTCCCAATCCTCTTCAGTTTTTAACCATATTAGTTAATCGATTAGTTTAGTACACTTGGTCTTTCAGTCAATTTAATTAGTTGAAATATTCAATCATTGGCTACCAGCCAGTGAACTCCCTGATACGGTTGAGTGTTGAAAGCTTGCACTTTCTCACAAAGTGCTCTCTTAAGGCCATACGTTTATAGCGACTGCTATGGAAGGCTTGCTTACTGTCTTCATGAGATGGGGGTGTTTATTTGCCAAAGTAAGAGGAAGTAAAGTGGTCGATCAGCGCTTAGACCTTGATTTATGGATTCGAAAGGTTCAGTTAAGTGAGTTGGAAAACCCTGGTTCAAAACAAGTAATGTGCACAGGCTTCAGGGCGTTGCCCACTTAGAAAATCACCTGTTTCAGTCTGGGCGCTCGAACAGAGTACCTCAGCCTGCTCACAAATATGAAGAGAAAAATACTCAACAATGAATAATTGCTGATAGGACAGATATTATGGTTAATTTGTTGTAGACTAGAAAGATTCACATCACAGTTATTTTCTTTAAAAGCTTTTTTTCTTAAAACAATTAAATTCTAGGCTGTGGTATTAATGCATTCAATGAACTACCTACGATATGTTTAGAACATGTATTGATCAAATCCCATCCGTGTAATAAGAGACCAACATTTTCAATTGCCAAGTTAATTTCTATTGTAGTAAGTTACATTGAAAGAATAATCACGAGGATCTATAATCCGAATTCAAATTATGATCTTGGATGGGTGCTTCACTTATACACGAAATGCTGGATTCATACGTAAGTTATTTGTTAAATAAGGTTTATTTGAAATGTACACAATTATTTAGAGAAGGAATCCTTTTCAGCGTATTCATTTTCAGTTGTATATATATTATGTCTGCTTGAATTTCATTAATTATTATGTGAAATTTGACTACATCATTTTAAGTAAATAAGTATATCCTGGAGTTCTAGTGAAAAGTAGTGACCAGTGGAGTTCAACCAGGTCTGTTGTGAGATAGTAACTCACTGAAGGCAATGGTGGATGTGTCGCTCAATTTCGTGGATTAGTTGAAGTTAGACATTAACACCATTGGCTGCCGGCTCAGTGGTCTAGTGGTTAAGTGCTCGCGCGCGAAACCAGTAGGTCCTGGGTCCGAATCTTTCAGGGGGCGAGGTCGTGGATGCGCACTGCTGAGGAATCTCACAATAGGACGAAACGGCCGTCCAGTGCTTCCAGGTTTTCCATGGTGATCTAGCTTCAACTGAATCATAATCTTAACCATTAAAAATAAATATTTGTTTAGGAATGGGACACATTTCTGTTAATATGTAATGAATCTGTCTCTCAAAGTTCAACATCTAGCATTGTTCCGTTCATTGAGTCAGTGAATACTGGTATGAGGGCATTATTTTCACTGGGAATTTAATTTCAAGCTCTAACTTTCTGTTTAGTTGTCTTTTTGATCCTGCAAGTTGTGGTGCACTGCAAGTAGTATGTTCACGGAAGACATATATATGACTTCAGATCACTGAAACGAAGTCGCTAGTAGGAATTACATTTGTTTGTTGCAAACCCGACAGTAAATAAGCAGAAATATAGTTGAAAATGCGAGATATCGCAAATTTATTGGACATTTAGAAAATGATTGTTATCCTCACACATCATTGAAGGAGGAAGTTTATGAATCGTGAGAAATATATGGCTGATAGGGTGAAAAGTGAGTATCGTTAAGTTGCAATGATTTGTGAACGATAATCAAGAGATCTGCATAGAAATAATCTTTGTAATTATAATAATAATAGTAATAGTAAATTAGAATCATTTTATAAACACAGGAGTAAAAGATGAGAGAGATGATTGAAATAAGCTAAAGGAAACTAGAAACTGAGGTTCTAGTGAAGAAAGAGATCTAATTAGTTGTTTTTGTACACGTAATCTCGATTTTTACACTATGAATAGCCAAAACTTCCTCATTGTAAAGTATGTTCAAGCGCACACCTTTTGGCAACTCTGAGTGGATGTTGTAAAGGATATCAGGTGATTAGTTGAATGTTGAATGACTTGTATTTAGTACTTGTCGTAGAATCAATGATGTAATTGACCTATGTAACCTTTTGCTTGACCTATACTATTGGATGCTCCCGGATGCGATTAAAAGGCGGCCTTGGCAAACATCCTACATTCCTAGGTCCGCAAGAGCAGGTAAACTAGTAAATGCATGTACAGTCGGTCAGTCCTTGCCACTTTCATTTGAGAGGATGACAAGAGTAATTTGTTTGGAGATTTGCAATGTTGAATGTTTTTCTAATCAACCTCTCCAGATGACATTCTGGTATGTCACTTCTACAATAGACCGTATAGCCAACGTTGAAGTAAACTAATACACCATATGAATCAATAATTAACTACACATAAAGTTCTGATGTCTGCTCTCATTGCTACATGTGGATCTGTTTACAGATTTTCTGACAGCCACTTTCCCCTTTTTAGTCTTTTTACTAACTCCAGTTTAAAAATAAGCATTTTCGAGTTGAATGAAGTTGTTTAATTTACAAAAAATAACCTCGTTACTTAGGCTTAGTTTCGTGATTTGAATTCTATCTTATAATTATTTTCTCTGTGTTGATAACTTGTTGAACTAAACTGTGTTGTTTAACGGATTGCTAGTGCCTCGTTGTTTACTCGTGCTGATCATTAACCTGACTCATCAAACCACTGCAACCGTAACATGGAAAGCCTAACTGACACTGTTATGCATATAATATGTTTGCTTATAATTATCAATTTTCATAGGTTCTATCACGTACTGATCTTAGTTAGACAGCCACTGAAAAGCAGGAAGCCTTGAACAGCTATTTTATCCTAGTATGGGACTTCTCGGAAGTCCAGATCCACAACATCACAGGGGGTCGAACCCAGGACGTTTAGTCTCGCACACGAACAACTGACCTTTAGACAACTATGGTGAATTGCAATCGTGTACATGTCCAGATTCAACCGATTCACTAAATTCCTTTACCATCTTTCATTGCCATCGGCGAGTAACTGCTTCACTCGATATGAATGAACTCCATCGGTCACGGCTTTTCACTAGAAATTCAGGAGTTTCATCTTTAAGCTAGTTACCAATGAGCACTTGATTATTATCAGTATCCAACCGTTTAAAAATTCATATGATTATTGATATAGGCGTATGAACAAATAATATTCTTATCAAAATCACTAAAAACTCATCACTCAGGATAACAAAACATCACTTCTAGATTAGGTTTGGGGTGAGAACAAACGAGTTTTGAATAAATAGAGTGGATTTAGATTTTCGTATGGTCAAGGCTTCAAGAAACCTTGATATGCGTATTTGAACACTTGTACAAAATCAAAAATCAAAGTTAAATTCAATCTTATGACCTGTTTTAAGTATGTTTATCATCTACTCTACCCGAACGCCCTGGTACGGCCGAGAGTGGGGAGAGTCCGCTCTCCCTCTCGAAATACTCTCACACGGCCACGCGTATACAGGCTCTGCCAGGGAACTCCTACTCATTGTCTTCTCGTGGCGGGGGTGTTGTTTACGAAAATGAGAGGACGAAAAGCGAACGTCCGGCGCTTTAACCGGATCACAAACCAATGGTGCACATGGGCTCCAGTATCCTGCGGGAACAAATGGCGTATGAACCAATCGTTGGTCACCGGCTACCATGGGATTGCATCTCCTTACGATGCTCCACTGCCTTGTGGGTTAGACCATTAGGTCAAAGGCTCGGGGTGTGGCCCCCTAAGATAACCACCTGCTTCGGTTTGGGCACCCGGGCAGTATCACAGCCTACACACAAACGATGAACTGTATGTCTATGGCAACTACTTTTCTCGCTCTGATAAACAATCAATCGATTCAAATAATTATTATTACAATTATTGTCATTATTAATACTATTATTATTATTACCATTATTGTCATTATTATTATTATTTTTTTCACATTGTTCACCCTCTTTTATACTTATACAGCGGCTCGTCTTTGGTGGAAATTCGACTGTATCTAAACGTTCTCGAGTCACTGTCCGGTTGAAAATTGTATGTTACCACCGATTACGAGAACTGAAGCAGTTTTTCTGAAACCACGTGCACCATTCAAACTGGCTGCCTTCAACGTTCGCACACTCGTGCAGGTCGGACAACAGATAGGGCTGGCTATGTCTTTGGAAAGTCTTAATATTGATGTTTGTTGTCTATCCGAGACCCGTATTCAAGACTCTGGCGAAGTACTACAAATTCGATCTCCATCTGTCGCTTCGAAAAGCTTGTTTTACGTGCGCTTATCCGGGGACCCTGTGGCATCTTCGTCTGGTCTTGCTGGCGTTGGTGTCGCACTAAGCGCTAGAGCTGAGGCAGCACTAGTTGATTGGATCCCTATTAACAGTCGATTATGTGCTGTTAGATTAGAAAGTTCCATCAAAGTGAGAAGAAATCGGCGTGAGAAACGATGTCTTTTCGTCATCTCCGCCTATGCCCTGACAGATTGCAGCCCGGATGCAATCAAGGATGAGTTTTACCACCAGTTATCTGTTCTTCTCCAGAAAGTGCGCTCGACAGATATTGTAGTACTAGCCGGAGACTTGAATGCTCAGGTCGAGCGTCTAGGCACAGAAGAGAGTCGTTTAGGTGGCCGATGGGGACTCGTTGGTCACAGGTCAGATAACGGGGACCGTCTACTGCAACTTTGCACAGACCACAACCTGTTTCTGGCTAGCACTAACTTTCGGCACAGTCATCGCCGATGTGCCACCTGGCGTCCTCCCTCTGCATCCCAAGCCTGGACTCAGATTGATCACATCGCGATCAGCTTCCGCTGGCGTGGTTGTGTAAAAGACTGCCGCTCCTTTTGGAGTACCTATCTGGACTCTGACCATGCCTTGGTCTGCGCCAATCTTGCCTTACTTTTCAGTGGACAACGAAGTGACCGCCATCAACGGATTGATATTAGCAAGCTGGTTGCAACTTCTGTTGCAAATAAGTATCGAACCGAGTTAGCCTCTAGGCTAGCTACCACTCCACCGAAAAGTATAGATGAGCATTGGTTGCAATTGCTTGACGCCATGAAAATGGCGGGAACAGTCAGTTGTGGGTTTGCGAAACGTCCCTCTTTTAAGCACTGGGTTTCTTCTGGTTCCTTACAACTCATTGAAGCCCGTCGGTCTACTCCGGGTGACCGTGAGTTTGACCATAAACGAAGGATGTTACGTAGGGAAATTGGGCAAAGCTTGCGTAAGGACCGAGAAGCCTGGTGGTCGGAGCGTGCTAATGAGCTGGAAGCAGCAGCTGCATCTGGTAACTACCGGAAGCTCTTCCAGCTCATCCGAGCCACTGGCAGCAAGAAGTCTGGTGTGAGTGAAACAATCTGCGAAGATGATGGGATGCCAATCACTAACATCCATCTACGTCTTGGACGATGGGCAGAATTTTTCGAAGGGCAGTTCAACTGGCCTGCTGCTCCGGCAACATCGGTCAGACTGTCCTGCCCTCCATGGCCGGTGACGACTGATCCACCAAACGAGGAGGAAGTCCGCAAGGAACTCCAACTCTTGAAGCGTTACAAATCACCTGGCCCAGATGACTTACCTCCGGCTCTTTTTAAAGATGGTGGTGACTTTTTGACTAAGGAATTGACGACGTTGTTTACAAAGGTTTGGGAATTAGAGAGTGTACCAACGTCATGGAATGAGTCGATAGTTGTCCCTATCTTTAAAAAGGGTTCACGTCGTTCCTGCAACAACTATCAGGGGATAAGTCTACTTCCGATTGCGTCCAAGCTATTGGCTTCCGTCATACTTCGTAGGTTGTTCAAAACCCGAGAAAGATTGACTCGCGAGGAGCAGGCTGGGTTTCGTTCTGGTCGAGGTTGTATTGATCATATCTTCACCCTCCGCCAAATGTTAGAACATCGCCATACTTATCAAAGGCCAACAATCGTAGTGTTTCTTGACATCAGGGCTGCCTTCAATTCGTTGGACAGGACTGTTCTCTTGGATTGTCTATTGAAGAAGGGTGTGCCTGAGAAGTTTATTAACATCCTAAAAGCCCTATATAAAAACACCTCAGGCAGAGTGAGGGCATACAACCACCTCTCTCCATTGTTCCATTCGAGTAGTGGGGTTAGGCAGGGTTGCCCAATCTCACCATTCCTCTTCAACTTTGCCATCGATGACATTCTGGAAACAGCTCTGATGAATGTAAGTAATGGTGATGTGGATCTGTTGCCTGGAGAAAGACCTATCGACCTTGAGTATGCGGACGATATTGTCTTACTGTGCGATAATGCCCAAGGCATGCAATCCGCACTTAATCAGTTGGCAATCAATGTCCGTAAGTATGGTATGTGCTTTTCATCTTCGAAGTGCAAAGTACTTCTACAAGACTGGCAGGATTCCAATCCTGTACTCACCCTGGATGGTGAGCAGATAGAAGTAGTCGAGAAGTTCGTGTATCTGGGTAGCTGCATAAGTGCTGGTGGGGTGTGAGTGATGAGATCAATGCACGTATAGTGAAAGCCAGAGCGGCTTATGCCAATCTGGGCCACCTTTGGCGCCTTCGTGATGTTAGTCTGGCTGTAAAAGGTCGGATCTACAACGCGTCGGTGAGAGCAGTTTTGCTCTATGCTTGTGAAACCTGGCCTCTCCGAGTTGAGGACGTTAGACGACTCTCTGTGTTCGATCATCGCTGTCTCCGAAGGATTGCTGACATTCAGTGGCAACACCATGTCAGTAATGCAGAGGTTCGGCATCGTGTGTTTGGGCACAGAGATGATAATTCAATTGGTGTCACCATCTTGAAACACCGACTTCGGTGGCTTGGACATGTTCTACGAATGTCGTCCCAGAGAATTCCACGTCGTGCATTATTTGCCGACTCTGGGACTGGTTGGAAAAAGCGGTGAGGTGGTGAGTGTATGACATGGTGTCGTGGTATGAAAGAAAGCTGCAAAGGACTGGCTTCGGTCGGTCCTTCACGACTCCCTGGTTGGGGTCTGAGAGATGGTGCTACACAGTGGCTAGAGTTGTTATCAGATATGGTTCAGAATAGAAGCCAGTGGCGATCCTGCTGTAACCTTTTACTTTCTTCATAAAAAGTGGTTGTGTCTCCCTTACTTGAAAGATTTCTTCCGATTGTACCTTTCTGTTCCATCGTTACGACCACACTACCTTACACCAATCTCTTCGTTATCGTTCTCTTTTTCTTTTGTGCTCCTTAGTTTTTTTTTCTATCTCTCTTCGAATTTTCATTGTTTTGTGTGGCGCATATATATTGGCGCTCTCTTGTACCAATATTTATGTGTTCAAATAAATAAATAAATAAATAAAACTCTTATTGGGTCATCCGGTTATGTTTTTGTAACCATTTTGGTACATTATAAACAGAGAAGAATCTTGACTAGCAGTGGTATCCAGGACGTGTGTTTCGTTCTGTTTAGGATTCGTCGACTGAATATACTTGCACGCGAGATTTGATGTTCACTCCGGGACTTAAACCCAGTACCGTTCGCATCAAATACCATTGCGTTATATGCTTATATACAGAGTCCATAAAGCCGCTAGCTTGTGCAGTGGGTTGAACTTTAATTCATTTTTGTATTGGTTGTTTGAATCCTCCCATTGTTCAGTATCTTTTAGCATACATGCATTCTACGTGGATTGGTACGTTTCCAAATATCCTAATTTGCAAATCATGATGGTTTATCCATATGCATGTATAACTACACGCATGTAAATTGATAAAGAACGTCGGATGTAACATTATGATTCGTGAAGAAAGACTGAGTTAATGGTAAGAAAAATAGTATACGATAAATTTGAAATTGCGTCATTCCAACCTATCTTGATCTATGTCACTCCACATCTCCAACCAGTGGTTACACTTTGTCACACTAATCTATATACTAAGTGCACTGAACATTCTATTTCTGTAAAATTAAAAAAATACGTACAGAGAAATTACTAGTATTCTTTTTTATATTATGATATTAACGTATGAAATTTTCACGTCTGCATTTTGTTATCTAGTAATCAAAAAGTTCAACTTTACGTCAATCCAACGTTGAGTGAAAATAACACTGGCGTAATTGATCAACAGCATTCAACTGATACGAATACCTATCGCATAGTTGGTTTAGATAATTATGGTTATCTGTTAGTAGAAGATATATGTACTGGATTTCGACATAAGTTACATCCAGATGGCAATTCAATGGATATGATGCGTGGTCTAATTATTACGAAATAAAAAAATCTAATTCAAAAAGTGAAATATCCTCTTTTGTTTGAAGATTCAGTCCAATTAGAACTGTCATATGATTAGCTAACCAACTAACTGCCTTTCACTCCATATTCTAGTCATTTTTATATGCTCAGATTTCTTCACTTAATATATTAGAGTAAAGCTTGATGACGATTTAAAGGAAAACAATGTTATTCGCTTATATGTGTAGTTCTAAATATGTATTTATCTCCTTTTCTTGTACTTAATAGTACTATATTTCGGTAATGACTTGAAACAAGACGGTTATGTGAGTGTTGTGACTTGAACTAAATACTGATTACTACTACACTGGTAAAACTGTTATTGGTTACATACTGCAATGAAACGAGACTACTATCTGGTCGCAAAGTAAAAAACAAGATTGTGGAAGAAGATTGATTTATTCATCAATCATTAATTAATACGGCATCCGCAATCGTAATCATAATAATCTGATCTGTGTATATCATTTGCAAAATCAATATACTGACTGTGAAATGTTACTCAGGGATGAATTATACGTTTGTTTTCTTTTTGACAATTTTGTTATTTGAAGAAATATACATTTTTTGTGGTCAATATTTTGGAATGTTTTCAGTTATTTTAATAAGTAAATATAATAATGTACATCTGATCCGATCGTGTTTTTCTTTTGCCTGTGAATAAAAAAGTGGTTCAAATGGCTAGTTAGAATTTAAATACACAAACGTTTCGAGCACTAATTTCCATTTTTCTAATGAAATTAGATGTAATCTTTTAGAGGGCTAATTGGAAACAACATTGCGTTGTTGAACAGTAGTATTAATAGTAGTGTACGCTGTTATTTGTTGATTTGCTCAATTTCTATGCCAGTGAGCTTCTATCTTTTATAACTGGTGTGCTATCATCGGTTCAAAGCCGATAGCTGTGTTCAGTTTTTGGTGAATAGCTAAGTTCTTAGGTGTGCTGAGCGAACTAACTAATCATTTGTTTCTATGTCACTCGTACACATAGTTTATTATCCTGTACAAGTAAATTGTCTAATCATTAATACTATCGTTGTAAGCCCCTGATGAAATGGTATCTAGAGACAAGAAAGGTAACATGTTTATGCTATCTGTTACTGTTATGTGTGCGGAATGCTTAACTAGCCTCGTACCGGGACCCCCAGCAAGACGCGTAGTAAGAACACAAAAACTGGTGACAAGGATTTATATGACTCTGGAAACAAGTCCAAATAATACATGAATACTGTTGTGAAGGAAGTCGGTTCTACACGTCGTTTATTATCATCCAATAAGTTAAAACCTAACTCGTGTTCATCATGTTAAATTCTCAAACCCAACTTCATTACTTTTGTATGGGGTGAGTAGTTTGTTTAGTACAAGAGAATTGTTCACTCTTTAGAAGTATATTTTGTGTTTAATATGTTTTACAACTATCCTGCATTGAGCTTACTCGTTTTAAACTATGTCATGGTTTACTTTCGTTTTAATTAGCACTGAAAACAACTTTCTCTTATTACTTCTAGTGAACCCTTCAATATTGTATTCTGTCATAACACATTGAGATTTATTATCGCTCGTGATTATATAAATTTCATTGTTGTATCCTCAGATATTCAGTGTTTCAATTCATAAATACAATAAATAATTTGATGTTTAAAATATATATTCAGATTCACTGTTTTGTTGCGAACTGTATAGGAGTAACGCATTTTAAAATATTACTGGAATTAATCGGTAACGGTTGTACTTTATCTAAATCTTCGGCAAATCAAAGAAACTGATGAGGCAGAAGAATTTTAACATAAGAAACTGTGCTTCGCTTTCGTATTACGTCATGGAGTTTATATTATTTTGCCTATGCACCAACAAAGATTCGATGCAGTATCTCACCAGTGGTAACAGTTAAATACTTGATTATAAGCTTGTAATAACAAACTTCTGTACAATTTATGTACAAGTAGATGGTTAACGTCAATTTTTATTTTAACGAATTGTTTGAAAATATGTTTTCAGTTTTGAAAGAATATCAGCATGATTTAAAAGAATGACATTGGCAAAACGAAACTTGTCGTAAACAATTTTTTTGACCGATAGTGATAGGCCATTGTGAAGCTCTGTAGAATAAGTCCATCGATCCATTTTATCATACTATCTTAGGGGCGAGAACTAGAAAGGCAACAGAAGTACAGAAAATTACGAGAAGTAAGTTATGCACAGTAAAACGCTCAATATGCATAGAAATATAGTCCGTTGAGGGACAACGGTCCCGGTGAGTAAAAGAGTGGAGAGTCTTCCTTGATAATCCGGTATACCGCTCATTCCTTAAGAGAATAAGAACATATTTACCTATTTTGGACTGAACGTTTATTGGAACCAGTTTGTTCGCCAAAGAAGGCTTTAGCATCGAATCAATGTGGGTATGTAATTTAGAGAAATATGTAGAAAATGATTGTCTTCAAAATTAATCACTGAAGTATGATGTGAGCAGTTTCTGGAGTTCTTTTATGTTTGTATGTAAACTTACATGTATCGATACCATCGTATAATAAATGTTGAAGTGTGAATATTGGCAACAGTTCCTTTATCGTTTTAAAGAAAGCCAGTGTTTACACTAAGAAGTTTATTCACATGAATACGACTTAAAACTAAAGAACGTAATGATGTGATCTTTAAACGTAGTATTTAGAAGACCCTACGGAAAATAAAGGAAGAAGCATAATGATAATCAAGAGTAATGTTTGATCTTAAACAAAGGCAGACAAGTGTCCGAAAACTAGACTAGCTATCTGGAGAATAGAAGAGATTTTTCACCAGTGAAATACCGAAAAGTAGCAAAGATGCTTGACCTTCAATCAAGGAAACGACAATGTTTAACCCCTACTGATCCATTTAGTTTGGCATGATATCTATCGTCGCGCAAATATTTGGAACTTATTAGCGGCTTCGCTGCTATGTTCTAACTGTTAAATCATTTATTTTAATAATAGTTAAAACATGGTGTATATATATGTATACCACTATTAGCGATAGAATACTAATTAGTCATTAATGATTTCAAATTTTGTAATCTTAGTAGCACTAATGATTGGCGAATAGGCGAAATTCTTATTCAGACGCATCATATAAAATCGGCTAAAGTTGTATTATCTCATTAGGAAAAGGAATTCAAGTAAATTCATCTCAAGTGGAATTAAGATAAAGTTAACAACAATGGGGGGAAACTGAACTTAAGTAGTATATGTAGATCAAGTAAAGAATATACGTAATAAGATAGGGACTCATGATCTGACGTAACATAAATAATATATGCATCAATTGCACTGTGACTGATGGCTTGTATGAAAAAAAGACAATATTCACTAGGTATAATAAATGAATTAATAAAAAATGTTACTACTACTAGTAACCAGTATCGTTCTTATTAACATCTTACAATACATGAAATCATTCTGATTGGTTGCTAAGGTCGACTTTGTCTGACGAATCAATATTGTGCACACTTGTTTATGATACCTCTCTTAGCAACAGTTGCTAACACTGAGAATTTTACGATATCATTTCTGTATAAATAGTAACCAATAAAACTGGAGAGAATATATACATATAATACAAAAAAGTAGGCAATTAATATAGTTAACAAAAATATAAATTGGACTGTTTTTTTTCTGGTTTTCAGAAGCCGAGAAAAAATACAATAACAATATCATCGGTGACTTTTGTTACTTCATCTTGAGAAATAATTCAACTGGTCGATTTTTACCTATAAACCTAACTAAGAAAAGAGGATATCATCATATGGAAAAGAGAATAAGTTTTAAGTAGGTTTTAAGTAGTTCACTGTTAATTGTTTAGTGAAAACGTTTGTTAAAATTTATAGGACTGAGAAGAATCTTGATATTATAATTAAATTGTGGTTTCAATATCAAAATCTTCAGGATAGTTTTTATGTTGATCAATTAAATAAGGTAAGAATTAAATATTCAAAATATGTTTTTCTTATGTTTTTTTATTACCGCTTCCTAAAACCTTAATAATTTGTGTTTAAATTATGAAACAATGAACTGACTTAATCTATAAATATAAATCATTATATTCCAGCTCAAGTATTGCTGACGAACTTTAGGGGTCTGAGTTTGACCTAGTGTAGGTGATCACAACTGAGAAGTCCCAAACTAATAGTAATAACACTTGATAGTATTCGCTTATTTTCAGTGGTACTTCGATGGACATTAATCTGTTATATTGATAATCATTTAGCGAAACAAATTACTTATTTAAACAATGAATTCCAGTTGAATAATACGGAATAGTTAAGTAATTGAGGCAAAATTCAATAAATGAAATATATTTATCAATTTATTGGGCATATATATAACATATACCTGTTGTAAAGGAAGCCAAATCTTGTTCAATAGTGTGAGATTATCATTTGGCCGATTTCTGATTAACCCCCTGTATAATAAAGTATATTTGGAAAGATGTTAGCAATAAAAAAATACATCGTTTCAACGTTTCACACTACATTCTATTTTAAAGATCTGCATGAAGGTAATCAGAATTATCAAACGTAAATAGACCACCGAAGGTTTTTTTTGATAAATAGCCGTCCTACAATGTATGCTTGTACTCAACCTTATCATTAAAAATCTCAGGTCAAATTACTAGATGAAATGCTGTAAAGGTTTTTCATTACAGAATCTGAAAAAAATAACTTTTAAAGAATAAATAGAGCAAGAACAAAGATTGGTGCAGAATAATATGAATTCATTTTATTTCGTTAGGTTCTCATCAGCTGCTTACATCCTAAATTATTTGAAATTCAACATTATTACAGATATTGACATTTGTTATACATAAGAGTGTGATTAAGGATGAATACGTGTGCATGATGATGTAGCAAGCAAAGATCCAGATAGAGTTAATGGGCTTATAAAAATGTTTGATTCGAATAAATAAATAAAGTTAGAGAGGGAAAGTTCTGGAACATTGAAATAGTGATTAGAACTCATGAAAATAGATTAATAGTAATAAAGAAAATATGAATTAAAACCAATCATTTATGTATGATGTAATTTAAACATCAGAAAGAGTTGGAAGATCCCCACCCTTTCTATTCATTTGCTCCTATTTATTTATTTATTACGTCATTCACTATTCCAACTCTTTCCGAAGTTTAAATTACATCATACATAAATGATTGGTTTTAATTCATATTTTCTTTATTACTATTAATCTATTTTCATGAGTTCTAATCACTATTTCAATGTTCCAGAACTTTCCCTCTCTAACTTTATTTATTTATTCGAATCAAACATTTTTATGAGCTCATTAACTCTATATGAATATTTGCTACATCATCATACTCATGTATTGATCCTTAATCACACTCTTATGTATAACAAATGTCAATATCTGTTATAATTTGAATTTCAAATAATTTAGGTTGTAAGCAGCTGATGAGAACCTAACGAAATAAAATGAATTCATATTATTCTGCATCAATCTTTGTTCTTGCTCTATTTAAGATAATAAAGGGAACTATGTGTATGAAATTTTTAAAGAATACCTTATTACACATTTACTACTTGTTAAAATTCGTTAGCTCTAAAGTTGGTGCATGTTATCAAATATTCTCAACAGAATACAATGTACAGATGTGATCAGTTGCATAGTATAGTTATGTTTTATCAATGATTTTCTGTGTTCATAAACACTGATTGTCAGAAAAATGGGATTCCATCCTGCATAATAACGAGATGCGCTTGCTTCGGTCTGGGCACCCGGGCAGTATCACAGCCCTCATACATATCGAATGAGATTTGTGTGGCGCATATGTATTTGGTGACTCTTTGTATCAATATCTATGTGTTGAAATAAAATAAATAATTTAGTAATACGTATGATAAATAGTGATAGTTGGTTTATTTCTGTTTACCAAAGAATTTTGAATATCGATCGATCTTATCAATCTCCATCAAATCTGAATGTAAGCTATTACAATAATCAATAGAATTTAGAGGCCTTTAGTCATCTAGACATATACAAATAATGTTAATACTGAAATGAAAGTATTCAAATACAAATGGTGAATGTCAAATCAACATGTAACCCCTTCAAATGTATTGCGAACAAAAACTACCTGACACAGTAATTCTTTACAAAAAAATCTGAATAGTTAAATATATGCATAGAACGTTTTCACATGAGAATTTAGAAGAGTTTGTAGGACTTCTTAATTTCACTGTCACTGTTTATATTTACACTGAAAATTTTGCAATTGGGTTTATGTAAATTTAAACATACATTGGTTATAAATGTCAGTCAATTAAAATTTTGAGTATAACTTATTGTTGTGAAAAATATGAAATAATTATCTGGCTTACTTCGAAATCTGTTAAGATCCCTTAATATCATTTCCTTAAGGCATAGTCAAACAGTTGTGATTGAAAAGAACTATTTAAACAGCATAAAATATTGGTATATTATTTAAAATTACATAACAAATAATTACTGAAATAAACCATAGTTGTCTTAGTATTTCTGCTGTAACATTTATTTCAGGAAATTCACCCTTAAGCTGTCTAATTTGTTTAACATATTCACGGAGAATATTATAGACCACTGAAATACTGATCCTCATATAAATATGAGGTGTATACTCCTACCGTTTTCAAACATTTCATGATCGAATCCCACTTCATTTAATTCAGTTTGAAAACTACATGGTATTATCAGTTAAAACAATGTGGAGTTTTAAGCTGAATACATTAAACCATACTTGATCACTGAGTCGCATCTGACATAATTGAATTAGTACATGCGAATTATCTAGTAAATTACCTCTTTCTTGCATTGGTGAGGTTATGTTATACCTTTGTGATAAAACTTAGTTAAAACTATGAGTTACGGTCTCACTGACATATAAGTTTAAAAAGATAATAAAGTTCATGAATAAATACAAAAATCAAAGTATACAATCATTGACACTCATTTAAACTGCCGATAAACAATAGGGTGGTCATCATCATTGTTGATCAGTTGAAGATGTTATGTCAAAGCACTACTTTATTGGTGTAAATTATTTTTCTTTTAAAAATAGTCAGTGACCTTGAATTTATTATTTACTATGTATAATCCTTATGGAAGGCACAGGCGATTGAAGACAAAGATTATTAGAAATATCTGATATATTCGATCAATACATTTCGAACAATCTGATGACACATATATTTGTTAAGAACATTTACACATATGAAAAATTATAAGATCAAAAAAATAATAAGGAAAATAATGTTAGAAATAATATGAAGCTAGATAATAAAGCTAGATGATATATTACTAGAGTAGGTATGGGGTGAGAACAAACCGATTTTGAATAAATAGAAGGGATTTAAATGCCCGTATGGTCAAAGCTTCAATAAACCTTATCCACAGATCTTATAGTCTTTGTCTTCTTGTTACACTATCTCAAATGTATCAAAGAGACTAGTTGTTTTAAATTGTTAAAACAATTTGGATTGGTTGAAGTTAGACTTTAACACCGTTGTATGCCCGCTCAGTGGTCTAATGGTTAAGTGCGCACGCGCGAAACCAGTAGGTCCTGGGTTCGAGTCCCGCGAGGTGCGGGGTCGTGGGTGCGCACTGCTGCGGTGTCCCATACCAGGATGAAACGGCCGTCCGGTGCTTCCAGGTCTTCCGTGGTGGTCTAGCTTCAATTGACTCATGATTTCAACTTGTGAAAACAATTTGTGTCAGTAAAGTTCATCGCTTATAGATTCGGTTTGCCAGATTAGTTTTCATTATTTGGATTGATGACTGACAGATGTATCAATAAGAATTTCGAGGAAAACCTTAATCGACTGATTGATTGGTACTTTTATATGTAGCAACTGGTATTTTATCAATGTCATTTGTAATCCCAATTCTTTCTCTAAACCTTTTTGTATCAAGTTTTAAAAAAATCTCGGTAATTTTTGAAGTCAAGTATCTTTTTAATAAGCTACCTATTCCAGATTCCACTTCATTTAGCTAATACACTGAAAAAGAATCTCAGAATACAGTTAAAAATTTATTCGATGTCCCTTGATTTTCAATTGCTCTTCAAACCTAATCAGTTCATGACGAGAACTACTTTTAAATCTAACTATTGCTTATAACTAATTAGATAATTGGTAATCAGTTGCTCACTAAGAACTAACTTTTAAATAAATTTACAATGTTCCACTAAGAAATTGTAATCGGTGGATATCAGCAATGTTGGGTGTGATACAAATGTCACATATGACATCGGATGACGATGATACTAATATTATTAGCTAAAAGAGGTTTGAAATGTGAATCATTGAATTCTCGCTGAGTGGTTGAAAAGTAACGCTCTCACAGTAAGATATGAACTCCTTGCGTTCGACCTGTAGTGTTATCATCATTGAATACTGACGAGTCATTCTAGGATGGGGTAAAACATTCGTCCGATATTCCGTGGTGGCCCACGGTTCTTTCCCTATACAATACCATTTTAACCAGTCAGACTTATGACTTTTATTTCACTCCATACAAAAAAACGTCATCTTCAATGATCAGTGTAATCTTAATAATTACACAACTTTATATAGTACTCTTCAGCATCTAGTTGTTTATTTAAAATTATTCATTTCCGATGTGAACTATCACCATGGTAAACAAATCAATCTTCGACGCATATATATATATATATATATATATATATATATATATATATATATATATATATATATATATATATATATACGAATTACATAACGTTTATTTGACGTAAACTTAGCTTAGTTGATATAATGAAGAATTTTATAAATGGTGCATTAATTAATTTATCCTTCCTTTCATAAATTTAATTGCTATTAATAAAATGAATACAAATGAAAGATTAGAAAATTCGAGTTATCAAAATGTCATCTAACAATCAATTAGAAATAGCTCCCCCATTAATTACATCAGGTTAGTTAAATTATGTTATGATATTCAATTTATCTGAGTTAATTGATTAAAGAATTATTATTGTATAAGAATATAACAATTCAATTTGTATTATTGGTGGTACAATATTGATATCTTTATAACTCAATGCAAGTAAAAGAGTACAATAAGAACACACTATTAAAATGGTGTCAAGAAAAAAATCAGAGTACATTAGAAAAGTAGTTGTACTCTATTTTTCAGTAGTATGTAACCAAACCAAATAGTCGAAATAAATGTATTCAAAATAATTTTGAGAAAATAGAGATTGAATAGAATGATACAGAGAGTTTTTCAGGGATTAACTGATATTTCTTATATTGGGAACCATAATTCAAATAAGTTCCGAAGGTTAATGAAAAAACATTTTACTATAAATACAAGTTCACTTAAGATAGTAAAGTAAAAGCCTTACATAGTAGTGCTTACAGAATCTTATTTTAATAAAAATGTTCAGTTGAAACAATGTAAATGTGATAAATTATTATTCAAACTAGCCCACAAAATGCTGAAATAATACGTAAATCAATTGTCTTATAGAAGTATATATACAAATGTAGTGAACGGAAACTCAGGTACGGTAAATTAATTAATTGTTTCATGTTAAATCAAACAGTGTATTTGTAAAATATGAAAGTTATACATTAAATACATCACTTGCATATCTTCCTCGAGTTGTTCTTTACACACTCCATCATTCTTCTAATCCTATGGTTATTGAGATTTCTCTGTTCTCTTTTTGCTTCTCTTTGTTTCAAACTTCTTCTGATAAACGTTCTAAATCCGATTCTCGCTACATACCATTTAAAGAACACACTACACTAGTATGATTTTCAACCACTTGTATTTTGTGATGACATTACAAACACTTCAGTCTTTTATAGTAGATTGGTTAACGTTAGATGTGTACACCAATAGATCTCGGATCATTGGTCTAGAGATTAGGAATTCTCATGTAGGACCGAAGGTTACGTATGTGTCAAGATTTTAACTGAATAGATATTATGATAACATTAGTGAAATTTCAAACGAGTATACATGAACAAATCTCCTTTAAGAATATAGAAAAGTCAAGCTTTAAAGTATTGTGTTTGTTTGAAAGTGATCTCTTACCAAGTTTTAAATAAAAACTGACATTCATCACCGTTTTTAAGGGACACGATTGATACAGAACAGGTCTCTCTAACAACTTAGAACTAAAGTTACTGTTGTAAAGCAGGGCAGTTCTAGTTTGGATTCATGAAGAATGATGTGCTAAACAAATGAACTTCACAAATTTTCCAAATGTTTGTTTAAACTGTTCTAAATTTACAGTGAATTTTATGCCATTTTACACCTCTGATCAATATTGACTTTCACTTAGATACAGAGAACTATTATTTCAAATTATCTCATCAATTAGTATTTAATACAACCGACTATATAAATAGCTTTACAAACTTCATTATATCGTTAAGCGTTAAATTTAAACATGTAATTGGATTCTTAGTCTCCAGTAATCAAAAAGATATCTGTTTTACTTCTTTTCAAATTTTCAGATCAGGTAGATAATACTTTGAAAGAAAATGTAAGCGATCCATTTTAAACAAATGAATTCAGTTTATTTGTGATGGTTTATTTAGAATGTGACGTCAGATATATATATATTTTTGGATGCACTGTCACTCAACTCATGCTTTTGTCGATATGATAGGATATAAAAAAATATCCAAAGCTGATCTGAGTCTATTATTCCTTCAGTTGTTTATTTACTGGTTGCCATCTTACATGAATTCGATTACTTATCAGGTCACTTGTTATATTCAAAATATTTGACTATGTTAAAACTCTGATTGTAATCAAGCAATAAACGTTATTTCGTGTAACTTATTTGTCAAATGCGAATTTATGTATTAAACTATAAGCAACATTAATTGTAAATTTAAATGATACTAGGTGGTTTCATAAACTGAAGGAATTGAATGTGCTGAAAGAATGTGAATATACCATAAATTATATTTGTCTATTATGTTTCATTGATTTTATCCGCGGACTTGTAATTAAGACAAGAAATAAAGATCTGGTAAAACAAAAAATTTTAAACAAATGAACATTTTTAACAAATATATGAACTTTTATGAACCAAGAAAATTTGAGCACTTATCAAAGTAATAATTTGATATAAATTGTATATTCCCCTCTTGAATATCTTTGATTGTTCGGAAACAGGTTTTCAGTGATACCATAACTGACCTCAGCGAAGAGAAATGTCAATCTGATGCTATTAAAAGATATACAAAATCAAATACTAGCTCTATCTATTATGAATTGAACTTCTGGATAAAAATTTTACTGATGAAATTAAATCTTGAATCAACAGCTCACAGTGATCAATCATCAACATAGATGTAGAATAAACTATGGTATTCAACGAAATTTATTTAGTTTTGATAGAACTTCTCCCATCGATAAATTTGACTAAAGCAGAAACAATTAACGTGAAAGAACAACACAGATTTCGCTGTTTCTCATCAGCTATAATGCTTACTTTCATCATTTTGATAATTTCTCCTCGCTTATTCTGCATATGTACTGTAAATATATATGGAGAGAGAGGAGCGGATTGGACGAGAACATAAACATATAATATGTGATTTAAAACTAACGCATGTATCAATCTTAGAATGTCTTTCAACCAACGCTCTCATTTTGTGACTTCTACCAAACATTCATGAAATGAAAATAAGACAAACAACTTGATAGGAAAAGGTCTAAAAGAGGCTGAAACCAAAATAGATGAATACCCGGACACCTTATTTATGTCTGTAATGAAATCGAAAAAGCCAAGTTTTTGAGATTCTATATTAAATGCCATTTTTGAATAGACAGGGGATATTTGTTCAATAGACCATCCAGATTCATCAAAATGAAATGGATTTACCTTTAAAATCTTACGTTTTCTCCCTTTCTACTATTGACATATTGAAGCAGACAACACCGATAATTTCCAACTATTCAGCTATATTGATTCCCCATTTTTACCTGTTTTTAATTTAGAAATAATAGTGATGAAGGAGACGTAAATAAGTATTTCTTGACAAAAATATTGACTATCGATATTATTCCTTTGAAGAGACGAGAACTATCTTAAATGTTTATTTGTACAAATACTTATATGTAATTTTAATATAATTCCAAGTTTTAGAAATATTTCTCTAACTGAATGAATTCTTTCTTAATTTTGCTTAGGATGTAAAAACAATTCGTGGCACATTAATTAGTCAGGTTGAAGCAAACCGACAAAAAAGTAAACGATTAAAACAATTAGTTGAAGAACGTCGGGCAACGGTAAGTGATTTGTGAATCTTCGCATAATTTTCCATAGATACTGTTCTGTTAGTAATAATATCAAAATATTTTTAAATGGAAGCTTATTGCAAGTTTATTCAGGCATATAAGCATCAAAAAACCCTGATAGCATTGTAACAATGGTTCAACGAACACAAAATAGAATTACATCAAACTTGTGCACGCTTTTATTCATGCTACCAGGTTGGAATCAGAAAATCAATATTTTTAGATTCACTTTTGTTACTGACTGAAGCTGACAGAATGTAGGAGTTATCGAAAAATTTAAAACTATCAATCATCGAGTTCTAGCAGCATATGATTATTGTTAAAAAATTGAAGCAGCTTGGTTTCTAGTCTTAGTATGTGTCCGAAATCCATAATTATTATCTCAAACTGAGATTGAAATGTGCTGTTCAATGTTTTTAGTAACCTATGTTAAGTTTAACTGTTTTTTAGAATTGAATTTATTTCTGATGTGCAAAATTTCCACCTATGTATTTCCTCAGTATTCCTTTCACGCTTACTTTGCATTGGACTATAAAACTATCTAAAGTGTGTGGTGTTGCTAAAAGTTTAATACACTTAGTAAGGTAAATGAGCTAACAACTTAATCAGCATAATATTTCATTTTTTTTTAAATATTGCACAAACCATAAACTTTTGAGTAACTACATAGTTAAGTATCAGTATAAGAAGTTCTTACAATTGACTGATCACTGAGTAGTCCTTCTTAGTATTAGTGGAATTTTACCGATTCGTTTGCAATGTGGCCACTAGTCTGAGCGACCCATCATCGCGTACGCTATGTTGGGATTTAAGATAGTATTAAGAGATACCTTGTTGACTATCTCCGACCATCACCGTAAAAGAAACCTGTTTAACAGTAGAGATTGAGTACAACGAAATTTCAAAAATTTAGCTAAGTCTCATATGATATGAAATAAGATTCTCTTGACAATACATAAATCATTTATTATAATTTAGAAGGCTCATGGACTTTATCGTGAACACTAAAATAATCTGGTGTCGGATAAACAATGCATTTATGGTTACAATAAAAGCTATGGACAAATACATCTACAGTTATTTATCAGTTTAGCGGAGATAACCATGTAATATTACTCGCAGTAAGATAGATAATGCTTTACTTCAGTTCTATCTAATCTAAAAGAATACAAGAATTTCCAGTAAAGTATTTTCATTTTCCTAATAGAAAGTTTACCATAATTTCTATACTTTGATAATGAATGCCATAATAAACAACAAAATCATGAAAATCGATATATATTCTAAGCAAAGATGGAAGGTGGCTAGTAATGAGATCCTGGACGCGTGCCTCGTCCTATTTGAGACTTGTCCGTTGAATATATCTGCATCCGAGAGTGAATGTTTACTCCGGGACTCGTTGGACATAAACGGAAAGATTCCAATAACCAATATTTACATAAATATAAAGCGAAATTCATCCTATTGAACAAGCCGTTAGCTATCTGGACACTGTAGCTAAGTGCATACCGCGATGGTGTTTGAAGTGAACGGTACTGGATTCGAGTCCCAAAGTGAACTATGGGATGCAAGTCAATCCAGATGACGAGTCCTAAATAGAACGAAAGGCGCGTCGTGGATCCCATTTATAGACACCGTTGATTTCTGATTAAAATTCTCGTAACTCAATGATAATATTTAGGCAATTCGCACAGGATGCATGTGTGCCAAAAGTGACTGATCAATTGCGATCCTAAACGTCAGTTAAATTATAACGAAAAATTACAGTTACTGAAATTTTTTCTAATGTTTAGCACCAATTATTATACACCGATATTTATTGTCAAATAACTTTATTATCAGAATGGGTTTTGTGGAGAGTTTTAGAAATTTCACAGGTTGAAATCATGAGTCAGTTGAAGCTAGACCACCATTGAAAACCTGGAAGCACTGGACGGTCGTTTCGTCCTGGTATGGGATCGTGGGATCATGGATGCGCACTGCCGAGGAGTCCCATACCAGGACGAAACGACTGTCCAGTGCTTCCAGGTTTTCAATGGTGGTCTAGCTTCAACTGACTCATGATTCCAACCTGTGAAATAACTTTATAGCTACGTTCTATTCAATTAAGTTTGGTTAACAAAGAAGATTTAGTTATAGAATTACTTTATGTGCTTCTGACAAAAAGCATCTAAAGACTGAGGTCTAGTTAGATGTAATTTAACTTTAAATAATTTGACTATTATACTATCTGTTTAGTTATAAATTATATTTGTATATTTAGGTGGATGGAAGGCATTTATACATAATTCAAACGGTAAGTGTTATTTATTTAACGAATTTTCATCATTCATTAACCATCGGCTAGTATTTTATTTGTTTAATACGGTTTGTGACGACTAATATATGCTTGAAACATGAACAATTAATCAGACTTACAATCATTTTGTGCATTTATATGACAGATTGGTAAAAAGCATTGTTATTATTATTTCAGTGTAATCTTATCTGTTATGTGCAGTTTTGTGTATTCATGCTTGTCTATCTCCATTTGCTTATGAAATTGTTTGTCTGTTTTAATATGTAAGCTGATTTTTTTCAGACATTTTTCCGTTCATTTAGTATGTTAGTTTGATTTTCACCGATGGCTTCGGTTCAATAATTTAAATTCATCTATATAATCTTCTATGAACATACTACTGTAGCACAACCTAACTTGCAGGATCAAAAAGGCAACTAAACAGAAAGTTAGAGCTTGAAACTAAATTTCCAGTAAAAATTATACTCCCACAGCAGCATTCACTGAATAAATGAACGGAACAATGCGAGATATTGAACTTTGAGAGGCAGATTCATTATAAATTGAGAGAAATTTGTCTTATCCCGGTTTATATTTCATCATATTATGGCTTCACATCAGGTGACGAAAGTGGTGATCACTTTGGCCACAAGACATTGTTTATACAAAATTGATCTTCATTTGTTTGTCATTATTAGCTTGATAGTTATTTTTTAGTTATTACAACTTAAGAGTTCAATTTCAACTAGATTCTGAGTTTAAATAGTATAGCAAACATCAGTACTGAGATACGAATAAAGACGTCTACCAAATTATGTAGAGAGCCATCGTTGGAACGACAGAAATATGAATATATTTGAACGTGGTAGTGACTAAGTCTATTTAGCTGATTAAAGTGTTATTTAAAGAATAAAATATTAATATTACTAAATTGCTTAACGGCAACCTGGCTAACAGTTGAATCCAGGACGCGCATTTTAACCGATTTCAGATTCCTCAACTGGATTTACGTGCCTCCTAGAGTTGATGTTCATTGAAATTTTCATACACAGTACCTTGCACTTCAAACGCTATCGCTTTATCCAATACCCGGTCCATATAGCTACTGACATGTTCAGCTAGTATGAACTTTAATTTAAATAATGGTTTGGTTTACTCAACAGGTGATATTTTAAATGAAACTCGATAAGTCTCATTAATTTTTATGAAACTTAGCAACATCAATAACTAATCATAAAAATATTATTTTTCGTCAAAAAACAAAATCACCTCGAGAAGAATTGAAAATCAAAATGTACTGAACAGTTTTTCCATCAACACTTTTGAACTTTTCATTCATCCCTTCTGTCTACTAATGATTTCACCTCAATGTTTCTATGTCTTGAGGTAAACACGAAGCTGGAATTTTAGTAAGTCACATTTAAGATAAGATATTGCTTGAAACAATACATTTTTAAATAAGTATGAAAAAGTCAACTATAAAATATTGGATATGATTTCTCATAGTCCTCACCTCTATGTAGTTTTACGTTCTAGCGAATGACATGCTTTTTTTAAAGACAGTTAAGTTGAATATGTCATTTTCTGGAAGCTTATATTCTGACAAAGTCTTCTCATTTTTGAAATAACCTATGTATAGCCTATGTATATTAATTAACATTTCGTACTTTACGTTGCATGGTTAATTCACAAAGCATATATTGTCGTTCTGAATCAAATCATCCACGTCTGGTTCAGTCGAAAACCCTGAAATTCAATCATACGACTTTGAAAAGAAAACCGCAAAATATCGTCCAAGTCAAGTATTCATTTACTTTACTAACTTGTTTTTCTTTTTTTCTTCTTTTTATTCATTTCATAGTTAGCCCAAGCTATACGACTTGAAGTTCAATTAATCACTGATACCTTATTAATGGACGATAAAGTATGTAGAATAAATTAATATTTGCTAAATCTATGTAATTGACTATAAAATATTCTATTTTATATTCATACCTAATTAAACAAGTTCACTAACAGAATTGAAAGATGAAAATGTTTCACAGTTCTCCGAGACCAGTTGCTACTGTTTAAAATAATCAATGAAATTATAATTTACGTATCAAAGAACAAAAAGAATACTATTATTATTAGAGAAAACTAAGTATGCCGGAAATTGGTTTTTATCTATAAGTCATCCATGATTGATCGTTTCTTTAGTGTTTTATGGTGAGCAGAAGACTATGATGTCGAATGCTAAAGAAAATGTCACTCAAATGAAGTGATTCAAAAACAAAGATCAATATGAAAAGTTCAAAAAGTCTTTTAAATGAATCGCAAACTTAAAAGTTACCCTAAAAATAGGAATATTCTCTCAGTCTACTTTAGATTTCTAACTAAACTAAGATCATACTGTTAAAAACATAATCTACTGATTTATTTTGGGAATCCCATTCGGTATATGATTTAAAGAGGTTAAAATCCCATATCACTTGTTAGTTGAGACCTTTGTTCCCAATATGAATAACTCATATAATACAAAATATAGTTTATTATTTATAACATTTTAGGTTTTCCTGTTGTTTCTTTTTAGGAATGGATTTTGATCAGTTCCTTAACTCAGTAGCTCAGTAGATAAGGCTTTCGCATTTTAAATGGTAGATACTTGGTTCAGTTCTGGATAAAACTCAACACTATACACCAAGCGGATAGGCGGAGAATAAGACATAACAAACTTCCTGAAATTCATAACTGACCCAATTTCAAAAACATCAAAAACTTTATCTTTTCATGAATTCTAAAGAAAATGAATGCAGCTTAGGTTATCATCATCATGTCTATTAAAAGGATCACTGAATCTAGGTTTTGTTCTAAATATGGCTTATTATCATGACGTACCTAGAATTTTGAGAGTCATTGCGTTTTCTATCAAGTTCTAACGCTCTTCATCCAGTTTCCCAGTCTCAGTAGGTAACATCAAGTTATCCAGCCCGGGACTGACCTTCTTTAATACTCAGATGTTTGTATCCATTATTCATTGAGTGGTAGTAGTAGAACTCTGCAGGGAGTATCAGTTTCTTGGTGGGTTTCTTACAGATTACCTTTAGTCATTTAGCATCAAAACATGCTCGACAAAATGTCGAGCCACTCTTAAAGCACTATCACTTAATTGTTCGGACTAGCTCAGTACCCAAGGATTACACAAACATGAGATTGTTTGATACCTAGTGGTCAGTCAATAAGATTATTAAAATGTGATAACGTTTTGCTTTCTCGAATGTTCCAAGATAATTCTAATGAATGTATACCACATTTTTCACAAGTATTAATCTGATTATGTTAATCTATTTATTAATAACACCATTACTTATCACTTTAACAATTATCTAACTTCAGTGGTCCGAATTCGATGAATTCTTTCAAGCTAAAGGAAGTAAACGATTATTATTCTATTATCAGGAAGTTAGTTTCAGAGATTTTGCAATATTTTAAAGTAATTTGTTAAAATAAACCAGTTACTATGAAATACACTATCCACTGATAAAAAGATTAGTCTATTAATTTTAATAACCATAAAGATAATTCATGTTTCAGGTATGTATCAAGAACTCTATACAGTTATAAATTTAGGATCTTCTAATCAATGAATAATCTAATCGTTTAATTCAGAACTGAATTCGAACAGATCGCAGTATGTTTGCTCTTATATTGGTTATTTTAGGGAACTGATCACATCAGACTTGTACATTTTGTATTAAATCACTAGAGAATTTCTTCGATTTACTTACATAGACAGCCTAACAGTGATATTTTATATTCAACAAAACATATTGAATAACCTTAAGAATGTAAATAAAAATAATATATTTGTAATATCCCAATGAGTAGAAAATTGGATTTTCTGACGTTTCGTGACTTAGTGTAAGTCACTTCTTCAGAGAATAAATAACCAAATTAAAATTAATCCGAGTTTAAATAGTACAACGGAGCAATGCCAGAAAATCCAATTTTGTACTCATTGGGATATTACAAATATATTATTTTTATTTATAACAATCAACCCAATGCTCAATTTATTCGAAATTATCAAATCAAACCTTGGTAATGACACCTACAACCTTAAGAATGGTTGGTGTGGATACATAACTACTAAAGAGTGTCACTAAGTAATTACTAAAACAACTCACTGAGATACCACCTAATTAACTATAGAGACTTTACATCGAGGGTAATCTATTGAAAATCATTTAGAAAATAAATCACTTCATTAGAATATAGTACAGCTTGAAATATCATGGAGTTTCTTGAATTCAAGGGCCAAGTTAATATTTTATCTCATATTGACTTATTTTCATGTACTTGTGTATCGCCATTGTGACAGTCTGAAAGAAATCTAAGCTACGTCATCATTATAAATTCTTTAGGAATATAATTTATTATTCGTTCACTTAATGGAATATCTTCATGAAATTTTAACATTCGACACTTCCAGACTCGACAAGTTTCAAATGAACTTAATTTTTAATAGTCTAGCGCAATGAAATGAAATGTGCAAAACTAAAATAAATCTTATTTAGTAATTTATTAAATAGAAATAACCTTGAAAAAAATGTTCGTCTGTAAAATGTCTGTGAAAACCTATTTTGTTCTTGATGTTTTCATACATACATTTGAAGTAGCATTGATGTTGTCAAAATTAGTGAATTTTTTCTGTGAAAAAAGTACGTTTTCATAATGGAAGTGTCTGTTTCTCTCATTTTGAACAACTCTTGAAGGTAGCTTTTGACACGAACTGACATAAACAAGAGCAATGATTAAAAACCTCAAATCACATTTTTATTTGAAGTTCATAACAATATTAAAGCTCTTCCTTAGTGTTCAGTTCTTCTCTAGCCAGTGTCACTCTGTTTTAAGAACTGTCATTGACACCTGGCTGAAACATACTTTCCACTAAATTAATTATTATCTTGGTTGAGATCATCAACAGATCGATATTAGCGTTCGTGCGGTAGACCGAAGGTTCTGGGTAAGAATCACACATGCAAGATCACTGATGCACACTGCTGAGGAGTCCCATACTAAGACAAAACGATCATCCAGTTCTTCCAGGTTTCCGTTGGTGGTCTAACATTGATCCATTCATGATCTCAATCAAAACTCAACAATTTTCACAACCCTATACTGATGGATATTATTTATTGTGCAGGCTGTTGGACAAACAAGAAAAAGAATATTTATTGCTACTGGGACTCATGAAGTAAGTATTGTACAAAAGTGAATATTTCTTCAGCAAATATAAAATGACATATTTCCAAATTTTTGATAAGACATAAAACGTTTATAAAGCTTTTGTAGTTTTTCCATGAATTATATTTTGGTTAAGTGATTGTTCATAAGTTATTTTACGAAGTTGAACTCCACCGGTAATTATTTCTTATCACAACTTCAGGTAACCATTTCGAAGTAAGTCATAAATAAATATCTGATTATTGTTTGGTTGAGTAACGGATGGAGATTAATTTTTAAAAAACTTGAATTTAGTCTTCTTTCAACTACATCAGAAGTAAGACAATTACTCATCGGTGATACCAAACTACAAACTAAGTAAATATAGGGAATGAACCACTGGATTATAACAATAAATAAAAGACCACAAGATGATAAATTAGCTAGAACTAGTATCAATAATGAGTCGGCATTACAACTGATAGTGTGTGTATGAAAATTAATGTAATAAAATGAGTGGTTTATCTAACTCAAGTCATTGTTACAGACGAATATGTAAATTGATGCCTATACAAAATCAGATGTATTAAATGTCAATGAGTCAATTATATGTCATCAATGTATGTCACAAAATGTGTTATCTAATGAGAAGACGATTTTATAAACTTAAAGGAAACTACTCTGCGTTACAGAACTGGCTAATGACAAAACGTCTGCATTATTATTCTATCCAGACATTCATCCGTGCTCTGATCTTCTCACTAACAAATAGATCTAGCGATCATCGATTTAAATCTTTAACCTAATCGATGATTATTGCTCTTGGATGATCGATTATAACCTAAAGACAGAATTGGATTGCTTTTATTATAGCAACTATTTCATTAACATAACGTTTTATTACAATGTCAACTTTTAAAATTATTAGTAATCATTTACAAATAATCCCGTCATTGTTTATTTGTTAGAAGAATCAAACAGACTTTTGAAGTTTACATCAAACTAATTTTATATATGCTGTAAATTATACAATTTTGTTAGTTTGATGAAATAGTGACTGAAAGCTTTTAAATGATGATCAGGTTTGTGTAGATTTTCTTACCATTGTAAAAGTAATAATTATCCAGTTAAACTAGAAGTTCAAAACCGTCCATAACTATATAGGTGAAAAATGTATTAAGTTGATCTTAAAGTCAAGTTCTCAGAATAACATAATTTGTAAAGTTGAATAACTTTTCCTGAATGTTTTTAATATGTCTTGGAACAGATTTATTTGTGAAGATTGTGACCTGAACTAACTATTGATTATGAATAAATTCTACTTGCCGCTGATTCCAACGGATCGAGATTACTTTGTCGAGACATGGAAGAAAACTGGACAGCAGAAGAGGATTCATTTATTCACTTACCATCCACTAACATCCACAATAATAAACTACAAATTGTTTTAAATGCTTCGGTCAATCAATGATTTTTAACTGAACTGATGGTTAATAAATACATAGTTTGAAAAACCAGTAAATTAACTGACTTGACTGAGAAATATAGCTAATCACTTGATTTTATGTTTGTTTTATTACGGACAGTTTTATTAAGAAACGTTAATTTGTAACTTTAATTTTAAACACTTGTAGTACAGTTTAAGCATATTCATTTAAACTCTCCTATAAATTTAAATTTTCGTTCTAATAAAACATTTTTGATAATCTTGCTAGACATTCAAAGTGGTTTAGTTTTACAAGTAGAATTAGGAACAGTTCAAGTGTTTGTATATATTTAACATTATCAGTATGTGGATTTGTGGAAATTGTAGTAATTTTAATAGTTGAATTCACTCAAGTCTTGTGTGCGAGATCGTGGATGAGCATTGCTGGAGAGTCCCATACTGGGACGAAATGGCCGTCCAATTCTTTCAGGTCTTCAATGGTGGTCTATCTTGGATCGACTCATGAATTCAGCTATACATAAAATTATCAGCTTTATTCATATTTCATATATGATCACTCATTATTTTTTCCGTTATAATTTAGGTACTACGTGGTACATGTTTTATCTTTCTACGAATTACTGACAAGGCTATTACAACAGCAAATATTGGTACAGAAGTTTCATTTCAACAATTAGATGCAACAGAAGGACGTTTATTTGAATCTGTACAAAATTATTTGGAAAAACTCGCATTACCAGTATTCGAAGGATTAGGTGTAAGGTTCTTAATTTTTGTTCGATGTGTTTAAATTACATTAAAGATTTTATTATGACTAACCATTATACAGTCACTCAGTGGTATTTGTTTAGAAACTTTGACTACTAGACAATATCTCATATTTCCGACTTATAGACAAAAATAGATAAAGTACCAAATACATCTAGAGTGTCGATAATTTCAGGGACTGTACTCCATTAACATAAAGGAAAGGCGTTGATAAAATAAAGGTATATTAGTTGCAAAGTAGTTTGATTATTGTCTGCATGTACTATGGTATAAAAATTTGATAACACACATAAACAAGATTAAAAACATTTACATAGGTTGACAATGCACTTTTACTAACCTGATAAATTTGACTGGTATTAAAAAGTGATTATCATGTGTGAGTTATCTGTACTAAAAACTGAGTAACTTACATAACAAAATACTGAGTACTATATTTTAACCACTCCTTTGATCCATCAATCACTTATATTTCATCTATTTTTGCCATATTCTAATTTTTTACCACTGTTATAGTTCTTTCAACGATTAGAGGACTTCTATTGATGTTGACTGACCTAATTTGCTTGCTACACACTTTTGACCTGCTATTTAGGTATTATATTGATTGGTTTCTAAGTGACCACTGATAATTCTCCAACGAACCTGTTCTGTTTTTCTGAATGGCTTCTTGAGCTAACGTATTGTATAGTCAGCGATATAATGTTTCAAATAAGATGCTACTCAATTCCTGATTATGATTTACATGATTGAATATGTGTCGAATTGACAAAAGGAACTGAAAATGTTTTGGGTCAGCTCAGCTAAACGACCAACACAACGCAAGAAAGATGGATAGTGTCTAGCAGTGGAATCCAGAACGCGCGTTTCGTCCTATTTGGGGCTCATCAGCTGGACGTACCTGCATCACAGAGTTGATGTTTACTCTAGGACTCGAACCCAGTACAATTCGCTTCAAACATCATCGCGTTATCCACGTAGCTATTGAGTCCTGATAGCCACTTGCTTGTGCAATGGGGTGAAGTTTAATTCACTTGGTATTGTTTTACTTGAAACTTTCCATTGATTTTTAGGACTGAAATTGATCAGTCTCTTATTGGCATATGTGCATACTGTGCTCAGTGGATAACGCGATGAGATTTGAAGCTAATGGTACTGGGTTTGAGTTCCAGAGTGAAAATCATCTCTGAGATACAGGCACGTGCAGCTGACGAGTCCTAAATAGGAAGAAGTCCGCGTCCTGGATTCCACTGCTAGCCACTACCCATCTTTGCTTATAATGCTTGTAAATTAAGGCAATTTTAGAAGCAATACGCACAGTATGCACATTTGCCAATAAAAGACTGATCAATTTCAGTCCTAAACATCAATGAGAATATTCAAGTAAAACAATACCATGTGAATTAGAACGCAAGAAAGTTATACGTTTTTTGCGATTACTTCTTAAGTTAAAACTCGTACTTCTAAAATCTCCATGAATCATCTAAATAATATTATGTGGATTTATAAAGGATAGGTATGATAATAACTAATCTGCTGATTCCAATTACAAGTTGAACGAAAGCTGGATTTTTAAAATATTTTGAACACTTTAGTCGCCCTAACTATACGTATTTATTCGTCAGGTTTACGATCTATTTGTTAGTTGAAACATGAAACGTTAGTTATTCTTTGTCAGTTGGATCACTGTAATATTCATATATTTATCTTTCTTCACAGCTAGGTAGAAATATTTTAGTACCACTAAGTATAGCTTCTTTAATAGGTACACCACTTGATATAAAAATGGAAACCAGATGGTAATCAACAGTTGTTTGATTTTAGTATTGGACAGTTTGGTTATGTAGGGCCATGACCATCCCAGAGGCTAAAGCCAAGACGTTCAGATCCTTTATGTAAAATATATTCATTTGAACCATCTAAATTTTATATAACTACTGTACTCATGATAAAATATTCTTCAATCTAATACATAGGAATCTGATACAATTGAAAAATCACTATCAGAAACAATAAATATGGAAGAATTTGTTGCGGTACTCAGAAGATATTTAGATGCACTTTCAAGTGCTAGAGAGAATATGAGTGATAAATTGGACTTGACGGCCGGACAAGAATCAGAAACGGCTATACAAATAATCAATACAAATGAAATTGAAAATATTAGTAAGCTTTATCTTACATTGATTTTAACTATGATTGTGTACTGTTAAGCAATCCTATACTATGACGAAACAACCGTTCAGTGTTATCAGGTTCACAGTAGTGCTCTAGCTGATATTAGTTGGTGACTTAAACTAGGAAGATTTTAATTTTGTCTAAAATGTTTTATTTCTATGGTACGCACAACTTGCAATTTCAAATCTTCACAGTTATCAAATATTTTAGCCTCTCAAAATACTTATTTCTCAATAATTAAAAGTGGCTTGTAAGAAAAAGAAATATGTCATTGTTGGCTTATCGATATTTATCGGTGACAATAGGATGGTAGGAGAAACAATTTGGAGAAATGTGGTATTAGAACTTAAAGTAAAATAAATTATTTATTAAAGTTTACAAATGTACATCAGTAAACATACAGTGAACGTTCAGAGTCTTCAACAGTGATATCACTGTTTTGATGACATCTTTTCGGGTTATAATCAATAGTTACTAAAATCTTTGATAATATTAGAAACAAAAATATAACATTGAATCGCTCAAATTCTGTGTAGAAACTTGAAATGTTTTTTATAAACAGATGATACTTCCATGTTTACTATTTATAGTTGATAGTTCTGAAACAATGGATCGTTTAATTCGCTTAGTTGAGAAATGGGTTAATCAAATTGAACAAATATTAAACCAGTCTGATCAGGTTCGTAGAGAATCGGATGACGTTGGACCTTCGGCTGAATTGACCTATTGGAGAGCTCGTTTAGTTCGTTTCACTAAGTAAGTCAATGAAAAATTTGAAATGTTTCTAAGGTTGATTTAATAAAATTCTTACAACCTACTCAGTTAGTTCATATAAGAGAGTTTAAGAACATTATTTGTAAACTATCATGTTCAGTGTCAGCAATACACAGTAAAAGATCATTCGCATGACCAGATTTCGTTATACCGTGCATATTTATGGTTATTATATATTATTATGAAAAATAATCTTTGGAGAGTTTTACTTTAAAACTATATTTATTACAAGTTTTTCTGTCTATTATAAACATAATTTTTTTTCAACGTGTCTTAATGACAACAGCAAACTTCATGCCATGGTTATTTACTGGACTCCTCCATGAGAAATGATCAACCGTTTAGCATTAGCAATTTATTTTTATCTCTATCTATCTGGTTATCCTTAGTCTACAGTGGCTTCAATTATGTTTCGGAATTATTGTAGGCCTTTAGTTCACATAATTACTGAATATTGGGAAAAACTTGACTAATTTAAAGAGATATTGATTGACTCCATGAATATTGTAGTGTTAATTTCTATCATAACCTCAATTTATACTAATTTTCATATTATCCATTCAGTTTTGTCTTCAACTAATGATTCGTAAATCTGAAGAAATGAAAACTTCAATGATAAAATTTCTTTTAACTAACTACAATGAAAGGTAGTTATTACACTCAACAGGAATAAATTCACAAATGATGGGAGTTATTCTCTAACAATATAACTCAATGCAAAACTTCTATCATGTTTTTATCAAATGTTGTCACTATACAAGTTAAGTCATCATTCTTGTGTATAGAGTCCTGTCTATCAGTTTAGATTAACTCCATTAGTTCGATTAGATATTACTTAACTCATTGCAATTAATTAATAATTATTGAATTAATGCTACAATAAACAATTAACAAATTACGACCTTAAAAGATAAATACTAAATATCTTTCAAATTCAGTACACTATTTAATAATAAAAGATGTCCTCATTTAATATTCTCTTAGCCTTTTTTTGAGATTGTCTTGTTTATTCTGTCAAGTTTCATATTTAACTCAAATTGTTTTAACTAACTAAGAAGAGAATAGAAGCTTGTTCATATAGACGAGGTCAAACAATAAGACAAGATAATAATTTATCTTTTATCAATAAAACTTGTTTGAATGATAATTTACTAATCGTGTAACATAATTTAATTGAAATGGCCAATAATAAAGTGGTTCATTTCGTAGTTACTACCTTGATGTATTAGTTAAATTTGACAAGCACAACTATATCACAAAGGCTGGAGAATGTTATACTACCTCTTCAGATATTCTGACTGGGAAGAAGTAAAATCAAAGGCAGCAGATGTACAGGAGTTTCTTGACTCTGATGCTTTTCCCAAGGATAACCAGCAGCTCCAGAGTTGCTGCCTTCGTCTCTCCTTCTTCTAACACAAAAATATTTAGTCCAGAACAGATCATTTGCACTCGGCTAATATGGTGAATTGTTTGGGTAGTTTTACTTTCATTCCTAACTCTGAAAATCATTTGTCCAGTACTCAGGAATATTTTCTAAATCCTTACTTAATAGGCGATATAGAGAGTGATATTTAACATTCAAGCCTAGTTAACAGTCAGATAGTAACGAAGAAATATCCTAAACATGACATCTCTAGTGGAGCTGTAGTCTATAGACAAAATAGAAAAATAATTTCTAATGCCTACTTTGAACAGATCAATATTCAATTACTTTACATAAACTAGCAGTTAGAAAATATCTTTAGACCACGAGAAACTTGAGACGATTTCAGCAACATGTATTCACGAGAAATCCTTCAGACGACCTCTAATAAATTAGTTTTAACCTTCATGTCACAGAATAATTCAATTTGTACATGAAAATAATAACCAACTAATCTCGTTAATAGGTCTTAAAGTGAGTGATTTTCAAGAGCTCTGAAAGTATTAAATTCATCCTTGATGCAGCTTAAGATTTTTATCACTTGAATATTTGTACAACTGATATTGAGCAACTTTTGTTAATTGTTTCATGTTGTAAATATGAATCTTGTAATGTCACTAAGTAAGTCATATATAATCAAATAAAACTAGTAATGATTTTTTCGGTAATTACTTATTGTACCACTACTGTTCATTTGTCTATTTAGCTTAATTGAAGAAATGCGTAATCCAAGTATTCAAGCAATTATTTCTACTTTACACTATGCGAAAGCACGTGTAATCAAACATTGGCGTCAACTGGTAAGTTTATGAAAAGAAATGTTTCATGCACAATTCATGTCACCAAATATAACTAATTCACAAATTCGATTTTAAACAGTTTTAGTAAAAGAGAAGTGCTGACACTAAACGCAACTGATTGTTAACTTCCATTATTCATTCTTATGTAAATTATCCGAGTAACATAATATTCATTATGCTAACTTTTAAGCAATATAAATGTTGACCAATTTTTTGTAAATCAGTGAACTGAAAGGAAGCCGTTGAGAAAAATTACATTTAAGTAATTATTGGGAATTTGTGATTCTCTAGCACATTTGAAAGCATCGTGCATAGACCTATTAAAGTCGTGACCGATGTTCCACAGAATTAAATTTACCGCACTAGTGAATCACCGTAGAGTACCCAAGGTAACCAAGGCTAGATACTTTGAAGAGATGATTTGGAAAGCTAGAGTGCTCAGTTTTTCATTTAATGTATGGTGATCATATACATATTGAACTCACAGTGCTGATATGTTTTCAGATTAGACAAATGAACCTTACTATTCTTAACAATTTATTAACCAATTTAAATGAGCGATTAAGTGAATGACAGTCTTTTTTCTCATCTACTTTTCTATATTCACTTGCTTTAATCATGTTCAATATATTCGTATTCTTTCTTTATTGTTGATTTTTTAATGTTAGGACGATCGCATCATTAATGGAGTTAATGAAGCAAAAGATAATCTTAAATATCTGTTTACACTGGATAACTTTTTCGGTTCATTTTCCAATACAAATCCAGTAAGCGTCAGAATAAATCTCTAATCCTTTTTCATTTATTTTTTATTTAAATGATGTTATTGTTATCATTATACCAATATACAACATTTAAACTTAGATTCATTGACAGGTATTGTTTGACTTTTGATAAATTACAGACATTTTATTCATACTACCATATATCAGTGGATAAGCAGTAGTTTTCGTTTGCGAAATCATAGTGATCTAGCCTCAAAATGACCACTTATTAGTTGATGACAAGGTTATATAATCCTAAATACATAGAAATCACATCACTAATTTTTAATCAGTGAATGAAATAACAAATAAATTTAACTAGGTTATAATCGATTGACCACTTAATAGTGACAAATGTCGTATTTCTTTAGTTCTTTAGGCGATAGTCGAATTTTATCGATCTATTTACAGTGTTACCACTAGTACTGGATTTGAATCACATATGGAGTATCAGTTCCCGAATGATTCCAGGTATGCCTACTAAAGCGTAACGTTGTTTCAGAATTTTCGTGTTGACTACCTTCAGCCAACTAAACCAATTCCAATCATAATATAAACTTTGGCGAATAATAAGTATTATATGTTGAGTAATTTGGCAACTGTTGATAGGGCCGCATAAGTTGACAAACTTTATTTATGTGAAAAAATGAAAATGAAGCAAAATTGAACTCAGTAGAAGTTACGTCACTCTTTCCAAATCTTTATCTTTAAACTTCCAAAATATAAATTGATTATAATGTCAGTAGATGTGAGGAATTTACAAAATTGTTACCATGCTACCTTAAATAGTGATCAAACTACTTAACTTCTCAAGTCATTTGTGTATTAGTTGGTGTCCAGGACTGCGTTTGATCAGTCCTGAAGTGAACATCAACTGTGAAATGCATTTACATCCAGCTGACGAGTCCCAAATAGGACGAAGCACTCGTCATGGATTGCACTGCTTGCTACCATCACCTCTGCTTAAATAACTGATCTTTTAAAGGCTGAATATCGATATTGTCTTACACGCTAAATTTTCCTGTAAGCAGTTTACAAAATGCTATTTATACCAAAATAACTATATGTAAGGTCGTCCGAATCTTTTTTTACGCTTACCCGACTGCTAAACAAAATGGGTAGATGTAAAGAAAGATGCAACTATTTTAGTCTTAGTGCAGATTATCAAGTAGAGAAATGACTAAGTAATATGGTTTTTTTGAAAAACCACCTTGTTTATATCTTTAAAGTTTATTGAGCACCACGAAATAGAAGTTATAGTCTATGACAGCACATTAAAAGGTTTGTTTTGTAGAACATATGGCAATAGTCAATAAGCTGTATCGTTAAAGTTCAACACAGTTTTGTGAAAAGTGTCATGAACATCACATGTACTGACTCTACTTTATTCACCCATGGTAATACATTAGCCTATATGCTATAATTTGTGCGGTGTGGTCAAAGTAGCAAGAATTAAGGGAAATTGTTTTAATCTTTTTAATTGCATAGTCTTCCACTGGCACTCAATATGTATTCGTTAAATGAGTATCGGAACAATAATAAAAATATTACTAACAGTAATAATAACAGTTATAAAGGAAACAAGTTACATTATTAGCTTTAAACAAATTTAATTTTTTTTATAATCAAACTGGGATTTTGCGGAGATTTTGGTAATTTATTAATTGAATTCATGAGTCCATTGAAGCTAGACCACCATAGAAAACCTGGAAGCACCGCTTTAGAGGTTAAGTGTTCGCGCGCGAGATTGACAGGCACTAGGTTCAAAACTCTCGAGGCTGGGTCGTGGATACGCACTGCTAAGGATGAAACAGCCGTCCAATGCTTCTAGGTTTTCCATGATGGTCTAGCTTCAATTGACTTATGAATTAAATTATTAAATTAATTTTTTTAATTATTGATCAAAATTATGATTATCTTTGACCTAAATTAGAATAAATTGAAATCTTAATTTTCTATGGAGTGAAAAACTTATTTGAACCTTTTTTCAACTTTCAGTCTAAAATACGTCAACAATTACCAGTTCTACTCAATGCTATTCGTATGATTTACAGTATCTCTGAATATTATAATAATTCAGAAAGAATGACTTCATTATTTATTAAAATAACAAATCAAATGGTTGTTGCATGTAGAAAGTATGTAACAGATGGTGTTAGTCGAATATGGGATTTACCACGGTATGTGTATATGTGCATTTGCTATTTCAATTAATTATTTAAGAAGATGTTTAAGATTTATTGTTCCATTTGAGATCGATTTTACTATTATTTATTTATTTATTATTTATTTGAGCACATAAATATTGGTACAAGAGAGCGCCAATATATATGCGCCACACAAAACAATGAAAATTCGAAGAGAGAAAAGAAAAAAAAAAACTAAGGAGCACAAAAGAAAAAGAGAACGATAACAAAGAGATTGGTGAAAGGTAGTGCGGTCGTAACGATGGAACGGAAAGGTACAATCGGAAGAAATCTTTCAAGTAAGGGAGACACAACCACTTTTTATGAAGAAAGTAAAAGAAGGTTACAGCAGGATCGCCACTGGCTTCTATTCTGAGCCATATCTGATAACGTCTCTAGCCACTGTGTAGCACCATCTCTCAGACCCCAACCAGGGAGTCGTGAAGGACCGACAGAAGCCAGTCCTTTGCAGCTTTCTTTCATACCACGACACCATGTCATGCACTGACCACCTCTCCGCTTTTTCCAACCAGTCCCAGAGTCGGCAAACAATGCACGACGTGGAATTCTCTGGGACGACATTCGTAGAACATGTCCAAGCCACCGAAGTCGGTGTTTCAAGATGGTGACACCAATTGAATTATCATCTCTGTGCCCAAACACACGATGCCGAACCTCTGCATTACTAACATGGTGTTGCCACTGAATGTCAGCAATCCTTCGGAGACAGCGATGATCGAACACAGAGAGTCGTCTAACGTCCTCAACTCGGAGAGGCCAGGTTTCACAAGCATAGAGCAAAACTGCTCTCACCGACGCGTTGTAGATTCGACCTTTTACAGCCAGACTAACATCACGAAGGCGCCAAAGGTGGCCCAGATTGGCATAAGCCGCTCTGGCTTTCACTATACGTGCATTGATCTCATCACTCACACCCCACCAGCACTTATGCAGCTACCCAGATACACGAACTTCTCGACTACTTCTATCTGCTCACCATCCAGGGTGAGTACAGGATTAGAATCCTGCCAGTCTTGTAGAAGTACTTTGCACTTCGAAGGTGCAAAACACATACCATACCTACGGACACTGATTGCCAACTGATTAAGTGCGGATTGCATGCCTTGGGCATTATCGCACAGTAAGACAATATCGTCCGCATACTCAAGGTCAAGAAGTCTTTCTCCAGGCAACAGATCCACACCACCATTACTTACATTCATCAGAGCTGTTTCCAGAATGTCATCGATGGCAAAGTTGAAGAGGAATGGTGAGATTGGGCAACCCTGCCTAACCCCACTACTCGTATAGAACAATGGAGAGAGGTGGTTGTATGCCCTCACTCTGCCTGAGGTGTTTTTATATAGGGCTTTTAGGATGTTAATAAACTTCTCAGGCACACCCTTCTTCAATAGACAATCCCAGAGAACAGTCCTGTCTAACGAATCGAAGGCAGCCCTGATGTCAAGAAACACTACGTTTGTTGGCCTTTGATAAGTATGGCGATGTTCTAACATTTGGCGGAGGGTGAAGATATGATCAATACAACCTCGACCAGAACGAAACCCAGCCTGCTCCTCGCGAGTCAATCTTTCTCGGGTTTTGAACAACCTACGAAGTATGACGGAAGCCAATAGCTTGGACGCAATCGGAAGTAGACTTATCCCCCGATAGTTGTTGCAGGAACGACGTGAACCCTTTTTAAAGATGGGGACAACTATCGACTCATTCCATGACGTTGGTACACTCTCTAATTCCCAAACCTTTGTAAACAACGTCGTCAATTCCTTAGTCAAAAAGTCACCACCATCTTTAAAAAGAGCCGGAGGTAAGTCATCTGGGCCAGGTGATTTGTAACGCTTCAAGAGTTGGAGTTCCTTGCGGACTTCCTCCTCGTTTGGTGGATCAGTCGTCACCGGCCATGGAGGGCAGGACAGTCTGACCGATGTTGCCGGAGCAGCAGGCCAGTTGAACTGCCCTTCGAAAAATTCTGCCCATCGTCCAAGACGTCGATGGATGTTAGTGATTGGCATCCCATCATCCTCGCAGATTGTTTCACTCACACCAGACTTCTTGCTGCCAGTGGCTCGGATGAGCTGGAAGAGCTTCCGGTAGTTACCAGATGCAGCTGCTGCTTCCAGCTCATTAGCACGCTCCGACCACCAGGCTTCTCGGTCCTTACGCAAGCTTTGCCCAATTTCCCTACGTAACATCCTTCGTTTATGGTCAAACTCACGGTCACCCGGAGTCGACCGACGGGCTTCAATAAGTTGTAAGGAACCAGAAGAAACCCAGTGCTTATAAGCGGGACGTTTCGCAAACCCACAACTGACTGTTCCCGCCATTTTCATGGCGTCATGCAATTGCAACCAATGCTCATCTATACTTTTCGGTGGAGTGGTAGCTAGCCTAGAAGCTAGCTCGGTTCGATACTTATTTGCAACAGAGGTTGCAACCAGCTTGCTAATATCAATCCTTTGGTGGTGGTCACTTCGTTGTCCACTGAAAAGTAAGGCAAGATTGGCGCAGACCAAGGCATGGTCAGAGTCCAGATAGGTACTCCAAAAGGAGCGGCAGTCTTTTACACAACCACGCCAGCGGAAGCTGATCGCGATGTGATCAATCTGAGTCCAGGCTTGGGATGCAGAGGGAGGACGCCAGGTGGCACATCGGCGATGACTGTGCCGAAAGTTAGTGCTAGCCAGAAACAGGTTGTGGTCTGTGCAAAGTTGCAGTAGACGGTCCTCGTTATCTGACCTGCGACCAACGAGTCCCCATCGGCCACCTAAACGACTCTCTTCTGTGCCTAGACGCCCGACCTGAGCATTCAAGTCTCCGGCTAGTACTACAATATCTGTCGAGCGCACTTTCTGGAGAAGAACAGACAGCTGGTGGTAAAACTCATCCTTGATTGCATCCGGGCTGCAATCTGTCGGGGCATAGGCGGAGATGACGAAAAGACATCGTTTCTCACGCCGATTTCTTCTCACTTTGATGGAACTTTCTAATCTAACAGCACATAACCGACTGTTAATGGGGATCCAATCGACTAGTGCTGCCTCAGCTCTAGCGCTTAGTGCGACACCAACGCCAGCAAGACCAGACGAAGATGCCACAGGGTCCCCGGATAAGCGCACGTGAAACAAGCTTTTCGAAGCGACAGATGGAGATCGAATTTGTAGTACTTCGCCAGAGTCTTGAATACGGGTCTCGGATAGACAACAAACATCAATATTGAGACTTTCCAAAGACATAGCCAGCCCTATCTGTTGTCCGACCTGCATTAGTGTGCGAACGTTGAAGGCAGCCAGTTTGAATGGTGCACGTGGTTTCAGAAAAACTGCTTCAGTTCTCGTATTCGGTGGTAACATACAATTTTCAACCGAACAGTGACTCGAGAACGTTTAGATACAGTCGAATTTCCACCAAAGACGATCCGCTGTATAAGTATAAAAGAGGGTGAATAATGTGGAAAATAATAATAATAATAATAATAATAATAATAATAATAATAATAATGACAATAATGGTAATAATAATAATGGTATTAATAATGACAATAACAGTAATAATTATTTGAATCAATTGAATGTTGATCGGAGAGAGGAAATTAGTTGCCGTAGTCATAGAGTTCATTGTTTGTGTGTGGGCTGTGATACTGCCCGGGTGCCCAAACCGAAGCAGGTCGATTTTACTATAAGTTGATACATGTTTAGCTTCTCGTCTTACAGTTTTTTTTATTTGTAACATACAATGAAACTCTAAAGATATCCGACAGATTTAAATTTAAAGTTTACATAAGCATGGAATGGAAAGAAGACTATATTTAGCTAATTCTGTATACATAACTAAATAAGTCATGGTTCGGTATGGGGATTCTCATAAGCAGTAAATAATAGGTTTAGTGAAATTTTAACACATTCGTAGTGCCTGACATAGCTGTATTATGCACATACTTGATCTCATTCGGTGAGTCCTTTGGCATGAAATAAAAATTCACTAATTTAAACATAAATAGTTTTTTTCTCTATGTCCATAATATCGAGTGTTCAAAGTCACAGCTTTGTGCATTCAACGTGGATACCGACAGTCATTTGTACCTAAAGTTAAAATAAAATCCTTTAGTAATATTTCGAACTTATAATCAAATAATAGGATCGTAACTACCACAAAGTATCATCAGGATAGTTTGCAACGCTAGTATATATGATTACGTTCAACCATCTCACAAAAGCTAAATGTTCAAAAACAGCTTCTTTCGAATGACTATAATCTCAAAGATCTCTCTACGTTTATTATATGAACATTTGATTAATTCCTTCAGAATGAAGATACTTGTCCATTAAGACCATCATATAATTGTTGAATTTCATGTCCATTTATGGTTTTTAAAATTCAAGCAGTTTTTAACCACTAGCTTAAGGATATTGTCTACCATTTTATCCGTGTCTAGACTTGCAACAACTTGCAACTACATTTGTCTGAAGTCAGTCTCATATCACCTTGTCTTCAGTGAGTTACTGAAAAGGTTCTTAGATAACAACTTGAATGTGTGACTTTAAGTCTTTAATATTTTAGGTTATCATTTAACCTACTCGCCAACCGAAATATGACTTATTTGCTCTCATACGGTACTGAACCAATGACGTTTGACCGGTATGAGCAGCCTTATTGAGCTTTGTTCGCCTAAACCGTCCACTTGAGTCCAGAACACCGACAACAGCTTCCGCTATGCGAATCATTTATTTCAAACATACTCGGTTTATATAACAGCCAAGCAGATCGCATCACACCATAAAATAGGAAGTAACATTTATACAAGATCAGGCTAAAACGTAGCTGTGAACGTGAGAGACGGTAGCTAATAAACTGAACATAACTTAAGAATAGTAAATCATACAATAATAATCTATAGGTCAAAGAGAAGCTTATAATAAGAGAAATATTGATATACATAATTTAGTTACTGAACAGTTATACCACAACGATATATATTATTAGTCCATTAATGGATCTCAGAAGTTACTAGTAATTTAATCTTCGCTAGGATACAGCATTAACTATTTACCAAAACGATGAAGCAGAATTTTTAGCTCCATGTTTCATTGAACAAAGTAGAGAAAAGATACTTGCTAAAAAAATACCTGACTCCATGAAAATTCTTGTTCAGCAATAAGACTTCTTTTTCAGACATCATGTTTAATAATATCAGTTTCACTGCTATTCAACAGATCATTCTCGGTACAACCAAAATTTATTACAACTATTGTAGTGAACAGAACACGAGTAGAGACAATCGAATGTATCTGACACAAAATTACAGAGCATCTCAATAAAATCTGAGAACCATATAGTAAATCCTCAATTTGCAAAATACCAATCCATCACATCAAACTTGACTGTTCCTGTTTCAGACATTAATCTATTGTCTCAGATTTTAGTGTTAATGCGTTTTTATACCAATTGAGTTCCGTTCCCGTTCTTTCGTCATCGACCTTCTACTGAAATACATTCTATGCCTGATCACCGTTATATAATACTTTTGTGGATATAAGGAACCCACACCACACTATCTAACATTAAATATTTATGTAAATATTTGATTTAATTTTAGATCAGAATCCATTTCTGCATTTTTAATATTCATTTCTAGAAATACTTTACTTGATCGAATCAATGAATGTATTCAATTGAATGTTGAATATCAAGAGAATTTCCGTAAAGTTCGACATAGACTTCAAGAAAATCCATCCGGTAGACAATTCGATTTCAGGTAATTAGTTATATTGATAGCAATGCAAAATATCTTTAAGTATTTGAAGTTAATAATGACGTTTCTATTATTTCTGTTATACATTTTAATGACTCAATAAGATTAATTATCTAATTGAATGAATACGTACTGTTCTCATTTCCTCAAATTTAGTAATGATTAATTAAAAAGCTGAATATTTATATACATATAGAATAACTAGATGAGTCTCATGAATATTGCACAATATAAGTCAAAAATGCTTAAATACAGAATCGCGAGTAGACCAGATGTTCGTGAAATATTTTTGTAATAAGAACATTCTATTTTCTTTAATTACACTTCACCAGTACTAAAATATAAACCAGTAGGACTCATTAACTGATATCTCTATACTAAAGGACGTTTAAATATATCTATACAAGTGAATTTGATATATTAGCAAAGATCGAAACCTCATCAGTGGTTATTACAAATTTGCATTATTTAACAAATGACAAATGTAGCTAGAGTGATATTTTTGTAAAATAACATAAAATAGAACTCTCACAACGGGTCATTATTTGAAAAAATAAATACTGTTTATTAGCAACTCCTTGATTTAGTTAGTATATCTTTTGGTAGTCTACTCATGCCAACTATTGATTAATCTATTGCTAATCGCATTCTGTTAGTCAAGTAACAACGCTACCACTACTGACACATGATTGTAATGCATTTTATTTCCGATTCCAGGTCAGTGAAGAAAGTTGACACCAAGTTGTAGTGTTGAAATAGTACTGTATTAGACAACACAATTTATTATAGGAAATTTTATAGTTTTCAATACTGTCGAATATGTTCCTCACTTCTAATTCTATGCATATATAAAAGATTCTTAGGCAAACGAAGTAAGACCTTTGAAATTAGAATTCTGTAAAGAATCCATTTGATTTTCGTGTCAATTACTTTTATTTGTTCAACAATACAATCGCCTTCAAGAAGGTAAACTAAATGGGACCAGATTGGAAAACAGTCTAAGAAAACATAAACGGATTAAATCATGTCTACTTTATAATGCTAAAATTATTCAGATTTATGTCCATCGTTTTTTAATAAACCAGTAATAATGTAACTGGCCGTAACACTGGATGAAAGTTTATTCGAATATATTAGAAATCATTGATTACTTAGAGAATTTAGACATGTGTTGCTTATGAGTGACAACCAGCAAAATCTCAGTCTCATTGCATTCTGGCGACTGCTCCCAACAGACCAATATCATGCTCAATTCTTGACAATGAACATCTGACTGAATTTTAAATAAACCCTCATTTACGACCTGATTGAAATTAGAGATCAACATAGTGCCCTCTCAGTCAACTACCAAATGCATAACAAGATTCAACTTCTATAATCTGGATCGCTAGATGATGAAATTATTTTTACCTGACAGTAGGTGTAGAAATATCGGAGTTATTTCATAAAAGGGAAGAGTTAGGGTTTACATTAATAAACTGTTTGTTTTATGAAGGATGACTTTGGAAACTTCTAACTGCTTAGGTCAATTACTTTTTAATATTTTAAAGCAAGTCAAATGAAATGTAACTTCAGAAACACTTAGGTTAACAAACTGTACCATATCATTTGTCGAATTTATTTGAAAATTCCAAATAAACGAGATAAACCACGAATTCCAAAGAAGCTAAACCTCAAATATCTTATCATAATAAACGTCATGCATAGGTTACTCTGAATTATATTTGTATTACACGAAACATTACTCCAGTGTCGTCTAAATTGCACAGCTGTTTGTTAAATCAGAAGGTGTTTTTGTGGATATTATGGTAATTTCAATAGTTGAGATCATAAGTCAATTGAAGCTAAACTACCATGGAAAACCTGGAAGCACTAGATGGCCGTCTCATCCAAGTATGAGACTGCTCATCAGTGCACAGCTATCATCCCACCTCGCAAGATATCGAACCTAGGACCTAACAGTCTGGTGCGCGAACGCTTAACTTCTCGACCACTAAGCCGGCATCCAACGGTGTTAATGTCTAACTTCAACCAATTCATGAAATCGAACAACACTCTTCCTTAAATATTGACTAATAATGAAAACTACATGAAATTGTACTGTAGTAAAGTGTAGGTAATCAGAGAAAACACTTCGTTTCGATTATTGTTACCTTTAAAAAAATTTTCTGTTTGACACAGTATTTTTCTTGCATAAATACTGATTATTGAAATTCTTTATTTTCTTTAGTGAAAATTATATATTTGGCAAATTTGATGTGTACACATCAAGACTAAAGAAAATTTTAATAATTCTAGAAAATATAGATAATTTTAATGTATTATTGGATTTTAAAGCTGAAGGAATTGATCCAATTGTTGTACGATATAAAACATTTTATGATAATTTACATAAAAGAAATTTCGATGGAGCTGATCAAATTAAACGTGATGTAAGTAAAATAGAAATTGTCTGGTCAGTATGATTCTTCTTTTGCTTATATTCATAAAATTATGAATATCATGATCAATTTTCTCACTATTTAGGACTTATGAATATATTGGGTGCACTACTAGACAACTGAACCAAAGACTTAGTGAACACCTCCCTTCGTGGTTAAGAAAACGTACTGTTAAGACGATTCGTAGCTTGGTTCTATCACACTTGATCGATAGCGGGCATATAGTTGACAGAAATAAATCTTTTAAAGTTATTTATCGTATTCTTACTAGTTTTCCTTATAGTGTTTGATCTCGTCTCTTACGCATAGCAGAAGCTATAGGAATTCGAGCCAACAAGTTTTTATGTTCATAAGAAATTTGTAACACCCTTATCTCTCCCTTGACCTCAATAAATGATTTTATCTATTATTATTTTCTATACTCTCTCTTCGTTTATTATTTTTCTCTTCACCGCCTCGAACCATTTTATTTTATTTTCTCTCAAATATACGTTTCACGGTCCAATTATCTGAACACTTCTTAATACGTAATCTTGTAATTTTTATAAATGTTATCTCACTGTCTATATTTTTCTAATCACTTCCGGTTATGCAGCATTGATTTAAGCCTTCATTATTCTGTCATCAATATCAATTTGTACTTTCCACTTATTATGTAATCTTTCCCATTGTTATCATTGACTCATAAACTACCTTGATTGGTTTAATAATTTTGCATATGCATATAAGTATTACTGTATATTAAAGTCTGATGAGGATCTAATCGAAAGCAATATTGTTCGCTTATATATGTTGTTTTAAAAGCGTATAAACTAAATCGTCTACGTAATTATTTCTGTATCTGTGATTGACTGAAATATTATTCTGTACACAAGTTTAATTAAGAATACTCTTAATGAAAGATAATAATGGCTCATTTCTTTCTACTACAGATGACTGTTATGGTGATAGTTCATGATTAAAATTACATAATTTCATAGCATTTTACAGTTGCTGGAAAAAGACAAAAAATGTATATAACCATATGTCTGCAAGTATCATACTGTCTACAATATAAATTCATAAGCGTATATGTTTAAATCATAATAACACACAATGTTTAATTTTAATTTTTCTGAATTTTTATCAGTTTGATAGGGACTTGGATGAATACAAAAGTCAATTTGACACAATAGCACAACAACTTCGCGATTTCCTTGATGCATGGTTTAAACAACCTGCGCCTGTATGTTGCATTGTTATGTATTTCTGTTACATATTATTATATTATTACTATTATCTAAAAATGATTATTTTATGATGACTTGATGTTATATAACTAAAGACTATTCCACAGTATGATGCTAAATTATCGTATAGCCTCAAAATAACACTGTTCTTTGGTTTTTGATTTATCTGTAAACAAGTACAAAGTTGCATGATAATAGAAATTAGATAATGACAATGTAATCCTTATTATCCTAGATCAACTGTACTAGAAGATATCATCACAAAATATCACAACAATCAAACAGACAAAATTTTAGAAACCTTAGTGGCTTTAATTCAGTAACTCTCAATAAAATGTTGTACTAAAAGTGGAAATGTTACTAAAATTCTTGACCTTCAAATTTTTAAAATAAACGAAGTAATTTCTTGTTGACCAGCTCTGTTTTATCTCCCATTTATATTTTGTCATTATATATTGAATAACGTTTCATTGTAAAATAATAATTTCTATGAAATGCAATATTTAAAGAATAAACTATCTAGAAATTCTAATTATATCTTTAGGAAGTTATAGCTAGACCAAACATAAGAAATCACTTATTGACTGTGCATTTAAACCATGGACAATAATTAATATTTTAAGAGAAAAATAAAACATTGAAAGCTACAAGAAGGTTTTCTTCACTCTCATACAGTGTTCTAAGTAATGAAAATACTTTATATCTCGAAGTTGTAGAAGAGACTTTCATCTTCCTTTAGATAGAAACTCAATAGTCTGTATATTTCTGCTTCGCTTAATTAATAGCAGAGACGGTATTGTTTTACCATGCTACATAAAGACAAGTGCCACCATTTTACCCGTTTGTTTCAATCTTCATACAATAAACATTACATTACATTGATTTGACGTCTTGCCCAACGAACAGTCAAAAACGAGAACTGTAATCGAAATTAAAGTTAGGAGTAAATAGCATTGTTCATATCTTCTGTAAACTGTCCATTCAGTTTTTATTAAACTATACTTCTAACTCTTCCCCACAGTCCATACCAACACTAGAATACTTCCTCATTTCCCCTATACTTCCAAACAATATCATTAAGTGATGAAAGCAAATTCCTATTATTTAAATCTCATAAATCATAAAAGAAACGATGAACAATTAATCGATCACCGGGTCACCGATGTTTTGTTTGTCTGGGTTTTCTATAGTTTCGATCGAATTCCATTAAGTTGAGATTCGCCCATTAGTCTGTATGGCTTAACATCACGTCTACTATGTTGAGATGTTAGCTGGTTTGTGGCAGTCTACATATAATCCATGATCAATGACAAAATGTACTTTCTACTACATCAGATAACAGTTTCTTCAAAATTACAAGTATGCCTTGATAACGAATGTTAACTTCCAGGAAATCTTGGTCTGATTTTCAACCATTTTTAACAATTTAATATATAAACCATGAATGGTTTACTATACAGAATTGAGAAATTCAAAATAGTAAACTATAGACAGCATGAAAAAGCAAAAAAAGTCATTGGACAATTAATTACTTAGTATAATATAATTCCAGTGTAAAATTTAGTTGTGTTCCTACTATTTGAGTCATATATGATATTCGTAAACTAGTCATCATATATAAATAAATAATGTATACAAATATGTATTTGCTTAATTTGTTTTCTGTTTCATTTTTGAAGAATGAGTAGAATATTCTGTTAACATTAGTTTTTATTTAATTACTGACGCTTTGAAAACATCATCTTCCTACTGTTCCAAGTACATCTTCCACAGTTATAATACTGCTCTATTGTCTTACTAGCCATAGTATAAATATCAATATAAGTCTTTTAATGGTCACCTATCTTTGAAATTTGGTTCAAAAATGTTTTAATAATAGGTTAGAAACAGAGAACTTCAAACACTTCTAGTTACTACCCTGATTTGCAGTTTGAAATTACTATTAATAATTCACCCTTTTTCTAATTTTTTTTACAAAAAGTATTCTATATATACATGTGTTTAGGTTGAACGTCAATTAAGAATTTTAGAAAAATTCGAACAAATTAAATGTTGTCAGTTAGATTTGTCAGCTAAATATGAATTAGTTATAAAGAATTATGCTAATGAATTAGAAATGGTTCGTCAATTATATGAAAAACAAAAAAATGATCCACCAATAGCTAGAAATATGACTTCGATAGCTGGTAAAATGTTTTGGGCACGTCATTTATATAAACAAATTGAAATACCAATGGAACGATTTAAAGAAAAATGTCCAGATGTATTATGGGTAAGTAATCGTTAAAAAAAGTAATACTTCTTCAATTTGTTTACCCTGATTAATAACAGCTAGTAATAATAAGTTTTTATCATTTTAGTGCGTGTCTAAGGTAGTCGTTTCATCCTACTCATCAGCTAGATTCATTGACATTTTAGTGTTAATGCTCATATTAAAACTGGAATCCATAATATTTTGATCAAAATACCTACACTTTATCCATTGTGTTAGTGAGGTCAAATAGCCATACTTCTACAAGTGGCCTGAAGATATTGATAGGCATTTATAACTTCCAGCTGTTGATGAATTAGTTGAAGTCCTGAATATCAATGACAGGAAGTTATAAATCATTACTAATATTTTTTATACCGATAGTACAAGTTAGTGGCTATTTGAACTCAATAACACAGCAGATAAAATGTTGATATTTGAAGTGAAATACACTGGATTAAAGTCTCGATTCGAACACTAACATTAAGATGTATTTGCATTCTCTTGAATAGCCTTAAACAGGATGAGGTATGCATTTGCCTCTAACTTCTACTCAATCAGACAAAAGATATGCAGATTTATGTTCTTAGATCATTTATTCTTTTGAAATAATCTATTTCTTACTAACATTATCAATTTAATATAGAATATTAGGATAGTTAACAGGTTGAACTATTTTGATAGTGATCCAAAGATTATTGATTAATTGAATGATTATTATGCACTCTGGTGATATAATTTAATTTTAAAATATAGACCACTAAATCCCTACTTGTCAGAAAAACTTTAAGATTTTATGTCTTATGTCATGTAACATTGCCGGTGCTAAGTCTTTTGATCAATAGTTATCTATATTTTCCTAGTCTGTATCACTTCAGAAGGTAATCTAATCTGCATATACTTTAATGATGGATTTCTGTGAAATAAAAATTCAAAAACCATCCTTTAATGCTTATACTTTTAATTCATTCGGTATTGTTTTGCTTGAATCTTCCCATTGAGGTTTAAGACGCTAATTGATTAGCCTGTCATTTGCATATGTGCATACTGTGCGTATTGCCTTAATTCACAAGCTTTATAAGCAAAGATGGATAGTGGTTAGCAGTGGAAAATTTAAGCAAAACAATACTAAGTGAATTTAAATTAACCCCATTGCACAAACAAGTGGTTATCAGGACTAAGTAGCTAAGTGGATACCGCGATGGCGTTTGAAGCGAATGGTATTGAGTTCGAGTCCCAGAGTGGACATCAACTCTGAGATGCAGGTACATCCAGCTGACGAGGCCCAAATAGGATGAAACGCGCGGCCTAGATTCCACTGCTAGCTACTATCCACCTTTCCTATACTTCTGATACTCATAAAAATTCATTTCTGGGGAATAATTCACTTGAGCACATATCTAACGATATTGATATCATAAACGTATTATGATGGTAGTTTGGTAGGTGTACTATAATGTATTCGGTAAAGCTTTTAGTTTATTTTTATACTAGTTATCATAATAACAGGGTAACCAATGATACTATATAATGCATTCAGTAAACATTCGAAAAGTAGTATCGAAGTTGAAATAAACTGTTGTCATATCAATATTTTCAGTACATAGAATAAATAACTTGTTAAAAAGGGACAGAAATGTCAATGAATGAACGAACATATTAGTGCACTTTGTACATTTTTTGTATGCTGAGTAAAATCTAAGAATTATTTGTTAAATTATAGGTAATTTTAATGTAATAAATCGATGTTACACGATTATAACAGGCATATAAATATAGTTGTTAAATATAGATTTTATCACGACTTAACGCATGAATATGCATTAAAATACAAGAAACATTAGTCACATACAGGCAATACCATATACTAACAAAACATATATCAAGGCCTACCTGCTTTAATAATAGTTTCTTCATTGTCATTTATTTACCGTGAATATCATCAATCCATTATAGCTAAATATGATATTTGTTAATTTGAATGGTTTCAGCTGCTAGTAAAAAATAAGTTTGTCAATTTTAAGCTTAAGTAAATGTCTATAGTCAATTAAATTCGTATGCAAGATGTTTCACAGTATCATATAATGATTATTCCCCTGTTATCATAAAACTATTCGATAGGAAACAATATTGATTCTGGTACAGTGGGTTAATAAAAGATCACCTCGTAGTGCCAATCAAAAATACATGTGATTGGCCAAGAAATGTTTTCATTTTCTAAAGAATAGACATATGCGTATGCATGTGAACTGGTTAAGCTCGATAAACAACCTCCTTCCTTCTTAGTGTTCTCATTCACTAGTCGGTCAGTAACTTTCACAAAGGGAGTTTGTGTATCATTATCAGTCACGGGAACCACGCGTCATGAAATATTTCTTTTTTAGAACTTCTACTATAATCTTCAGGTTTTCTATCGATAGATCTATAGAATTATTTCTATAATATCAGCTAAAGACATTTTATAATATTTTATAAATTGTTGTCATCATTTGTAGTTACAAATAACATTTATTCTTATTTATTCAACAGGGACATGAAGGTCAGAAATGTGTGAAAAATTTTAATCGTATTGCAGAAGCTCTAGTTCAATTTGAATTAATCTATTATCATCATTGGTGTCAAACTATTGAAAATGTACATTCTAGTTTATCATCATCATTAATTGTACGTGATCCTGATACAGAACGTTATTATGTAAACTTCGATTTGGCAATATTAGAACTGGTTCATGAAGCTCGTTATATTTCAAGTTTAGGTTTTAATATACCATCAGTAGCTAGTCGTTTATTAATTCAAGAAATCATGCTTAAACAAAGACATAATATGTAAGTTTGACTTAAACTATTTTCATAACATAAATGACCATATAACCGTTATTTATTTTAGAATAAATAGTTTATTACTGAAAGATGATAAAATTAAATCATTAGCGAAATAATATATGGTGCTTCGTTGATCCACTCAACAGTGTATCCAAAAGATTAGAATTATATACCAACTGCCGAATGCATGATCAAATAGTTGAATTGTAGTGAACAAGAACACGGGTGGGGACAAACGGATGTATTTAGCACGAAAATTACAGACTATCTCAACAAAATCTGAATACCATAAAGTCAATCGTCAATTTGCAAATTATCAATACATCATATCAAACTGTACTGTTCAAGCTGCAAACACTAATCCATTGTCTCCCATTTCATTGTTCATAAGTTTTCTTACAAATTCCATTATGTTCTTGCTCCACCTTTCTTGGTCTTCGCCATCTTTTGCTGCCGAGCATTACGTTCTTTTAACGCACGTTATATACTACTTATGTCAATATAAGTAGCTCACACCACAGAATCACCTCTTTCAGAGATATGCATATATTAGGTAACCTCTTATTCCTTTAATTGCGTTTAATCCGAAAACATCAGATATCATAATTAGTCACTCATCCAATTGGTTAGTCTTTATACAACAGATTAATAAACTTAAATCACAAGTGAATTATTCTGGTTAGCGTTTTTTCAGCAAGGTTGTTTTCTACACCCAATCATCTTCCTTTAACCGGGCTTTGGACAACCAGCCCTAGAACAGCTACAATTGAATTTCATTATATAAATAAAGAGTACAGACTATTCTTTACTAGTATTCCTTGTTTGTTAGAAAATAAATGACTATTTAGTATGAGATATGATATAATTAACTAATTAATCAAACAGTTTGTTCATTATTTAGTATTTAAAAGGGATAGATGTAGTAGTTTCCTTAAAAAGAATGTTTACAATAGTGATTTATAGATAGGAGTGGTCCTGCTTTTATAAACTGAAGTGAAGTGTTACTCATTTCTTTCTTTTTTTTACATAAAATTGTGAACACAACATTCCTACCATAAAAATTAGTATTTGTAAAAGCCAGCTTGCATCATCGAATGTCAAGGATACTCTTAGAATTTATAAGTTTATTGTTGCTATCATTGGTTGAATTCTTATTTTTGAAATAGTCAAATGTTTTCAGATTTGAAATTGATCAATTCAAATAGATGATTATTCACTTTATCCGATAAATACCCATACAATCATCTTGTAAATGACAAGGAGTTGTTTGACATGAAGAAAAGTCTGAGATAAAGGTCCTGTTATTCACGAAATCAATCATTTTGTAGACTCAATATTTTTTGTATTTATTCAGTCTTTTGATGAAAAATTGAATTACATATAACTAGTTAAGTAAAATATTCCCAAATAATTACGTTGAACTTTACTTGTTGTTCATCTTTTGATGTAACTCTGATAATATTCTGAGTTAAGCCGTAGAACTATTGAAAATTGAAAAGCACCATACGGTTCCTTCATCCTAGTTTTAAACTCTTTAGTTGTATGCAACTTCAAGCCTATTTTAGATCAACATTAGGATCTTCAGGTGTCGTGGAGAGAATAATACCTTTTAAGTTTAATTCAATCGTTTACATTTTCAGATTTCCTTCATAATAGTCCTGTCCTTAACACCACAATGTATGAATATATTCTCAGTCTTATGTCATATTTATACACCTCATTTGATCAGGTTGAAAATCATAATCTATCCACCTAAATTTTGTTTTTCTCTTTTTCAGCTTACAAGAACTACTAAATGCAATTGAAGAGACTTGGGCATCCGTTCCGAATGTACTGTTACCTTTATTTCAACCATTCCGTGATAAATTATGTCAAGCTCTAAATGCCGGTATCTGTCAACTCAACTGGAATTCTACTAGTATAGATGATTGTAAGTTAAAATACTTGTAAACTATCATTATTGATCTAGTGAGTTTATAAATACTGGAATGTTGCCAATGAGACTGAGTTCATCATATAGGCGTTGGATTACAAATGAACTATTTTGTAACTGTTAGTAGTAGGCATATTAGATTTATTAATCAATATTTCGGTGAGAACTAAAACTTGTTGTCAAAAATAAATAAGTTACTTCTAGACATATATCATTCAGTCACATGGGAGTACTTTCCACTAATTGAATAATTTAGTAAGAACAATTTGAATTTGTAATAAAATCTTTCAATATCACATACTCGTTTGTAGTGAGCATCAAAAGTTTTAACCCTATTCAAAGTTGATTCTCGTAACTTCAAATCTGATGACAAGTAAAATATTAATCATTTATTAGTTTAGAATTTAATAATTTATATTTTTACTTACAGTCAAATTGTAACACAAGGCTAGCTTCCACAAATGTTATCGATAAGTCACTTTCTAACACACGGCTTTAAAATGCACATAATTTTCCGCTAATCCACTTGAAGTAATTCTACACGGGATACAAATGTAATTAACTGTCCTTAATTGATGACGATAATGTCTCTAATATGATATGGTACTTCATGCGCAGTGAAATTAACTAATCCTATGTTCATGTTGGAATGTTAATTAGTTGAAAACTAATATTTGACGAAAATTCATTCTACAAACCCGTTCTAAGCTGTATATGTGACTATCAAGATTTCGAAATATTCGAGACATTTAAGATGATTTAACAATATGACGTTAAAATTTATAACGCTCAATTTCATAATAAAAACGTTAAACAGGGTTTTAAACACTATACAAAGTTTTCTTGTCGAACATGAATATTAACATTATAATGACGTTGCCAGACCTTCAGTATTGTGCTAATCGTTTACACTCTAAATATACCAATAACAGATTTATAAATTTTCAGATGAAAATCAATCTTACTCATCAATTGTGATGTAGGGATCATCTATCAATACTCTATAAATGGAAACTACGTATTCTCTAACACCTAGTAAACTCGGCTTCCAACTTTATAATAGAAAGTCACAAAACGTTTTCTCCTACGTTTATTTGGACAACACGTTAGTCTCACTGACCGCCACACAATAGAATTATGGTTTCAAACTGAGTAAATAATTGTGTTACACGTTCGATTACAAAAAATTTAACTGGTCATTTCTCTACGATTTTCTAGAATACAGCAAATGAAATATAACTCATTCTTGAATTTACCGAAATAAGTTTCATACACCATCTTTTTATCACATTTCACTTTTTGTTAATGGTATAACTTTAGCTTTTATTATTTTATATAGTTGTCAAGAAAGTTTCTCATGAGCTTGAGAGTTTAAAACTTCTGATAAAACGTACTAGTGATATATTAAACTGTCGTATCGAAGATGTTTTTGAAGAAATGGCTGAAACAAATTTGTGTGATTTACCAGATGATGATCAAGTTACATTAGATCAATTTATTCAAATAACTGAAACAACTGTGGCAAATGCTGCTGAAAATCTATCCATGTTAGTTTCGTTTTTGATATTTTGTGATAAATGACAATTTTTAGAATAATACTGTATTGTTAATCTGACTTGAAGAGAAGGAACCAATTCTTCGAATTTCGAAGTATCTTCACAAAGTTAAAATTCGCAAACTAAAGTTGTAATCTTAAAAAAGAACAATGTCGATTTATAGTACGCATAAATGAATGACTTTAGTTAGGAAACTGCTAAAAACTAGTAAGTAATGTGCAATTATTTTGTTCCAGTAAAAGAACTCTTGGGAGGTCGTACTTGATTTTCAATGGTTTTCCAGGTAAAGTGAGCCTGTGATGCAAATTAAGAAGTGAACAGACTTAATAGAACATTGGAGACAATAAAATGTCGACTCCTGGTAAATCTGGGAATTTTAATCAAATATACGTTCAGTTACGTAATGTTTATTAGTTCTTGTAAATCTTAGTGCTCAATCTCAGTAACTGGATTACCGATCTTGTTCCTTGAACTGAAAGTTGAACAAAACATTTGTATAAAATACAGATCATTCAGAACTTGTATATAACGTTGGTAGTTATTCATCAAAAACGTGTCATTGAAATTTCGAAAAATTTCTTAGGTAGGATTTAACTTACCTACTGATGAACTTCCAAACAATGTCCATAAACTGTCGCACACACAGTCTTAACAGAGTAACTATGAATACGGTTAACAAAACAAAAATTAATACAATTAGTACAAAAATGCAAAATAATACAGTCATTAACAACGAGAACAATAAACACATTCCCACGGAACAATGGAAAAAGCACATGAAATGAATCATCCAAAAGATTTACCATAATTATGTAAAAGGCCGATGCAGTTTCTCAATAGTTAGATAACCAGTCTGAGACCAAAGGCGTTTTAATTGGTGAGCGTTTAACTTATATGTTTTGGGTTGATTGACAGTTGTCGATTAAGATTAACAACTCGACAACTCAGCGCGAAAGCCTAGTTCAAGAAGCTGCAAAAAATGTATTAATTTTGTCACTATTTTCTGTTAAAATAATGTATAAAATGTGATAGATGAACGTTAGTTATTAAATTATTTAGGTACTAATAAAATGTGTGGACCACTTCTACTGAGTTTGAACTACATCGTTTGAGTTTGTGTCAGTCTGTTGTGTGCACCCTTCGTTGACACATTCTGATAAGCAAGAGAGATGGATCTATAATTCTTTTTGAATTTGCTCCTTATTTTTTACATTAAATAAGGTACACTATAATATTAAGTCACTGTGCACGGTAACAAAACAATGTCCTCTATTAAACAAAGTTTATTTATTACGAAAGATCTAAGTAATAATTCTCTTGGATTTCATTGGTCTAAAAGATAGTTTCGTTTATCAACCGATACAAATTACAGGTGTGGTTGCTGAATAATCTATACATAAAAAACGTTTGTTAAAAAAAATTTTCTGAGCAAAGTATACCGCGATGTAACTAAAGTTTGACTTTACAACAAGTACATGAACCATACATAACTACTCTATTAAACTGAATTTTTTTTAAATCTGGAAGTATGCAACTAATTGAACAACTATTTCCTCTTAGGTTGTCAACTCATTAAAGGTTCACATTACAGACACAAATATGCTTCAAACTATTTCGATCACTCTGTGTGTGATATTCACCTGTGATATATTTCCCAAAGTTACATATTCTCCGAACACTTATTATTATTATTATTGACTTTATTCAATAATGTATTTTTGGTACAATATAGAATTCTCAGCACAAAGTATTTTAATAAGTTTCCTTTTCTTATTTCTTGATCAACCCTTGCGATAAATATTGAGTAGTCGCCAGTTAGATGTTGGCAGTTTAAAAATCGACATCTGAATAATGTATATTCTTTTCGATGCATAATGCCAGCAACCACGATGTGTCTGATTGGGCTCTTTTATAGCTTGCACAGAAAAACATCCTAAACTCTTCACAAACGCACCCGAATGGGTTATGATGTTAATAGGTATAATGATGTGTTAAAGCAAACAAGAAAACAGATAACTTATTGAAATATCCAAATGGCAGGAACAGATAGCCCATTTATTCAAGCAAGCCGCCTTGATCACTAAAGTTCAAAAATGTTAAATATCACCCTCGGTACTGAATATTCATTCATAATGTATTGGAGGATATTGATATTTTAGCAACAAGCTGTAAACATTAGAACATTGAACTCATAATTTTATAACTACGTGTAACTATTCAAATTGTTTGGCAATGCCTGTCATACATTTCATTGTCTTCTTTTTAGTAAAAGTCATCTTATAGAAATGGCAGTTAATGAAATGTTGGATTTAATTAAAACAGATCTAGATGAGAATCAGTTAAAAAATTTAAGTTCAGAACAAGGTTATGAATGTATATCACAGGACAGACGTAGAGGAAGATGTCTTGAATGTAAACCATGCATATATTTTACATTTTTAAATCAATTCACTCAACGTAATACAGAAGCATTAGTAAAATGTAAGTCATTATTGATATACTAAGTAAATTAATTCATACTTACTAATTTAACTGCACCTATAAAACAAATTAGATTGTTCATGCGCGTAAACACGTTTAGTTGAGACGGTAAACAACTTAATCTTAACCCGTTTAATTCAAATGGGCTATATAGTCAGTATAAATGAGTAACTTTTAATAATATACTGTGACAATAGTGAACTTCCAAGCTCGATCAGATTCACAGTCCTTCAAATAGTAGAGACAATAGCCACTAGCGTTGAAAACACGTTATCTGCAGATCTAACAGCAAGTATGCTTGACACCTCTCACCTTGTGAAGTCTCAGTGTCCACTTTATTTATTCCCTCTCATTTCATGCATTGCGCAAACATTAACTAAACTTTTGGTCTGATCGATACTTTTCTTATTATTCCCTCCAACCTACGTCACTAATAATGATTTTCGTTAGTATATGCACACTTTCAACCGACATACAAACTGATCCAGTCATATATTGCATGTAAATCATTTTCACGTTTACACTGGTCATCTAAAAAGCTTATTTTATCGATAACCTTAAATATTCATTCCGTGTTTTTTTAGAATATATATTCAACTTCAACTTGACTCTTAAAGTTATTTATGTAAACTTATAAATGTACAGTCTAAAGGGAATTTGTTATAAAGAATATTTTACAGTAGTACCAACCATCTAATTACGGAAATTAAAGATAAACTGATCGAATTAAATCTAATCATGTCTACACTTAGAGAATATAATTTTTCAAAGATTTCATAAAAGGGAAATAATTAAGAGCAAAGGTAGAATGAAATAAAACTATCCACTGAAACATTGTACTAATAATGTGATTACTGCATACTGCTAAATAATATTTAAAGAAATTAGGTTTCCAGATAGAAATTCTATGAAAATGTGTTCTTAAATTTTTATTTAGTCCTTAATTAGTGGAAATCAAGTTTTTGATTTCAAAAGCATGACAACAAAACTGAGTATGCACACTTAATATCCCACGAACTAAACGTTTAAGTGAAGGTATAAATAACTTTTAGAACACTCCCAACTTCTGAATATGTTTCAGTAAACTTATAAAGAACTGATGTATGGTACGATTGTCTATATTATCTTTAACATCGGTTTCTATTCTTACCTTCTTTGTTATGGATATTAGCAACGGTGTACCTTTATTTATTCAATTAATTGTCATATTTGAATTTATCTTAAATTGCTCCTAATAAGCATAACAATTCGCAATCCGATAGTTATTTTCCTATCAATATATAGTGTTTTTTAACCTCAGTAGATTCCCATGAACTTTTAGTTTATCAATAACTGCTGAGAAGTCCCACAATAGTGCTTCCAGGTTTCCAAAGGTGGTGGTCTAACATCAATCGGTTCATGATCTTAATCAAATAATTATAGCTTTAACACAAAGTTTCATTTATTCACTTGACACGTATGTCCAGTTTTCAGCCAAAATTACATTAATTGACTTACATTCTCACTGTAAATGATATCAACATATGAATGTGATTAGATAAGCGTTTAATCCAAACTTTTTGAAAAATTATATTTATTTTTGATGAGTTCCATTTTCAGTACGGGGTTGTGGAAACTGTTGTGTTCTAATTAAGGTCACGAATCATTCAATGTTACGCCACCATTGAAAATCTGGGGGCACTAGACGGCTGTTTCGTTCCGGTAAGAGACTCCTTGGCAGTATTTCCCCCGATCACGACTACGTGATTCGGACCCAAGACATTCGGTCTCGCCGTTATAAAGTTTGAACTGTTTGAGTTTACTTCTGTCTATTGATAGAACGACAGACAACTACAATAGCATTTATGAATCACACATACACATGCTATGAGAAAAGTGTCACAAGAGTGTTGTAACGTGTGAGACTGCAGGTGAAATAGGTATCCATACCAAGGATGGACTTGATAGTTTCCAAGAAACTGAGCATTGGGTAGAGAGTTAATAATAAATATAATTTTGTTAGTGTTAGTTTAATCTTGGTTATTTATTTACCCTTAAGAAGTGGCTTACATTAAGTCACGAAACGTCTGAAATACAACTTTTCTATTCATTGGAATATACCAAAAATATATTTATAATTAAGAATGAAATACTTTAGAAAGGTGACTTATGAAATTCTTAGATCCGTCTGATTGATCGTTCCCTTGTTTTGCAAACTGACATTCGAAACTATTACATTCGTTTATTAAATGGCCATCTAATTTAATCAATTGACGATCATCTTTTTGAAAAATTCATATTCTTGTTTTTTTTTCGTTTGATCAAGGCACTCGAAATACATTAGATTCGTTAAAATTACGAATTCAACCAATAACATTAAAGTTTCATCAAGAGCATGCAACTGAAAAAGAAGGGCGAAAAACACCATTGTTTAAAGTCAATCTCATTTTATCCATACCAAATGTTGTAATGCAGCCGTCGCTGGATGAATTACAAACTGGTTTACATAAATCAATGTCAATTATATTAAAAATGACACAGAATGTTCAACCATGGCAACATATGATACTTACACAGAAACAACAACAAAAGGTAACCAGTTGATTATATCACTAAGTCAAACAATTTGATAAATTAACAACTTCACTATATTTCCAAATAGAGATGAATGATGGCTAGCAGTAAAATCCTAACCATCATCTATCTTACCAAAAAAGTCTTTGTCGTTTAATGACAATATCATGGCAAGATCCACACATGAAAAAAGAGACTGATCTATTGTAGTTTTAAATATCAGTTAGATTATTCAAACAATAAAAACAAATAAATTGAAATTAGCCATATTTTATAATATTTATGTCTATTGCTTATTATTTTCATAGGAAATGTACTTAAATTGGTATTTTAGAAAACTCAGATTTATCAGAATCAGCAGATAATATCAGCAAACGATTAAACACAAAACCAGATGAATTATTTGCTTTGTTAAAAGTTATATTCAACATCAATTTCTTCTGTAAACTTTCCAGATTTCAGGAAAACCATTGATCTGTAATATCGGCTATGGAAGTTGACACTAGAAAGAAGACCATCATTATCTGTTTACTTACTGGCATGATTATCCAGAGATTAACAATTACAAGGATCATCGATTCCATCAACGATTCTAGAACAAACTAAAACCTCCTACCGATTGTGTTTTAAACATATAACGCTAACGTTCAGCACAATCGCCATAATCCAAGCATGATCGAATGAATTTAATTATAACTCAGGATTAGACCACATAGTATTTTTTACTAGTTGCTGAGTCATGAATGTTTTAACTTCGAAAATTTGCTATCAAGTATACTCTACACGAATATCAAGTCAATGTTTTAGACATATAAAAACATAGTCACGAACACAACTGAAACGTTTTTTAACAGACTGTTTCTCAAAAATTTCACAACAAATATAATCTTTCTAGAGATATTTACTTACACTTCAAGTATGAGCGTACACTTTTGTCCACTTCGTTTAAGCAGTGCATTCTCATCTAACTCTTCAGATTACTAATTAACTCAAGATTTTTAAAATTTCACAATTTTTAAGGATGAATTTTGAATATTCTCATTGATCAGTCTCTTATCAGGCGAAACAGGCATCCTGGATTCCACTGCTAGCCACCATCCATCTTTGGAAAAACAAATAGTCTGTTCAAGTTAAATTGAAAATATCATGGTTATGAAATAACGGGGTTCTAGTTGTTTATTGACTAGTAACTTAACAAACTATGAGATTTCTCACTAGTTCACTGCTACGAATATTCTGAACTCTTTGTATAGAATTCCCCGTCATAAGAGGTAGCGAAATTTCATATTATTCAAAAATTCTATACCTAAGAGTAACAGAAATTTCTGTAAACTCGTAGAACTATAATCACTGATTATTGAAATTTAAATCATTTGGTGGAACTAGTGTTAGTTAAATCAAATACACTAAGTAAGTACTCATTCACATATCTTTATAAAAGTCTTGCTGGTACCTAAACTTTTGAATGAGCCAGTTACGTTATTAGAACATCTGACTGCTTATAAGTCCGTTTTATATCCATTGGTTTTATACTCCAAATTTACAAGACTTCACTAATGCACTCTGAAACTATACACACACAATTTATTGGAACCCGGGCAGTATCACAGCCCTCACACATATCGAATGAGATTTGTGTGGCGCATATGTATTTGGTGCCTCTTTGTACCATTATCTATGTGTTGAAATCAATAAATAAATAAATATTGGAACTATATACTTCGGATTATATTTCATCAATATTGATACTTTAACTCATCTTTATTTTCATCGTTTACATCACGGATTGGTCTCAGTTAGACCACCATTAAAAACCAGAAGACATGAAAAAAATGTTTCTTCCTTGTACAGATCTACTTAAAAGTGCTCACAAATGACCCAACTACCAGGGATCATACCCAGAATATTCATTTTTGCGCTCGAACCCATGGTCTTTCTTCATTCATACTCTCATAACAAACCTTTAAATATGTGTATTCATTTCCCTAAATCTCGTCCCCTTTTTATCAGGAACTTGACCAGTTAGCTGAATTGCAAGGAGAAGAAGCTAAACTGTCTTCTTCACCGATAAAACCATTACATCGTATTATCGCCGAACATAAAGATGTAGTTAAAATTTCAATTCAATTAAATACGATATTTAATGCATTTAAAGAAGAAATCCAAAAAGTCTCCAATACATACAATGAATTCTCAGATTTGTGGACGACAGTTAGTTGTTGCTTGTTTTCTTGTTTATTTATGTTTTATGTTTTATTTACTTATTGTTAGTTCTAACAAGACTTCCAGCCATATAAGTGAGATATTCATACGATCCCGAAACCTTAATTTTGAATTTATCTGAAATACAGTACGATTATGAGAATATGAGCAATACATTAACAAATTTTAGTTCATGAGGTATCTGTAGTGTCTATCACAAAACATGATATAAGTGTTATTCTAGCCGTATGACAGTCACAATGGAAGACAATAATTTAAAAAAGAACCACGATCACGAAAAATGAAAACTATCACAGTTAAACAGATGTTCAATGACTCCACAAGAACCGTAAGTAACGGTTATAAGTGTGAATACTTGGCCATACGGCACAACAACAAAGATCCATTACATGCTATATTTTCAAAAATGATTAAAAATCAAGTTAGTTACTTTATTTTATTAAGTAATATTAGGTGATATACTAAAGGGAATCGGACAGGAAGAAACTCTAGATAAATTGCGATGAAGTGGACGTCGAACATTTGTTGGAGAAAGTTCATTCTCCCCTGTCAACAAAACATTAGTTGAAGAATGAAACCAAGTTTATTTTCCTAATACTTACAACTCATAATCAAACTAAATTGATCTAATTGAATGCCTGGGCAGTATGTATCAAAAATTCATGGAATCAGTGTTCAATATTTCCTCTGCTATAACTGATTTCTTTTATTCATAGAATTGGTATTTATCAAAGGAACGTTTATCTAAAACGGTTTAATTTATAGCTTGTATTCCTCGTAGACAGTTATTTATTTGAATATCATGGAAAACTATGATGCATTGGACAGAGGTTTCAACTAGTATTTAAATAGAAACAGTTGTCATAATTGACGTAGTGTGATTTTCTCGCTGCATCACAAACTGACTGAGTTTAAACTGATGTAATTGGAAATCAGCCACTAATTCTCATGGTGGATTTTTCTTTCTAAAGTCTGAAGGCCCTGGGTTCGATTCGTGATTGGGTCGGCGGTGAACTGTGCTGAGGACTTGCATGCTACGACCAAACATCTGTCCATTAAAACCTGGTTCTGATGATACCACATTTAATGTCAATCTGTTATGATTACTGCAGAAATTTGATATTTATTTAATAATGACATGCAATGTTATCACTAAACAAAATTCAGTGATCTTTTGCTATTCACTAGTTAGTTTTTAGTATTGTTTCAACGATAAACCATCATGTAGTGAGCCTTAAACTATTTAAATTTGAACTGTATTCATGTGTTTCTTTGAACTATCCTGATATTTCTGAAAATTATGGTGAAAGTATACTTGATTAACAACAAGATGTAGGTAAAACAAGTCAAGTCGAATAGTTTTGCAAAATATATTAGCAAATTCGTGGGATAGAAGTTTACGTCTGTACCTGTTGATAGGGAGTACATTGTACTGGCTTTTAAAGGTAACGGAAATCAAAACTCATCTAGCGAATTGGTTTGTGGATCACTATACTTTATTCTAATCTCATAAACTTGTACAAATTACTTTTGCTGAATACATCTTATCATATCAGATTGTACGTTCTGCTCACCAAATCTCTCTACATGTTTCATTATAAACAAGTGTATCAAAACTCAAACTGCTCGAGTAGAGTCTTTTAAGGAGTAGGTTTTTAAATTACTCTAAGATACGTATAGAACATTCATGTAAATTATAATCCATAGTTATAAACACACTGTGAATCATCACTAAGTTCTATTCGACTCGTTTAATAAAATCAGAATTTATGCTTTGAATAATGGTACTTTAAGGTCGTTCGTTTACTACATGACTTTTGTATTTCTTTACGACCATGAATAAAGTCAATAAAAATAGAAATCATACGTGTGCCGAAAGTAAGTATATGTAAGTGCGTTTGGACTATCGGTCATGTTTGGTGCAGCTATCAAAGTGGTAATGTTGAGGCTAGGAGTAAAGTTTTCAGTAAACGTGATAACGTTGTTGACATGTCTGTTAATCTCCACCGATTATAGTACGAATGAATCACTCACGTTTAGTGACCGCCTATCCAATGGTAGATGACATTGGAGTAGAACGAAAAGAGAGGGATGTCGATCAGATTATGGTCCAGCACAGGTTCACGAAGTTGTGGACTTTTAGATTAATCAGTGAAGGGAATGTGGACATCTGTGTTAGGGTTTGACCCGATCATCAATGATAGTCGACCATATATGTTATAGCTCAAAAATTACGAAAGTTAGATGGACACATTCATTCCTGAAAATCTTGGATTTTAATGTAATTTTGTACTTTTTTTTCTTCAGTTTTATTTATTCTCTTTAAAGCATACCTTCTACATTTAGTTTTCGTCATCGTATTAATCGATGTTCTCACTCAATTAGTTCGAGTCCTATTAATTTCCTCTAACTGTTCTGACATGAAATGTGTCAATTTGTACCAAAACTATATCTTACACTGTTTATGAAAAACTAGCGTGACTACAATGAAAAAATAAATTCATACTTCATTCTAATAACAAATAACTAAGTAGACAGAATATTAACTAAAGTAACAAATGAACTTCTTCGTGTTATTATTATTATTATTATTATTAATAGCTTTATTCAATATTATATTTTGGTACAATATAGAATTCTACCATAAGTGATATTTATTCACTTTTCTCTTGTTTTTCCCTCAGGATCCTCAAACTGTTGTTTCAGAGTTCATGAAGACTGAACCAATTTTATCAGAAATTAATGGACAAATGAATTACTATTCTGTACGTTATTAACTTATGAATAGTATGAAATAAATTATCTAGTGTTTTACAGTTCCATTCATAGGAACAGTGATTCAGTGGTTAATATGTTCCGCTTTTAGCTACCACGTCCTACGTCCGAACCCCATTCCACCTACTGCAGCATGTGGAACTGGGTAATACTACTAGATCTTACAATTAAAGTTTGTTTTGAAGCTCAGTAAACGAATTTGCATCCGAAAAACGAGTTAATTAACCGACCAAGTAAACATTGTCTGTTTAATTCATAATACGCTTAAGAATAATAAAAATATCATTTTAGCAACCACATAGTGAATTTAACTCGTTGTGTAAAGAAAATTACGTGAAATACCTGCTTCTGATACTAACTGCATTTAGCGTACCTGAAGTATCACTCAGGGCAATGTCAAGGGTGTATTTGTGTATAATGAGTTTTCTCTCATTCTAACCACTCCTAATCGTAACACCTAACTCTAACCCTCTTTTCACTAATTTTTAATAAACAATTCAACATATAATTATTCCAGTGGTTGAGATCATGAGTTAGTTGAAGCTAGATCACCATGGAAAACCTGAAAGAACTGGACGGCCGTTTCGTCCTATTGTGAGACTCCTCAGCAGTATGCATAAAATAATAAATTTTCAGCGAGAACGATATCTTAAACTTTTTGAGTTTAGATCAAATGATTGTGCCCAAAGAGTACGACAGATATCACTGATGGAGTAAGAAGATAATCATTTGATAACGCGAATTTTCAAGTTATAAATATTGACTACTGGATTCCAACCCAGACATTTAGGGAGTTTATGAAAACTTTGAATCAAAATCCCAGGTTTAATCTCTTGAGTTTAGCCATACATTTTGAAGGAACATTGATATTTATTTACAGAGTTCTTGTATTCTAATTTAGGTACTAAAATAATCGTAGTAATTAGTGTAATCTAAATTTAAACTAATGACTTTCAAAAGGTCACTGAATGACTCCAGTGCATTAACTTGGAAGAAAAATCCATTTCCATATTAATTTATTATGGTAAACACGCTAAGACAAAATTCAAAATATCATCTAACTATGGTACGTCTATAATAAATAAAAATTATGCAATCTATGACAACCGGGTTTTTTTTCATTTTGTCTATCGATCAATTTATCCAGTTGGCGCCAGGTGTTTGAGTCTGAAGAGAATAGAGAGGGATCTGTAGACCATTCAATTAAAATTATGATGTTCAATAATAACCCAATCTTTCCAAGACTGTAAAGATCCGTGATATTCCTAAAAATCGGTATATAAGATTCTGGATAGAATTATTTTAATTTAACCTATACGAACTATGAAACATATTATCACCATTTTTCGCTGTTTCCTAATATATGACATAATAGCTCTCAAATAGTATCAACTAACTGTTTGCTTTTTGATTAGTTACTTAAGCGTGTATCAATCTAAAGAAATAAATCCATGTTAAAAGTTACAAACTACTCATAAGTAGCATGACATTAAGAAGTTATTATTGATTAACTATACTTGTTTTGTTTTCCTGATTCGCTGATTTATTTCTTCTATCTAGAAAATGGAAAAGTTAATTGAATTAATTCCATCATCAACTCAAGTTGGTTCACTAGTCTTTAAAAGTAATGACTTAAAAGATAATTTAATTCGAGAATGTCGAAATTGGCGTCGTGTCTACGGTCAAGCATTGAATCAACGTTGTGCAACAGAAATGAATAAAATTCTTGAACAATTTGATAATCTTTCGAAACGCCTTAGTCGACCAATAAAAGATTTGGATGATGTTCGAGAACAAATGGCTGCTTTATCTGATTTAAGAGCATCAGAAATTCAATTCGATATGACTATTGGACCTATTGAAGAATCATATGCTTTATTAAATCGTTATGAATTATATTTTAATGATGGTAATGCAGAACGTGTAGATGCATTATCTTATGGTTTCTCTAAACTAAAAGTACAAAGTCAGCAAGTACAAGATCATCTTTTAGAAATTCAACCAACATTTAAAAATGAATTAATTAATGGAGTGGAAATATACAAACAAGATCTGAATGTATTTACCAGTGAATATGATACAGCGTATGTCCAATTTATTAGTATCAATGTGTAATATTATCATGTCACTAACTTGTTCAGAGGTTATGGTGGCCAGCCTAAGCGTTTAGGACACCTATTTTCTAATTGTCTAATTAGCCTACCTGTCTTAGTAATGTTCAAACTGAATTATTGTTCCTGAATGTGCATACTCAGGCGCTACTATAAATAGGTCACCAATTGCGACAATACTGGGAAACTTAAACAAAAATACTGCAGTTCTTGATATATATTCATTTTTTTATTTTCTTTTGAGTTAAAACAAGAGATAAACATAATGGAATTCAAGCATCTTATATATTGATAAATTATAATATTTTAAATCGGCTGAAAATGTAGAAAACTAATGATTGAATTGCAGATGCAGATATCCACTGTTAAGTGTAATTTGATAATGTTTTGAATAGTTACAAGTTGTTGTAATATTGCACAAAATCCTTTATCATAATAAGATTTAATGTACTGAATAGTGTTATCATCATACCATTATACTATTAGTAAGAGTTTGTAATTATTGATATTCAAGACTCTAAATTGATCTTGAGTGAACTGCCTCAATGTAGCGCCGTGTCTCAAATTTTGACGTGTATGACATGTGCTTACCAGTCGAACTCAGTAGATTTTTAAAGTGAAATATATTAGTTATAAGACCATAAATGTTTAACACTATAGTTTAAGATGAAAACTAATTTAATCAACTATCATTATGAAACAAATAATCATTTCTTCAAACTAACCCCAAATGATCGTAATGATTAGTGCATCATTGAAAGAAAAAAACTCTAAGTAAACAACAGCATTATATTTTGGTTTGGATTATTTTCATCACTCTATAAATTTTATTAGTGGACCAATGGAACCTGGTATCATCCCGCGTGAAGCGTCAGATCGTTTAAGTTTATATCAAGCACGTTTTGATGATTTATGGCGTAAATATCAAACTTATTCAGGTGGTGAAGAATTATTCGGTATACCGATAACAGATTATCCTGATTTACAAAGAATACGCAAAGAATTGAATTTATTACAGAAATTATATCAGTTATATGATTCTGTACTGGATACTGTCAGTGGTTATTACGATATACAATGGACTGATGTCGATATCGATTTAATCAATCAACAATTGCTAGACTTCCAAAATAGGTAAGTAATTAATTGTAATAGTAGATTTATTATGTTCGGGTTGGAAAGTTGTATTTTTTTGACTCCTTAACCTATTACTCTTGCGTTGGACAACATTAACGTACTAATAGCTTTTAGAAGAAGTAAGGCAGGACTTCTTCAGAAAAGAGAAATTCTATTTTATAACTCGTCATCTTTAATTTATCGATAATCTTATAAATATGCTTGTATTAAACTTACTTCACAGTCATCATGCAGATGAACTTGTGGATTTTTGAATGATATCATTCACCTTACTACTTTAAGGTTTAAGTTAATGAAACTGTCATTTATAGCAGTGAAAGTGTCAATGGTAGATCATTCAACTCAAAGAACTTAACATCATAAAGAATACACTAGTTTCAAAATAAAATACTCTACGTTCTGTCACCAACTTATAATCTGGTGTTTAATTAACAACGATACCTTAATAATGGTCTCAATTTTCACTACATGCTTGATTTCCCTAAACCACAGCTCTAATTATTGACATGGTTCCTATTCAATAAGTAAAACTATCCATAATTATATTTGTGTTTGATTACATTAAATTATATGAAAAACTTACATAACACTAAATCTACTCTAAATATAATCTTTTCTCTTAATTTATTAGATGTCGAAAATTACCAAAAGCACTTAAAGAATGGCAAGCATATACAGAGCTTAGCAAAACAATAGATGATTTTAATGAAACATGTCCATTACTTGAAATGATGACGAATAAAGCTATGGCTACTAGACATTGGGAAAGAATAGAAGAATTAACAAAACATAAATTTGATGTAGAATCAGACAACTTTCTATTGCGTAATATTATGGAAGCACCATTATTAAAATATAAAGAAGATATTGAAGTGAGTTAAATACTGAATGAGTTATTCTATCACTAATATTGCTTTTGGTAAATACTTTGAGAATGATAGAATATAACAAAAAGAAGTTATGCATCTTTCAAAGATGATTTCATTGCAAATATAACAATTGCAATGAATCAGAGAATACTAAAGAGCCTTTACTCTGACTTCCGAACTTCATAGCTTCATATATCAATCGATCTTTGTATAGAGAACTTAGAGTTAGATTTTGTAAGAATCATATGATATTTTCAATGTCTGGGGTTAGCCGTGTGTTGTGGATACGTCCAGGTAATGAATATAAGCGTTCAATATGATAAAGATTCGAACAAAATGTTTAAGGAGAATTACGCTGCATTATGCAGCACACATCCTTATGTGGATGGAAAAATGATTGAATGTAGTGTGTACTGTATATTTGTTGAACATGAAAATGCTACTGATAATCGCAGTATTTTGAACCACTGGACTATGCTCGAATTTCTAATGTTTTGAACTTTGTACCTATAAAACAAGGATTTCCAAATCTCTGATTTTCAATAACTGAAAAGAAGATCGCAGTTTTTATCTATGACGTGGTCGTGGGTATGCACTAATGAGGAGTAATATGAATCATTAAATGTTTATTCAGACACAGATACTAAAGAGTAGAAATTTACGTGATAGTCATCTTATGTGTCGAAGTTCAAAATTGTTAGGTTAAGAATTATTTGATAATAAACCTGACCACTAGTTTATGATCAAATAAATGAATTGCCTTGGTCAAAAACCAAATTGTAATATATCAAGCAAATGAGAATTTTGAACGTTCTTAAGTTAAGATCCCGATAGTAATATGGTGTGTGCTACTCATATGGACAGATAAGTAGTATGTATCAAGAATTGGAGATGGGATTCTTACTGACAGAAGACGGATATGAGAAAAAGAGAAATAAAAACAGAAGCAATCCAAGTAACAACAACAATAAAATAACGTCGGAATTTGTAAGACACGGTTCAAAGAAAATGTGCAAATGGTGTACTTAACGGATTGTTTTGATATTTTCCAAATGCAGTGTGTGATTTTGCCTACACATTAGATAAGTTCAACCCTAAGTCTTCATTCTTTACAGTAAGATATCCATTATAAATTATGATAATCATTCATACTGAAGTAAAACTTTCGATGGTCTTATATGATTAATTATTGAATTTTTAGTATCACTAATCTAGTCAATTTCAATAATGTAGTGGTTCCGACCGATGAAATCCACTGTCATTCATAGTAGCATAAATTTATGTTTGGCTTTAGGTCAGATTAGATTGCTTCTTTCATTTCGACTTGCAAATTTTTTGACGAAAAACGTGGATTCTTAAAAAAACTGTCGTTCTAAAATGGAAAAATACTAACATGAATCATATAGCAATATTTTACACACTATCAAAATCGTACAGTCTAAATGGCTACAGTTTAAATGCTAGCGAATCAAAGTATACAAACATTGAACCTCTTCAGTGGGTTTTCATTACTAATTCGCATAGCGTTGTGAATATTAAAGCAATGGACCATAGATGAATTGTTATTATATTGTATCGAATTGTTATTTACAGCTGATCAATGTCGAAGTTACGATTGCACTTCACTGAATCTCGGCTCAGTGGTCTACAGAAAAGGCCATTCAGTAATTCTAGGTTTTAAACGATTTTCTAACTTCTATCGGTTCAAGATTTCAATAGAGTACGACCATCTCCACAACCCCATACTAAATGATGGTTGTCTGCACTAACATAGGTTTTCTAAAAATAATATTGATAATATGTAAACCAAAGGCTTTAAGTGAATTACATTTCGAACACTGTTACGAAACACCTCAGCCTGATATTCATTAAGTTCAATGGGTTGATATTACCGATATAATACTGATTCCTGAATCGTTAACCAAAAATTCTTTATTTCGTATTACACTGGAGACGGTGGTTTAAAAACGCCGTGGATACAAACGTTTAGAAAAAAAAGTCAAGACAACTAGAAAAATATTGTCGTTTAATTTTTATTTGAGTAGGTAATGACGAAATTTTTTCTTTCATTGATTAAACTAACGATTATTAACCTTTTTAAAGCTCTAAATTTCATCGAACTAATCAAAATAAAGGCTGTTTGAATTATATACTTAATTCAGTCAAAGCCATAAAGTCATTGGGTTGACATCCTGTGACGCATGTCTCCAACATCTAATCTAAGTCAATCTGTGACAACAACCATATATATTAAATATATAATCTTATCTTTGTTTACAGGATATCTGTATTTCAGCAGTTAAGGAAAAAGATATTGAGGCTAAGCTTAAAACTGTTATGAATGATTGGTCAAGTCAAAATTTTCAATTCAGCCTCTTCAAAACACGTGGTGAATTATTACTCAAAGGTGATAGTATCAATGAAGTTGTTACTCTTATGGAAGATTCCTTAATGCTATTAGGATCATTACTATCAAATCGATATAATGCACCATTTAAACCGAAAATACAAGAATGGGTACAAAAATTGACTACAACTAGTGAAATTATTGACAACTGGTTGCAAGTACAAAATTTATGGATTTATTTAGAAGCTGTATTTGTTGGTGGCGATATAGCTAAACAATTACCTCAAGTGAGTGGAAAAGTTGGTTATCATTAGTTAAAGGTCGCTTGTCATAACAATTTGTTGAGAAATTTAAGATCTGCCCGATCTGATTATGTGATAATGACAGTGTAAACAAGGCTTTGATGATTACCCTTTGTTGCAGTTAGTCATTCCCCGTCCCTTATTCAATTGTAAATTACATCAAGGTATTTGGATTCCAGCTAACATTTTACTGAGATTCTACACGCTGGTAATTAAACACATTGGTATAACTTCACTCTACACAAACATACACATTTTTTAACAGTATAAGTCACGAAATGATCTTAGCTAAACCATGATTGAAAACCTGGAGGCACTGAACAGCCATTTCGTCCCATCATGGGACTTCTAATCCACGATCTCTCACGCAAGACCATGTATTGGCTGAAGTTAGAAATTAATACCGTTGGGTCCCGTTTCAGTGGTCTAGAGGTTAGGTGTTTGCGCGCGAGGCTGAACGTCCCGGGTTCGATTCCTACATGCGGGGTCGTTGGTGCTCACTGCATAAGAGTTACACACTAGGACATAGCGGCCGCCTACTGCTTCCAAGTTTTAAGTGGTTGTGATTTTAATTATGAAAACACCACAATCTCTACGAATTGGTCATACTAATATATGTTTTTTTTTACAAATTATCTCTCCTCTAGGAAGCTAAACGTTTTGGAAATATCGACAAAAGTTGGCAACGTATTATTCAAAGAGCTCATGAAATACCAAATGTAGTTAACTGTTGTACCGGGGATGATACATTAAGTCAACTGTTACCACATTTATTAGAACAATTGGAATTATGTCAGAAATCACTGACGGGTTATTTAGAAAAAAAACGTCTGATATTTCCAAGATTCTTTTTTGTTTCTGATCCAGCTCTGTTGGAAATACTTGGTCAAGCATCTGATTCACATACGATTCAAGCACATTTATTAAATGTATTTGATAATACTAAAAGTGTTACATTTGATGATAAAGTTTATGACAAAATATTGGCAGTAAATTCACAAGAAGGTGAAACTATTCAATTAGTGAATCAAGTAATGGCACAAGTAAGTACCAGTTTGCTATCGCATTTATGTGAGTATAATTATAACGGGACGAGTACTAAACAAGTTGACCTTTTGGAACTGTCTTCTGTTTGAAGCTGTTGTTTTTATATTTGTTTTCTAATTATTTAAATGCTCAAATAGTCTTATTTATTCGTTTTCTCTTGTTTCCAAACCTTTCCATAATGCATAAGCTTTTGTTATAAGTTACGTCTTTATTGAGTCAATGTCAATTTATCACAGACCTATCACTAAATCCTCTTCCACTTATGCCCTAATAATGCCGTCATCGTAAATTATTTGCTTATGTTGATTTGTGGTCAGCGTTTCACTGTATGTGTTTCGGTAATGAGTGAATTGAGAACAATATAGAACTGACTTGCTCTCTATCCTCATCTTTTGATCGACCACTGAACTAGAAAGAGCTCGAGGGACGTTACTGTCTTGATTTTTGTTCACTGATCGGTGTCAATTGTTAAATTGAATTTCACTGGTCTAAGTGGTGAAATAGGTGAACTTATCGATAATCCGGTTAGAGAATGAGGTTATAGAACTGCTTTTCTGTCAATAAGGCCCTATCACATAAGACAATACAATTCAAACCGAGGAAACAAGCTGGTGTAATTTTCTTTAGATATAACATGTTGTAAACTACTATAATACATCTAGTATTGTTATTTTCTTCTGTAAGTCATATATTTATTATATGTAATTAAATTGTATACAGGATATCGTGTCATTTTCGATAAATAGTTCTTTTACAGCATGTTTATAATTATATGGTTCAGACAAGATATTGGTTGTGTGAGTTTGAACCCACTGGCTACTCTGAGAAAAGAGCTGTATGGAATACTAACACTAAAACACAGTACTTATCACTTCAAACATTATCGCGTTACCCATTGTACTAATGAGTTCAGACGTCCATATTACTAAAGTTTATATCCAAAGGCTATATCGAAACAACCTGTTCAGGATATACATACGTCAAGTGAGACTGATTACAAATCAGTTAAAAATATTAACATTGCAATAATTCAAATTGTTACGAATAAAGTAAACTTACTCCTAGATGTATATATTTTACAAATTATCAGTCATTTCGTAAAGTCAGCAAAATCTTAAATTCAATGATGAAAACTACTAACTAACTATTTGAGACCCGATTGTCCGTTGCATTCGCATCTCAGATATGGTATTCACTCCGGGATTCAAACCCAATACTTTCACTTCAAACGTTATCGCGTTGTCTGCTTAGCTACTGAGTTCGTAGTCACTTACCTGTACAACAGGTACGAATTCTTATTTAATTTATGATGTTCAAAAAGAAAGGATACCTGAGAGAACAGTTGTCTTCAATAACTTTGTCATGATGCTCTACAGTTCTAAGTTCATTATTATTGCGTTATTTTAAATAGGCCAAAATAAAGCATGCATTAACGAATTAGACAATGTTATATGTTGAAAATGGTAAAATTTTACTTCTGTTACTGCATAAATACCTTAACATTGTGTCATTTGTAAATTTGGAAAGTCATTTACAAATGTTCATGATGATTCGTTGTCAGATATCAAGTTATAGTCGATGTAGTAGTATAGGGTTGCGGAGACTGTTCAGTTTTAATTTTGATCGTGAACCAATCAATGTTAGACCACCATGTAGTAGTAATAAATCATGTCAATAAAGTGCATATTAAAAGAACTTCGTCTTGTTAATCGAGGTAATAATGATAACATTGAGTGAATATAATATGCAACAAGAGAGGTGCTGTCAAGGTAATTATTGTAGGAAATTCATGGGAATTGAGAAAGACAAATGTGTAGATTAAGAAAGGTATAAACATAAAAGGAATTGATGGGATGAGATTTGTAATGTGTAGTTCAGGTGTCTGGTGATCCAATTTAGGAATAAGGTAAACGCAGTGACTAAACATACTTCTTTTGGCTACACAAGTTAGGTTTTCTGAAGTTGATCCAGCTTCAGCTATGTAGAGAAGCCGTAATCTAGCTCCTTTAGGCAGATTGTTTGCAACTTAATACAAAACAAAGTAAGCTTCATCCATTTTAATAAAATGTTCACTATCTATCAAGTGAGAAAGGATGTCATTGTTAATAGATTTCATGACTCATTTTCCTAACCATGCTTTATTTTGGCCTTTGTAAAATAACTTAATAATAATGAACTTATAAGTGAAGAGCCTGATGACGAAGTTAAGGAAAACAATCGTTCGCTAAAACATTTTTGAATATTTTAGTGGGATAATTTATAACTGTTTAGTTTATCCCGTCGACTAATATTGAGTACAGTGAATTAATCAACAACGGGATAGTTCCAATATTAATAAAATAAATGAAATCAATTCTTATGTCATAATTTCCTAGTTATAATTCTAATTAATTGATTTTTACTCTTTGAGGGTAATGTTGAAGTATGGCTTGGTGAATTATTACAAACATCAAGAAATTCACTTCATTCAGTTATTAGATCAGCATATTTTGCGATAAATGATCAACAATTTAACTTATTAGAATTTGAAAATTCATATCCAGCACAAGTTGGTCTACTTGGTATACAAATGTTATGGACAAGAGATGCACAAGAAGCATTAAGACAAGCCAAAAATGATCGAAAAATTATGAATACAACAAATTATTTCTTTTTAGAAATATTAAATGAACTTATTGGTGTTACAACACAAGAATTATCTAAAATTGATCGAACAAAATATGAAACATTAATTACAATACATGTACATCAAAGAGATATTTTCAATGATCTTGTAAGTTATCTGCTTTATATATTTACATTACAAATGTCTCTTTGAGCTGATCTCCTTTAGCCACCAAATATTTTTTGTCCTGAATATCATTAGTCTTAGTACAACTTATGTTACTGATTCTGTAGGTTTCATGAATTTAGTACATATGATTACAGAATGCGTGTACCTACAAATGATGACATAAAATCCACCGCTCTTAGAAGCTATTGTTGAATTAATAATGAACGAAAAAGAATATTTAAATAGTATACAAGTGGTCTATTTTGTGCTGTAATTTAAACGATAAAATGGTTCACAATCTTTATCGATGATATTATAGCAGAGATCTACTGGTCAAAATCTAAGAATTCTCGTGAGATAGTTCATAGCTCTGCCGTTATGTAGACTGGTCTGTCCACATATTTACTTTAATCTTGTTGGCAGGTTAACTGTTACAATAAAGCAGCTACAATGAAAGTACGAGTCTGCTGATTTTGCATCGGTAAAATGATTTAATTATGAAAAAAAAAACTCATGGAAATACATGAATATATTTATCTTTACCAAAATAATTACTTCAGCGTTTCCGTAGAATATCTCGACAAGTGAAAATCCGGAACTCATATAGAGTAAAAGTTTATATACCAGGCAACGTTTTAAAAATCACATGATCTTTCCACGTATTTAAATATATCTAAATTGGTTTTACTCAGCTCACTTTTTCTAGATCTGTAGAATGAGTTCTGACAGCATCTACAAACAGATATTGAGTTTATTGAGCACTTTTTTTTATCAACCCTCGAAGTATTTAACTTTTTCACCTTGGTGAAAATAGGTAACTTTCAAAATCAAATCAAGTCAATTGGCATAATATTTTTCTAACCAGGTAAATTAACTGTACTCAGATTTTGAACAGTAACCGACATTCTTAATAATCCATTTAAACTATACTTGTTTTCCTCTATCCTAGGTTACAATGCGTGTCAAATCCCCTAAAGATTTTGAATGGTTAAAACAGTCAAGATTTTATTTTAATGAAGAAAATGATCAATGCATCGTTAGCATTACTGATGTAGATTTTATTTATCAAAATGAATTTCTAGGTTGTACAGATCGATTGGTTATTACCCCATTAACTGACAGGTATGATGAATAGATTAGATCTCGAATGAAAAGGATGAATTTAAGATATTTTTTGATACTTTTTTGGTATACAATAGCATTAACTAAAGTGACGGTGGAACTACAATTTATCGACGACCTAATCGTATTTAAGATAGTGTGCCTTGGATATTGGTGCGAAATCTACTCATAAATATGATTAAATATCATTTGACATATGGCGGAAGTCAGTTCATATTAAAAACTCTAACTTAAATTCTTAACCCTAACGTTCAACTCTAAATCCTAATTCTTTACACTAGTTTATAAGTTTCTTTTAACCCTAGTAAGTAGGTGAATATTCTCAAGGTCACTTCACAGTCTATCAAGTGTCGTCCATAAATTAGTCTCGCTGATGGCATTTGTGAAACTGTTGCTGAAAACAGACTTTGATATATAGTAGCACTCGTGAAGATTTTTCTGGCTAAAATTGAATAGTCGAAAAGGTTGTATATTTATCTATATTAAGTATAAATTTTAGGGAGTATATAACATGTGAAGGATAGTCACCTCACCCTAAAATATGGAGTTAATTTCAATATCTATTTTGAACAAACGGATTCCTATCATAAGAAGAATACTTAATGATAATTGACATCACTAATAATTACTGATGTACATTAAATGACAGACAGTGAAAACTAATTGACTTTGTGAAAATCATATCTGGTTTCTTCTTTTTCTACATGAGTTTACAGTCTGACAGTGTTTTGGCGGTTATAACGATCAAAGTCAATAAATGGGTTCTTTACAGATACTATGTGTGCCTGCTGATTTACTGAATCAATTACAACTCCCTAACATAAACCTACTTTTAATTTCCATAACACATTTTCATAGACCTCAACCTTCAACGTTGAGCTTAACAATACTTATTGTTCTTTAATATCCTGTCTTGTGTATTTTTACATCATAGTGCAGGATTGTCTTTTTGATCTAAATGAGTTCATGAGTGATTTTTACACTATTTTAGGGATTTTAGGTGCTCAGGAGCAGTTGACAAAAAACCCTGAATCTGGATCCTATACTGATTGAAACTCCTCGGCAAGCCATACCTGTAATCGCCAGCGAACAGATGCTGCCTCTCGAGTTGGAACCTAGGCCAGCTAGATACAAATCCTAAAACATTATCAGTTAATCATTTAAATTCCAAATGATCTTCAGTGTGATTGTAGTTTATCTCGCCCGATGAAACATAAAAGCTGTCAAATTTTGTTTAATATTCATCATTTTATTGTAATTCAATATCTGCAATTTTTTGTATAGGTGTTACATTACTTTAGCTCAAGCACTTGGTATGTCACTTGGTGGTGCACCAGCTGGACCGGCAGGTACTGGGAAAACAGAAACAACCAAAGATATGGGTCGCTGCCTTGGTAAATATGTAGTTGTATTCAATTGTTCCGATCAAATGGATTATCGTGGTTTGGGTCGAATTTATAAAGGATTAGCACAATCTGGTTCGTGGGGTTGTTTTGATGAATTCAATCGAATTGAACTACCTGTACTGTCTGTGGCAGCGCAACAAATTGCTATTGTACTAACATGTAAAAAAGAAAGAAAACCACAATTTATATTCACTGATGGTGATACAGTTGATATGGACCCCGAATTCGGCATATTTTTGACTATGGTTAGTTGAAAGCTCTGTTTTTTTTAAATAAAGGCTGTAGTATTTAAATTTTCATTTGAAGCACGTTTAACTTCAACATATTCATTTTCTGTAATATTGGTCTTTGTGGCTTGATTATCCATTACCGTAAACTTAGCTATGGATCGTATTACAAATTTAACTGACAATTACATGTTGTGACATTAATTTTCTTACTTAAAATTAAGTTTGATAGCATCCTATGGGATTCGATACAGACGTCTCAAATGAGTATAATTGTATATTCATGTTGAAATATGGTATCTAACTCAGTATATGACTGTTTGATGCATTAGTTCAGTTGTATTGGTTAACTTGTACTTAGTTATG